AGCAATTCAGCCGCTTGCTGGCTGACAACCCTCGTAGCAGCCTTGGCAATCAGGCGTCGGAGAGTGTTGCCAACAGCGATTGGCCTGATTCCTTCGTCCTTCTTTTTGAGAGCACAGAGGGAGGCACCAAAAAAGAGAGGCCTGATGACCTCAGGTATCTCACCAGCCAGACACATGTTGACGAACCTTGTGAGTTCCATAAGAAGATCTTGTGCAGCATCACCAACCGCAGGATTTAACATTTGCTTGATATGTTGAGGTTTTAACCCTGTAAAGCCGCCTGCTGACCCAGGTGGAAAAGAAAGGGCTGCTTTGTAGACCTCAGATTCACCAACTGTTAATGGGTCTGAAATGGTGTCGGCTGATGGCGGAACGATGTTGTCGCCTTGAGGGGCTCTGGGTGGGTGCTTGCTTTGCAGGGCCCGTGCTGTGGCTGAGTTTCGAGGAGCAATTTTCTCGTCACTGGTGAGGACTCTAATAGCACTTGCGGTATTTCCCTCTTCAATTTTCTTGGTGATTTGTGCTCTGATTTTGTACGTTTCCGGTATGTTGTTGTTACCATTTCTGCGGTGGGTGTGTTTTGCTCGGAGAGGCAGGCGAACTAGGTTGTCCCCCCTTGGGTATTCATTTATCGCCCTCAGGACCGAGGAAGCAAGTGATTTGTCCCTCCTTGGAGGGACGGTGAGGCATACATTGCCAAACAGAAGGACATTATGCCACGCTTGAATGTTTTCCGGTGCATCATTGACCCTTTTCAGAAGATTACAAAGTTTGGCTGCTGCATTTGGGCGGGCTGCTTTTGGGATGTGTGGTAATGTTCTAGCAGACGTCGCTATGATCGCTTGGGTGAGGTTCTCAGATGAGATTAGGTTAATGGGAGTCTCTTCCCTAACTGTTAATGGCAGCTGGCCATTGCTTCCCTTCGGAAGCTGGTGGGAACCACTGCATCTTTCCTCGTTGAAGGTGTGAAAGCGGATAACACCACCGATGGAGTTTATGGCGGTGTTTTTGTTGCATACTCGGCAAAAACCTCTTTTAGGAGCAGTTGTTGGCACCTCAAGGCTTGTGGAGTCCTGCCCGACCGCTGAGACCCCTTCCATTTCAACTCGGTTGGCCGAGTTAAACTGTGCATTATTCTATAGAGGGGGGCAAACACACTGGGTCATGGCCAAGCAACTGGGTGTGGAGCCAGCAACTGGGTGTGGAGGCATCAACTGGGTGTGGAGCCAGCAACTGGGTGTGGAGGCATCAACTGGGTGTGGAGCCAGCAACTGGGTGTGGAGCCAGCAACTGGGTGTGGAGGCCGCGGCTGGGTGTGGAGGCATCAACTGGGTGTGGAGGCATCAGCTGGGTGTGGCGGCATCAGCTGGGTGTGGAGGCCGCGGCTGGGTGTGGAGGCATCAGCTGGGTGTGGAGGCCGCGGCTGGGTGTGGAGGCATCAGCTGGGTGTGGAGGCCGCGGCTGGGTGTGGCGGCATCAGCTGGGTGTGGAGGCCGCGGCTGGGTGTGGAGGCCGCGGCTGGGTGTGGAGGCCGCGGCTGGGTGTGGAGGCCGCGGCTGGGTGTGGAGGCCGCGGCTGGGTGTGGAGGCCGGTGGGGCGAGGGTCAGCTCAGGTAGTGAGGTGCGGGGGGGGGGGGGGGGCGGGGTGGGGGGGGCGGCGTGGTATCGAGTGGGCTATACACATGACACACAATATACATTCACATATATGTACACCAGGGTATGTATGACACTGAGAATATGGGGTTGGCACTTTGTTATATGTATGACACTATAAACTGGGGTTGACACTTTGTGGTGTGTATGGCACTGAGTATCGGAGTTGGCACTTTGAGATGTATATTTCACTATGGCACTATATATACATGGTATTCACTTTGTATGTCGGGGCCGCAAAGTATACACCAAACAGACAGAAATTGTTCACTATCATTCACTAGAAAACAGACACCACACTCAAGGTACATGAAACAACCACTGGAGCCGGATACATAACCGGTGCCCATATAGCCGAAGAATATATATATATATATATATATATATATATATATATATATATATATATATATATATATATATATATATATATATATGTCGTACCTAGTAGCCAGAATGCACTTCTCAGCCTACTATGCAAGGCCCGATTTGCCTAATAAGCCAAGTTTTCCTGAATTAATATATTTTCTCTAATTTTTTTCTTATGAAATGATAAAGCTACCAATTTCATTATGTATGAGGTCAATTTTTTTTTATTGTAGTTAAAATTAACGTAGATATATGACAGAACCTAACCAACCCTACCTAACCTAACCTTACCTATCTTTATAGGTTAGGTTGGGTTAGGTAACCAAAAAAAGCTAGGTTAGGTTAGGTTAGGTAGGTTAGGTCGTCGAAAAAACATTAATTCATGAAAACTTGGCTTATTAGGCAAATTGGGCCTTGCATAGTAGGCTGAAGTGCGTTCTGGCTACTAGGTACGACATATATATATATATATATATATATATGTCGTACCTAGTAGCCAGAACTCACTATTGGCCTACTATTCAAGGCCCGATTTGCCTAATAAGCCAAGTTTTCCTGAATTAATATATTTTTTCTACTTTTTTTCTTATGAAATGATAAAGCTACCCATTTCATTATGTATGAGGTCAATTTTTTTTTATTGGAGTTAAAATTAACGTAGATATATGACCGAACCTAACCAACCCTACCTAACCTAACCTAACCTATCTTTATAGGTTAGGTTTGGTTAGGTAGCCGAAAAAGTTAGGTTAGGTTAGGTTAGGTAGGTTAGGTAGACCCCATACGAAATGGGTAGCTTTAATTTCATAAGAAAAAAATTTGAGAAAATATATTAATTCATGAAAACTTGGCTTATTAGGCAAATCGGGCCTTGAATAGTAGGCTGAAAAGTGAGTTCTGGCTACTAGGTACGACATATATATATATATATATATATATATATATATATATATATATATATATATATATATATATATATATATATATATATCTATCTATCATGAAAATGCAAAAACCACACAATTACCACAACATATTGTAAGGTTCTGAGATATACATATAGACCTACATGTATATCAGGTATGCCTATATATTCCTATGCATACAAAATTGACTAATTCACTTTAAAATAGCTAAAGCAAGAATGTAACAACTCTTGTATATATCAAAAAAAAAAAAAAAAAAAAAAAAAAAAAAAAAAAAAAAAATAGTTAAAGCTTTAGATCTAACTACAGTATGACTGTCCAGCACTGTCATGAAGGATACTGTAAACAAAGACTCATATTGTCAACCAAAATAATTTCCCAAAGTGTTCATTACGGTAACACCACCCAAAAACATTAGTATTTGTCATAAATATTCATACAAAAAACCAAGAGATAGAGAGGGAGAAATGCATCAACTCTGAAGCATACAGAGCAAAGTATTAAGCATGTTTTCCCTCAAATGACACCAGAAATGAGGAAAATCATACAGCAGCCCAAGGAGAAATAAATAATTATTATGAGTAAGAAGAACCAGCATGGAATATGCTTGAACATGCAAAGATCACAACTTAAATCTTCGATGATACAATCAAATTAAATAAATTTGATTTATAAAATTATTATATATTTATGACAGTTATTTTACAAAAAATTTCAGTGCATTATTTAAATAAGTGTCATAATAAAATGACACAAGAGTGATTTATATATATATATACAGTATATCATTACAGTTGTAGCTGAAGTGAACATGTGTACAGCCATACAAAATACTTATAGCATCCAATTAGCACTGAGACTTTTAATGGCAAAAATATATAGCATAAAATTAATGATCAAGATGAAAACATGAAATTGAATATTTTTATTACAAAATTCAATAAATGTTGCTGAGAGACCTTGATAAGATGTGCTGTGTAGAGCTGGAGGAGGCATGCCAGCTTTGGATGAGACGGGTGCTGTATGGATGGCAAGAGATGAAGCAACGTTGTTATGACTCCTGCGTGGACAGTAACTGGTTCTGCTGGAGCAGGGCCCAAGTTGAGGCCACCAACTGGTCGTTTGTTGCTTGGCGAGATGTCCATCACCTTATTCTGAAACATCAAAATGTACTAAACAAAATAGCATAATATGGATGGAGAGAAAATAAGTGAAGATAATAGGTTGTTTGTGTCCACAAGAGGGTGGCAAGGTGCGTGGCAGAGTTGAGAAGTGAGAGAGAATAGTTATGGAAAGGGGGTAAGACGGGTGTTTGTGATATGTGGGTGATAGATGTGTGGGGAGGGGAACTTGTGCAAGGGGTTAGGAGGGCAGTGTGATGTGTGGTCTCCCTCTTCCCACCCTCACATTCTGACCTCTCCTTCACCCTCATATTCAGGTCTTTCCCCCTCCCCCCTCCTCACATTCTGATCTCACAAACAACCTCACATTCAAGTCTCTCCCCTCACATTCTACTCTTCACCCCCTCCTCACATTCTGGCTCTCTCCCACCCTCACATACTGGATCTCAACGCACCCCTCATGTTCTGGATCTCAATGCACCCTCACATTCTGGTTTCTCACTATCATCATTTATTCAGTCTTTCTTACCTAGAAAACAATTAACAAACTAAACTTACATATTTTCATAATTTAAGAATATATTATATTTTAAAATTAACAATAATGTATATCATAATTTCAAAAGATAAAGCAAATTAAATTTTTTGGAGATGAAAAATATTCAATTAATATTAAATATCTCAAAACAAACTTACATCTTTTCCAGACATGCCAATATCAGGAGGGCTGAAGGTGGGACCGGTAGCTTTATCAAATGCGTCAAGAGCCATGTGGTACATCAACTGCAGGATCTGCACAATGCGCACAAGTGACACAGGAATTTCAGGTGGTGGTCTATAATGAGAGTAGAGGAAAATGCACAATTAATCTGCTGTCTGTGAAAGAAATGTTCACAAATTCTATCCAAAAACCTCTACAACCAGAATGCATATGTGATTAAGTAATTAGCTGAGGTGCTGAGTGTAAAGCTCAGGCTCATGTTGACAGAATATTATAATCAGTCAAGATGCTGACAAATGTCTATATTGCCAATACTTACATGCCTGATAAATTATTCATTTTAACCTTAAGGATGCCCAATAATCAACACATACCTATGTAATGTAAGGTTAAAAACAGGAGTACTGATCAGAAACTTTCAGGTTCATTTTTATTAAATCACATAACTGAAAACAGAACTTTGTTCAATGGAAATAACACATCAGATGATTCGCCATTTAGCTTCCTTTCAATTGCCAAGGCAGCAGGCTGCTGAAGCTGGTATCATTCCACCAAAAGTTATCACAGTAATTTAGTAATACCTAGACATATACTTACTATCCTCTCTCATTGCATGTTGCCATAAATGACATTCACATCCCAGTTTCAAGAGAGACTAACATTTTTAAATACTGTCACTTTAACTTTGCCAGAGTATGCCCTGGCAATGACCATTTGAATAGTTGTCACAGTGGGGAAACAGGTTGACAAGAACATGATCTAGAGAAAGAGGTCCTTGGTGGACCTCCTGGGCTCTGTCTCATGGAGCACCAAGGAGGTAAAGGGAGGGATGGGGGGGGGGGAGTCAGAATCTGCTTAGAGGTGAGAATTTTGTTTTCCTTCATGACTTATTTTTAGCCATCAAGTGGAAATTGATTTGATAAAGAAAGCCGAGTAAGGTTATTTAGCCACCAGACTGACGCAAATTCAACACAGTTAAGAGTACTATTTGTAATTTAAAGAAATAAATTTGTTATTAGTAAGTTTATTGCTACAACTCAAGGCAGAAGAAGGTTGGTAAGCAAACAAACTTGAACATTTGGCACCCCAAGGAATATTAAGCATGACATACAGTAGGAATTCTCCCTTACCCAATTGATATTCTGTATGCTAGAGGATGTCCACATAGGCAAGAATCCACTTAAGCAATATTGGCAGGAACTGAACGCATTTTCTGAAGTAAACCACCACCAGATTCTCGCTTGTTATATGATACATAGTTCCCGGTATTTAAAGCTCCTGGTATTATGAACGGAACATTTCATAAATTTCATATTTTAAAATGCAGTACCCTGTAGTGCAGATAGTGTGTGTGTAAAGAGAGAGAGGTTGGCAGAGTGGTTAGGTAAGGCTGGCAGTGAGTGTTTCAGGCATACTACCATTTGCCAACACTAATAAATATCTTTTCAGTTTTTTGTACAGCATATATTTTTGCAATAATAATTCCTTATATTTCTTACAGCTTTGACTTTATTTATGATGGGATAGCTCGAATACATTTATTTGGTCCAGAAAGTGATCGTAAACTGTATCATTTAGATACAGTATCAACCATTTGCTATTGGAGTGGCAATCAACTTATTCCCGCAGTCATTACACGATGTAGATTTCCTTTGATATTTATACTGTCATTACTAAATTGCCCATTAATATATTATTAGTCATTTCTGATAAAATAGTGCTGATGAGGTGATTACATATAAAGAACAAAATGGAGAGGAGGAAGCCAGTGCTTGAAACTGAATACCTGAACCACTGAATGTAATGAAACACCCTTTTCTGGTGTAGCTTTCGGTAGTTTCCTCGAATTAAGTATTTGTCCAGCCATGCCTTAGGGAGTTGCACCAGGCCTCCGAGATCGACCCTTGCATAATGGAGCCAGCACCAAAATCTGGATTGCTCTATGTGGAGAGGGAAGCTTGAGGAATAAAGACTGAACAAAAGTGAAAAACAATCTACTAGAAAATACAAGTGCAAGAACTGCATGAGAAAAATTAGATACCCTGAGGAAACAAGCCAAATGATCATTGTCTTTGCTTTGGATAAATACCCCTAATTATGATCTGCCTCACTACCACCAGGTGGCAGCCGAGGTCACCCAGAGCTCACTCTCACTTATTCTGCTCCCAACCCCAACCCCCCCCCCCCCCCTCCCTCACTGGTTTATAAGATCAGGGCACAAGAAGTAGAGAGCCTCTGAAAGGACTTATCCTCTGCTTCAATCTTTCAGCTACGTGGTGTTGGTTATCCCTGGGACATTAATCCTAGTGGGGGTGCCATTACTATGGAGGAGTAGGACCTAGCTCTTTATGCTCCATTTCCTAGCCATTTATATCTGGCACACTAATTACCTCTTTCGACGTTCATAAAAATGTTTAAAAGTAGATGGACGTGGCTTTGATAATTTCTTTCATTAAATGCATTCCACTTAGCATATGAAGTGGTAGAGGAAGGGTCTGGGACAAGAGTAGAGATAATAGCAGGGCACAACAAAGGGCAGAGAAGGAAGCCTGTGGTGCAGGCTAGGACAAGGGCAGGGTCTGGGTCAGTTAGGGTGTAGGTTAAGAGAGTGGTGGCTATGATGAAGCTAACACTCAAAATATTATAACAATACTAACAATGAAGACAGGCACTGCTCACATGTATTCCAAAATAGGTGTAGTAAATATGGTGTGGTAAGTGTTCAAGTCCACTCCAATTGTTGAAGATGATGCCGTGCTCAAGTCAGATTCCTCGGTGACGCTAGAGCTAAGTACCAAATCTAAGGTTTCCTCGTTGCTCTCTTGAATATGAGTGTCCGTCATAAAACACCCAAGGAGGCGTAAAGTATCACAGAAGCTGGTATAGCAAATCTGCAAAAAGCAAGAGTAAGTACTTCTCGTATTTTACACTTAATTAAAATTCAAGTAATATTTATACCTATTTATTTATATATTCATGTAATAGTATATTTCATGAATTTCATAACATTTTCATGATCACTGCCATCCCCATTAACACCAACTATGTAAAAAGGACAATTAAACATTATTTAATGAAAATTTTCACACACAAACATTGCACCTTTTCTACTCGGTGTGCTTTTTTAAGATATGGACACCATACAACTGCTGCATACTATAATTTTGGCCTCAAAATTGTTGTGAATAATTTCTTTACTATTTCTCAGACAAGACAGGGAGCCCTTATCATGACTTTTAGAATTCTAAATAAATGAAAGATGTTAACCCAGACTAGTTCTTTAAAAGAGCCAATGTAACTTACACAAGAGGCAACAGTTTCAAGCTCTACAAGCCACAATGCAGGACAGACAATGTTTTCACCCATTGAGCAATAAACCCCATGGAATCACAGACCATGGGTATGTGATTCCCATGGGAAATAAGGATGATGTTGGCAAATCACCAGTTTATTGTGCTCGTTGAGGCCACTAGAGATGATGGACTTCATGTAAACATCACAAAGAGAGATGTGTTCCATAAAAAATAAAGAAAACTTATAAATAAATAAATAAGTAAATGTAAAAAAGAAGATAGGATACCTGAAGTTTGAGTTCTATCCTAAAAACTGCAAATATGTAATAACACTCACATACTGTACACACACAGTCAGTATCTCTCAAAAACTTACCTCTTGATGAAAGAATTTGGCATTAGCTGGTTCATATCTCATGGCAGTAGTAAGTGTGTTGAAAACATTGAGCAAGAGGGTAAGAATTTGTCTTGAAGGAACAGAGCTCCAGGCTGGTGGTACCACATCCCCCAAACTACCTTCCAAACTCACAAGGGCACTCATCACATAAACAAAGCCTCCAACTTTGCGGAATACAGTTCTTGTTCGGTGAGATTCTTTTAAGCAAACAAGGAGAGACTGAAAAAGTTAATACTATATCAGAATTATTTTCATCAATTCAAAGTTAACAAACATAACAATTATAATTCCATTGTTTATATACACTGTATTTTATCACAGTGAAAAATTTAAAAACTGTCTCCTACTGTGCAAAACTTAAAACTAAATAACACTTCCAGTATTTCATGTTAAAATATTATTGGATAATAAAAATAAAAGCAGCATCAATGTTGGCCTAAACAAACATTGCTAATTACCTTCAGGATGTCAATTTTGAGTTGCAACTCTGCTGAAGGAGCAGAATGTAAGAGGCCCAGCAAGGACCCCATGTCGTCATCACAACCACTGGCCAAGATCAGCTGCTGCATTACTCCTGTTATATACACCAAACTTGCAATTACAGCCATGTTACATTTGCTGATACAAGCAATCATCACACTGAGAATACTGTATCATGGTTCATATGCAATAAGACCACAATAACATAATATATCTATGATAAAATCTTGGGAGCAGTGTGTGTGTGTGTGTGGTTGTACTTGCAACCAGGGTCACATCAAGTGCATGCATTACTTTGTAATAAATCCACAAAATGTAAAGTTAGCTTTGGTTGCTCAGTTCCTGGTTCACATATCTCAACATGCACAACACAAACAAATGTATTATCATTTCAAAGATATGATTCAGTAGCATCATAATAGTTTTGTGTGGGGGGTTCAAGCACCTTACCTAATGCTTGGAGTCGGCAATGCAGATGGGGAACAAGGGCAACAGCACATTTGGCTCCTCCAGACTCCCTGAAAACTGCAGCATTTTGGCTGTTTCCTGAGAGGAGGTGTGTCAGAGCCTCCATCACCAGGAAACCCAATTTCTCATCCATGTTGCAACCTCCTTCTATCACAAAAAACATTACTTGTTACTTGTATTAATTGGTACTGGCTTCCAATGAATAACCACAATGTTTTCAGATAATTATTATTTAAGGAACCAAAACCATTTTCTATAATTTATTTTATGTAAACATTGCATATGCCTAAAATAAATATCTGCTTTTTGAATTTACAATATAAACAAAGTAAGATTTTGCAAGTCATAGATGAACCAAGGTATATGCTCATGAAGAGCCAGTCAGACTTAAGGAACAGAAATTCAAGTTAATTTAGTGCTTTGATTTGACAAACAAGCATTCTAATTTTGCAGTATCAATTTATTTTGGTTAGGTTTAATTATTTCTAATGTAAAGAATAGGTCATAATAACATGGCTGGAAATTAATTCTCAACCCACACACATTAAAAGAGAAGAAAGTGAGTGAGTGAGGAATTGGGTTATCTATTAAAAATGTTCTGTAGCACAGTAGATTTTATGCAATACAAAACTTAAGTTTAGATTCCATTTTCAAAAAGAAAAATAGCTTTTGTAATAATGTAAAAATATATAGGATTGCATTTAAAATTTTCTTCATCAACCTAAGCAATAAAACCTGTAAAAACTATAGTACTAACCTTTACTCTGTGATTCATCATTATTGAGAGTTTTGAGCAGATCATGATACCTTGTGAGACAAGTCACAAACACTTCAAGCATACCCACTTCCCGATATACATCCTTGAACACTGCATTGTGCCTGAAATAAAGTACTGAATTAATTTACATATACTTTCAAGAAAAAGTAATTAACACTAAAAATGTGTACATGGAACGATGAGGGTATAGCAAATTGCATGAACATGCCTGATAATTATCACACTGCAAGATATTAATCCAGATAATACCAACTTAACACTTTCGCTGCCCCGCCAGGCAACCCGCCGCACACCTTAAGGTTGGCCGAGCCGTACGAGTGAACTCGCCACCACCCACAAATGTTTATTCTCTTTTCAGCTTTCTGAAAATTGCAAATTATTTGCAATAGAATGCTCTAAAGGAATATGTGCATATAAGAAAATATGTCTCACTTTCCTATACTTTAGACCTGCCGCGCACTGCAAGCAACCCGAGTGTTGCCCGAGAGCTCACCACTCCAATGTTTTTTCTCTTTTCAGCTTTCTGACCTCAATTTCTGTGCTACATCATTCAATTTTGTATCAAATGGTTTGGAATAGAATGCTGTAAGGGATATTTGCATATAAGAACATACAACTCATACTTTTCTACACTTTCGACGCAAACTCGATAACCTTTCCCTCATACGTGTTTCTTTCAATGCTTTCGTCATGGATTGGCTCTGTTCTTGATCAGTATCCATCTGGAAGTCAATTTGCAGTGTTTATGAAGTCGGTAACAACAAATAACCAAGATAAAATAACCGGAACGGGGAAACTTTTTAACTCGAGGGAAGGCCGCGGCTGTCACGAGCGAGGTCACGAAAACAGTGAGCCTCCAGCGTGGTTGGGCGCCCACACGGTTGGGACAGGATGCCACGTGGGGTATACAGAGAAGGAGGCAGAAGTTGGAGTGCATTTTAAAATGTCTCATAGTATTTGGACAATAAATGGAATTTCTACAATTTTGTTTAATGAATGACGCAGTTTGCGCCATCGGGCATATTCCATATTTTGGTTCCGTGACGGAATAGGCATAATTGGGCAGGGAAAGTGTTAACAGTCTGATCATCTGTGTTTGTTACTAGAGAACCATCTAGTTGAAATCATTTGAACAAGGCAAAACAAAGGCTTCCAGTTGTTTGTAAAGCTTCACTGACTTTCTGGCTGCTGCAGCTCAGTGAGGAGGGTGGCGGCGGCCAGGTTTTGCCTCTACTCCCGTATCCAAACTTCACTCCCACACCTGATGTGGCCCACTTGCATTAAGTAATCTCATAAAGATAGCTTCAGGAAGCCATTGAAGGCCATCACAGAAAAATAAATATAATATTTATTGAGCTGTATCTGACAGCCTGGTTGACCAGACCACCAACCAGAAGGCCTGGTCAGAGACTGGGCCACAGGGCAGTTGATCCCGCACAAGATAACCACAAGGTAGGGTAAGCCTTTTTAATATAATATATAAATTTTTGATTTTTATATTATGTGTCCAAATATACATTAACATGCTTAGTATAACTTTCAAAATGAGAGCTTCCCACAAAATTGGTGATAACTGCCAAGTGACAAAATATCTAGATATCTGGACTAGGTTTAAAATTACTTGAAATAGATTTTGGAGGTGCCATTGTACTGATGTAACAGAATTAATAAAATATGTCGTACTTGAGAATAGTGAGTAGTGTGTTGATGCATATGATGGAACAGGAGAGAGCATGCTGTGCTTTCAGCAGGATTGAAAGGGAGATGAGTTCTTTGCAAGGGACAAACTTCAGCTGGAACACCACAAATTCTAGCAGCTGGAAGTACTTTTCCTGTAATATATAAAAAGTACTGATACACATATTTTTCAACATTTTTTTAGTCCTATATTTTTCTACAGGATCTATATTATTCATACCAACTGCAAATGACAATAGCTATCTGATAAAAATAAGTTATCATGATGGAAAATAATCAAACAGAATGATATGCCATAAGTGTAACTTGCTTAGCCAACAAATAGGGGTTGAGCTCCTGAGCCCATTATGTGCTTCTGTAGCCTTTTCTACTATCAATCATAAGATGGGTATGGGATGCATACTAAATTAACTAAACTTAACTATGTTTGCTGTGGTAGTTCATATGCCTTAAAAAGAATTTGCAAAACCAGCACTGAATATAACGAAATGCCTTTCTGGTAGGTACCTTGGAATCTTCCAGAGTATTGGTGGAAGGGGGGGGGAGCAAAATTTTGTTTGATACTTGCTTTAATAGACAAAAGTTGCTTCACACTGTCCTCTGGCAGCTCTTCATAGCTTTACGGGCTCACTATAGCCTGTGCTACATGGAAATTTTGTTCTGATTATCTGAATCTAAAACAACAACTCCATTGCTATGTACATGCTATGCAGGCTCTTTGTGCAGCTGTGACATGTAATTAATGTACTCTACTTTTTTTATGTAAACTTTCCTAATTATAAATGTACTACGTTTATGAATAATTTTTATTTGATTTGATTTGACTACCTAACATAACCGCTCAAGTTTCCCTGAAACATTTACAATTGGTGGCGACGATGTGCAGTAGAAACACGCAGCGAGGGATTGTGGTAGAGTATATGTAATGAATGTGCGCGCGATCTTGGCTTTCTAACAATAAGACACCAACTTTAAAAATACTTTGGCAACAATAACGTGGGCTCTAGAGTTGGGCAAATATGATACATATATACATAGCTCACACTAGTTGGGCAAATATGATACATACATACATAGCTCACATAGTTATCAATCAACTTTTCACTTGAATTGTCCTTAACTTTAATGCTACATTTACTTAGCAGGTACAGTATTAGCAAAGATGTCATTAGCTATGGTATCTTCTAAATCTTGATGTCATAGTGAATTTCTTCATTATTTTACAAGCAATAATACTCAAGAGTCAAATATCACCAACTTGTATCTCCTTAGGCTTGGCATGGATCTTTTCAGCAAAGCTGGAGAGTGTATGTTGAGGTTCAAGGATGAAGTAGTTGGCAGAATCTGAGTGGTAAACAGCTGATATGGCATCCAGAACAACAGAGCAAAGGTTGGAAGTTGTGCCTCTCAGAAACACCGACTGAAGGACATTGAAGGCCTGCACATTTCTTACACTAGCACCTGTTAAAACATGACATCATTTCATTTAAACTTTCACACTATAACACTTTTTAATTTGTAAAACATTATTCACAGTACAGGAACGATCATAAAATCCTAATTCACGAAAGATGGACTAGCAAAGTAACGTATCTAACACAACTTCCCGAGCAAGTATGCTGGTCATACTGTCAACAATATATTACATAACAGTGCAACAGTTCCTCACCTCTACCAGATGGAACAGGCAACGTGAAGCCTGGTATATGGAAGAGGGAGCCAACTGATGCAGAAGATGGCTTTAGCTCTATGTAACCGCAATAAGAAAGCGACGAGACCAGTAAAACAAGATTCCTTAGGGCTTCACGGCTCTCATCTGAAGTATCAGCCTCTAATCTACAGTAAAAACAAAAGTTATATGATTAATTTTTATCTCTTGAGATTTCATTTATTATATCAAATAAAACATGAATTTTGTAGTTTTAGACATCTCCATGATAGCATGGAAGGTAATATGCAATAGTGATAAATTCACTATTGAAAAACAAAAGAATTTAAGAATATTGCTAAATTACTAGGATGTAATTAGCAAAAATATGAATTATGACAAGCCAGCTTTAAACTTAGTAGAGGTTCCCTAGCAAAAGCATGACTGGTAAGTACAGCTTGAAAAGATCCCAGATGTCCAGATCAAATTGTTGACCTGAATTTAGTTTAAACCTTCCCTGAACCCCCAAGATACTTGTCATAATGAACAAAAAAAGTGAAATAGCCAAGAAATAATCAGTTAATTTAACTCTGTGCATAATCTTTTAAAGGTTTAGTTCCAAGACCTGGCTGGGAGACAGTGCTGATTATGTGAAGACAAAATGTAAATGAATCAAGTTAAAACAAATGATTATTTTCATTGATTTACAAAGTTTGTGATGATAAATACCAGAAGAGAATTATTAAATACTACAGAATGTGATTAGTTTAGATAAAGATGCTTTTCAAGCTATTTTTATAAATATAGTGCAAAGCATAAAGGTCCTTTACTATATTTTTATTATATTGCTAACTAAAGAAAAATACCTTAAAAGGAATTCTGCAAGAAAAGCATAACCCTGCGAAGATCTGAAGTCATCAAGAAGAGTCTGGGATACTTCTGATGAGTCCTTCAGGAAGCAAAACACCGTCACAAACATCTCCACTATCTCGAGAGGAGAAAGTTCTTGCCCCCGTTCCATGTTTTCTACACAAAGACCAACACATCCCTTATCTGGAAAAAAATTAATGCAAGAATATGTAGAGTACAATGAGCACTCAAAGCCATACAGGGTAGTGTAGAGTTACAGCACACGGTAAAAATCATGCATGGAATTAACAAAATGCCTCTTTCTGTTTAAATACATGAACATCTCAATAACTCCCTGGTGTTCAAGTACTTTTACTACCAAATCTTATGATTATGCTAGGCCTCTGTGATACATGCTGACGTATCAAAAGCAGGGACTAGAATTTGGCTTTCTCAAAGGTGCGAGGGAATATTGGGGATCAGAGATTGACCACAAAGCCAGACAAAACAATAAATCATTGCCTGAATGAAATTAATATGATGAAATCAAGACAACTGCAGTATACCATGGGTGGACAACTCCAGTAATAACTCACTCTGCCACCACCAAATGGCAGTCACTGCCACCTGGGGTTTCAGCCCATAATCTACATCACTCACAAGCCACCAATACACAACCCCGTAACCCCCCCTCACGTAAGAGAAGCACCAACCAAAAGAAGCCAGCAACCAGACAACAAATCAGACCAGACAGCGAGCTGGACAGTCAGGCAAAAGACATCACAGAAATAATGGCTAAACTCACCCCACCAAGGAGGAAGTCCTTCAAACTGGACAACAAACGTAATTAGATAATCAGGAGAAAGTATGACTATATAGCACTTGGAAGGGATGAAGATAAGAAATAGGTATACTGGCAAGTCACATAAGTCTTTTACTACAACAGCAGCACAGGAACTGCGTCTGCTGCTGTAGCAGCAGACAAAAAATGAAGATTAATATATATTTGCTCAAAGATGAGCTCATGCACTGCATAAGAATAGAAACTCCATAAAACAGATGCAAGCCCTGTAGTGCCCCAATCACTACTAAAAGCAATCTGGGCACCTGGATGTGATGCTACCATGCCCCTATGCCATGAGGAAGGGCAATGGCAAATTGGACACACTTGACTGCTGCAGTGAAAGAGCTGCCAAGAAAAAATGTAAATCATATGGGAAACTTTCTTCTACTCAAGTGCCTGCATATAGAACAAAAAAGTGCAGCTTATCCAAGGAAAACAGGAGTTGTCTACCAGATGAAGAGAGATGAAGCTGGAATTTCATACCCCATCTAGGATATAGAAGAGGATTCAAACTCAAAAAAATTTGGATCCAATTTAGGCTGTCACGTGAATCCCCTGCATAGCAGTGGAACTGCCTTTCCTACTCACCTTCAATGCCTCTGCATTGGAAGTCCACCTCTACACCAGCCCAGATGAGTCATCAGTCTTGCCACCACTCCGTACCCCCCAGGGCCTGGCACGGCCTGGTACAACTCAGTGGCAAGCCGAGCATCTCAGCCAACCGGTAGTTTGCCTTCACAAACAAGCAGTTAGCCGCTTTCAACTAGCAGTGGGGCGCCTCAACACAAAGGCGCCGCCAGCCGCATACTAGCAGTGTTCTCAGGTGCCATTTTTGTTCATTAATATTTCAGTAAATTGTTTTAATTAATTATCTGATGATTTTCATTTGTTTCCACCTGCGACTTTAACACTGCAAAGGCCAATGCAGTATTTTTTTTTTATTTATGTGACAGCCATATCACCTTGGTTCAATATAGCTGCAATACCACAACCCATCACATAAATTTGGGGGCCTGTCTGGGAGCTCTCCAAGGCGTTGTCCTAGGTGGTGTCCAAGGAGCTGTTCCTAGTAACAATTGCTTAATGTTGTGTTTAGATGTTATACTTGGCTTTTATACTTTGCATTTTTTCAGAATTAATTTTGAGATTTACATACTGGTAGCTGAACACATCTACTTTAGAGGTGTAGCAATTTGTTATCTGTTTATTCGATTGACTTTGATTACGTGATGTTTTGAGCAAATTCATGCTCGTAATGGTTAGTCTTCTAGGCTATTGCTATACGTTTATTATCCACATTAATTTTGTCCCAACAGAGGAGACTCACTCAGACAGATTACTCCCCTCGGGTACTTATCTGGTATTCTGATTTGTCTTCGAACTATTTTGTTCCACTTTGTATTGTGAACTTAGGAGGAAGTATTGGACTAGAGATCCTTTCGCATCCAGAACTGTGTTATACATTCGGGGCATGTATAGTCATTCTCGTCACAAGGCACACAGATGCAGTTAGTTCTGTTGCATATACCAAAACAAATTTTGGCAAGCCAAATTCAGGTAAAGAAGGGACAGCCAAAACCTGCACAGGCAGGGCATATATCTAGGTAATGCACCAGAACCACGTAATGCACTTGTGGGGGAGTGGAGGTGGTGTCAAACACATACTGGGAGTTGGAATAAGAAACTACCTCCATTTTAAGTAACAAACCCTCAAGGCCAGGAACTGAACTCCAAGGATTCAAAAAGTAGTCACAGGCCCTCCTATCTGCATTTCCCAATCACAATTCCTTCCTAGTGTCAACTAGTAAGCAGACTGGTTTGAGTCAGCAGACCCAGAAATCAGCATGGTACTAGAACCAAATGGTAATCAGTATAGTTGACATGATAGCCCAACCAGTCATTAATGAGAGGCCTCATTTTATAATCAATAGCATTTTCAGGCAGAGGCTTTGCTTTTTTATGGACACATTGCTCTGCAACACTATGTTACACACAGTCCTACCCCCATGAATGCACGATCTAATGTCCATTCACAATGAGGTCTTAAAAGAGGAATCAACCAGATGTAAGAGCTCCAAAAAGGAGACTTTAGATTTACAGAATTCAGAAAATACACTTTTTTGGTCAGGAACACATTACTGTATAGTAAAAAGGTTCATTTTTCAAGGAAAAAATTATAAATTACTACACTTAATAACTGCCATTCTGCAAAAGAAGAGAATGACATGTTAATTAAAATAATAATATACAATGCCCAATAACTCACTGTGAATATAGCTGACAACTGGCTGAGAAAGTCCGTGTCTGGAAAGCGTCATTAACACTTCAGCAGAACTCTTCCTCCAGAGAGCATTGTGTTGGGGACACCACGAAGTAATTGCAGAGAACAATAATGTTAGATCGTCCTTCCGTGCCAACTCTTCTGCTGGGGCAGTGTGGGAGCAAAGCCTCACCAACAACTAAAATATATTAACAGTAAATTATTTCACAAAAAAGTAAAGAAACAAAGGTGTGCAAATCATTAGTATGAACATTTTAATTTCAAGTGTACAGAATTAGTTATTACTTAAATCTCCTAATAAAGTCAACTAATGTATATCGTGTTCCTACACGTTGGTTCCGACAGTATGCAGTAAACAGTGGAGCATTTAAGCATTTTCATACATGAAAAATGTGTGCATTAGTAGATAATTCAAGGTACTGTATACAAAAACAGGCTAACATAACCAAACCACTGGTAGCATAGCCACCTGAAGCTAGAACCCTAGTATTTTATGGTCTAGCCACTGACAAGTGTACATATCCTATGTACAGGGTAGGGGGTGGTGACTGAGTAATGTTACTTTGTGTGACACATACAATTTGTCCTTCATTTCCATCACAAAAATTTAAAATACATTTCTCTTCAATATATCAGTTCAAATGACATTGCTGATCAAGATTTCTACTATCAACACAACGAAGAAAAACTGTTCTGTTTACAATTCCCAACAAAATTTTAGTTTATAATAAAATTTATAATAATTTGAGTTCAGATTTCTGCTTGTGAGAAAAAGCAAGTGACAAATTCTTGGTTGATACCTGGTTGATACCTGGTTGATGGGGTTCTGGGAGTTCTTCTACTCCCCAAGCCCGGCCCGAGGACAGGCTCGACTTGTGAGAGTTTGGTCAACCATTTAAATAATTCTGAGGGCTGCCTTCAGAGAGAACAATGGGTACAGGAAGTAGAATGAGGTCAGAGGACCATAATAAATGCAATGATAACAAGAATTGCAATGGAAAACTAAGATTTCATATAACTTCTTCACCTGATAACTTTTTCATTATGAATTAAATTTTTACATACCTGAACAAACACCTTCTGAAGAAGAATTCTTCTTTCACTGGGAGAGAATTCAGTAGAGTCATTATCTGACTGTAGAGTCGTTACATCAGTTGAAGGACTCTCATACTCGGGCAGATCAAAAAAGAGGTATAAACACTTGACTAGTGTTGATGGTAGTGAGGCAGCAGTCATGACCTGAAATATAATAAAACTTAGTTATCTAAATTAACCTCAGCCCATGCAAACATAAGAACATTGATAACATACAAATGTAAGAACTTTTCTGGGCACCTCCCTCAGTAGGTCCCCTCTGCTAAAGCACTGGCCATTACCAGTCAAACTTGTGCTTCATACCAGAGACGCTCTTTGCCCACTGAGAAAAAGGGCTTATTTAAGATGCCTCCACTCGTGAGAGAGGAACTAGTCAAACAAGGAGAAAGTGACTTTAATCTGAAGTCAATATCAATTCATGCTAAGTAAACAATAAAAATATTGATAAATTTATAAAAAAAAAATTGTCAATATTACACAGGCAAGTATAAATCTTTACCAACTACTGTGTGGGTACCAAATAGGTTAACATTAGAAAGCAACTGAAATGTTGGGAAAAGATTATTCGTGAATCCATTCCCTCCCACTGGGGAAGTTACCATATGGAAACAAGGAATCAAAGATACAGCAACATATCTCTCAACAAAGCTGACAAATATGATTTGTGAGCTAATACCTCAATGAGCTGGGCAGGTCCAGCAGCCAGAAGGTTCAGTGTAGACAGCAGCATCCAACCATTACTACTTTCTTCACAGCTATCAATCTCCAAGAACCTCACTATGGCACAAGAGGCAGCTTCCGTTGACTGATTTGAAGCTCGGCGTCTAATTTCAGTAACCATCAACTTGCTGAAAATGGGCCCCTTTTAGGATTCAATAGCAATTACAAAATGTATTCAACATTTTTAGGTAATAAAACCTTTTACAATCTAAACATGATGTAAAACAAAGAGGTACGGTTTTATTTTTTTTTTTACTAGGTTTTACTTTCTTGTTTGGTACTACATATTATTCTCTGATATATATACAGTATTACTACTCTCTTTTCTCACCCAATCTGTCCATTAATGTGAAATAATTTACAGTATATCCCTTAACTTTGATTCTATTTATAGTTTCTCATTTTCTACATCACTCACAATAATATCTGAACACGCACGTGTGCTTAATCTTTTTTATTTACAGTGCTCCTGCTATTTGTGTAGTGTACCTATAGGGTGTTATGCCTATGTATAGTGATGGGTGTCATTAAGAGTAGGCATGACATTAAGCATCTAACAGTATGCAGGAAGAGGGAATCAGCTGATAGAACTTCCGCACGTTAGGTTAACTTCTCTTTACATGCCTTAAATTTCCAAAGTTGCCCCACAATAGTAGAGGAATTATAACCAATTTCAAGTGCTTTACCTGAATTTACATGAGAGCCACCATCTATCTAGAAGCCTCAACGGGGACAGGAAGCCAGCAGCTTGTCAAGGGTCCCCCCAATTTTGCAAAATAAATATCCTTGAGATATGAAGGAAAATAAAGGGTTAAATGGTTAAACCTAAGTTATTCCCTGATAAGTAAAGTAATTATCAAAGGTGCCAAGCTGGGAAGACTATATAGCTATTACCTGAAATTAGCAACATAAAATAACTCTGACAAGCAGGTAAAGAGGCATGCCAGTGATATTGTGGTAGTGTGTGTGAAGTGTGATAAAACCTATAAAACATTGTGCAGTACCTTGTACTGGGTGATGTTTGGTATTACAGCCGTATACAGTTTTTGTACTAATACTTCAACTATGCAAGCCTATACAAAGCCAATCAACTTACCTAACATGTTGGGTAAAAAGTAAAACATCCCCAAATTTTTCCTGTAGATCAGAAGTTGGACTAGAACCAAACACCTGAAACAAAAATATATAAATTTAACAAATATACTGGAAGCATAACAAAATTAAAATCTGTGGAACAAAAATTCATAATAGATAAACTATTATTGTCCAATATCTACAATATTCTCAGCTGAAACAAAAACACAGCTAAAATCCAGTACAACAGTCATCTGCACAAGATTCTCATAATCAAAACACTGTCCCCTGTGATTGATAGGTTGTATATGACAGTAATAACATACAGAAATGTACCCAAAAAGAAAGATGGTTGGAAGTGATCTCTATTGGTAGTACTGTATACCAAAGCCGTCGGGTTACCTTGCAGTTACCTTGCATTGATTTTGGGGATCAACGCCCCCATGCCTTAGTCTCCGACCAGGCCTCCTAGTCGTCAAACAATTATTTAGGTAATCTTTTACCAATATGAGCAAGTGTTGCCCAAGCCCATGAAAGTAAGAAAGAGAGGTAATGATGAAGGAACCATTAGCACTAAAATGCACCAGCAAAACTTTCATTCATTTTTAAAGCCTATATTTATACCATCTTTTACTCAATTTATTTGTAATACTTCTGAATTAATTTCCTATTCTACATTTTGGCATTAGGCAATCTGTATTTGCTCATCTTGTTGTTTAATCCTGTGTTTAAATTATTAACATACAGTACTGTTATGGTAAATAACAGAGATCCCAGGACGGAATCCTGGGACAATCCACTTGTTTCTCACGCCCTCCTTTCAATTATGCTACCTCTGCTTATTTTGAAATAACCATACCCTGACCAAACTTAGGAATAACCCTATCAATGCCATGCACCTTTACCTTTCTAACCTTTACCTTTCTAATGAGTCTTTCATATGGGCCAAAAGGCCTTCTGCTGTTTCAATAATTCTTTCGAGGTGCAGTATCATAGGTTTTGTTAATGTCAGGGTGCAGTACAGTAAATAATTTTGAAATCTTTTCCACTACCAACTGCTTGCATTATACTGTAAAAGAAAGATCAAATTTGATAAATGTAAGTGGTCCTTAGTAAAAACAAGTTGTAAAGCCTCTATTTAGGCTAAATAGCTGTTTTCCAAGATGCAAATAAAAAAAAAAAATTGTGATTATTGATACCAAGTAACATAATACATAGGATTGCCAATTGATTCAAGTGTTGGCTCAAAGTACAATACCAGGGTATAGAAGTGAATCTGATTGGGGATAAAAATTGAATAGGCTAATAGGCCTGTAGTTTCCTGTATTCTTATGCTCTTTAAAGATTGGTCCAATATGAAGTTCCTTCAACCCAGAAGCAAGAGGAACCAACGATTTTCCTTGCATCTCCTTCATGCCACCTAGAGATAATGGAGGAACAGAACCCCCCCGACAAAAAAAAAAAAAAAGGCTAAACAAATAGCTAACCTGCCCCTCTGTGATACCAGATTGGATTCTCTTAGGTTATACAGAGACCACAGGAGGATAGAACCCTGCTCACTTAATGATAAGTGGACAAGATGCCAAACTCTCTGGATCATTAATGCTGGGTCTGGAGACTTAAACAGAGCACTTGTCTGCACTCAAGTTGAAACTTTTAGTGAAGTCAGATCCTTGTCAAAATACAAGGAATCTTTCAAGTTGACAAATGTACATCTATCTATTACTAGGACTAACATAACAAAAGCGCTGTTAATTAATACCATACCAAATTATTTAACAAGGACAGTATCATCATGGTAATTATTGAACATAGGCTTGCCATTCTATTAAGAAAGTCCAGTTTGATGGTAGTGTTGAGACCAGACTCATTTAGTAAGGTTATAATCTGAAATAAATGAGAATATGTACTGTACCTTGCAGAACAATGGAAGCATGTTGTAAAGCTTATCTTCTTTTTCAGGTTCTGAGAGTGGGTGAGTTGGGTAGGAGAACTCGCTAAACAGTTTCTTGAGGTGCATTAGTCCCAGGGCAAGATGCTGTTGAGCTGCCTGGGAGTTGACAGCATCCATACCTTCCATGACCCCACCCACACGCGTCCCAGACCCCCACCACTTGCGCATGATGTTCATCCTGTCCTTAAAATAAAGGAAAACTATGATATCCATAAACACTTATGATCAGTATACATGATTAGTTTTTATTAAAATAAATATGGTGGACCTATGTGATAAATGTTATATAAATAAAAAAAAAGTAAAAAGTGTAGAGCAGTTTTTTTTTTGTTAATGCAGAGAAATTTGTGTAGGAAGAAGCAGAATGTATGGTGCAGTGAATAGGTATGAGGATACATAGTGCAGTATCTAGTTAGGAAGATGTATGGTACAGTATACAGGTAATAGGGAATATTGTGCAGTATTTAGATAGGAGAATGTATGGGACAGTGCATAGGAAATGGGAGGATATATAGTGCTGTCTATAAAGGATACATAGTACAGTACAGTATCTAGGTAGGAGGATGTATGGTGCAGTTTCTAGATAGAAACAGGATATATGGTGCAATGAATAGGTATTAGGATATATAGTACAGTATCTAGTTAGAACAATGTATGATACAGTGCATAGGTAATAGGAGGATACAGTGCAGTGTCCAGATAGCAAGATGTATGATGCACTCTAACTTGTATCAGGATGTATGGTGCAGTGTCTAGATAGGAGGAGAATGTATGGTGTAATTTCTAGGTAGAAGAAGGACGTATAGTGCAGTGTCTAGGTAGTAGGCAGGTGTATGGTGGGTCTAGGCAGGAGGATGATGTATGGTGAATTGTACAGGTAGCATGCAGATGTATGGTACAGTATCTAGGTAGTAGTAGGATGTATGGTGCAGTGTCTAGGTAGTAGCAGGATGTATGGTGCAGTGTCTAGGTAGTAGCAGGATGTATGGTGCAGTGTCTAGGTAGTAGCAGGATGTATGGTGCAGTGTCCAGGTAGTAGCAGGATGCATGGTGCAGTGTCTGGGTAGTAGCAGGATGTATGGTGCAGTGTCTAGGTAGTAGCAGGATGTATGGTGCAGTGTCCAGGTAGTAGCAGGATGTATGGTGCAGTGTCTGGGTAGTAGCAGGATGTATGGTGCAGTGTCTGGGTAGTAGCAGGATGTATGGTGCAGTGTCTAGGTAGTAGTAGGATGTATGGTGCAGTGTCCAGGTAGTAGTAGGATGTATGGTGCAGTGACTAGGTAGTAGGATGATGTATAGGGCAGTATCTAGGTAGGAAGAGGATATATCATGCAGTTCCTAGATAGTTATAGATTCTACCTGGAGGGGGTTCTGGGAGTTCTTTACTCCCAAAGCTCAGCCTGCGACCAGGCTTGACCTGTGAGAACGTGGTCCAACAGGCTGTTGCCTGGAGTAGCCCGTAGGCCCACATAGCCACTACAGTTAGGCTTATATCCACTAACATTTCAATACGTTTGGTTACAATAATCGAGTGCTTTAATTGGTCAAGACAAATTCATTTAGGTTCAATGTTCTTCTATATGTATATGCATATGAAGGAAATGCATGCCACTGTTGTGAGGTGTTGAATATACTAAAAAAAATAGCCTGCCATTATAGGAATTTATTTGAAGTTTATGGGTTTACATGTTTGATTACTTATTAAAAGGAAAATATCTCCAGCCATGCTGTTTCTATTGTCCTGTCTCTGCATAAGTTAGCTTTTAATTAGGTATTATGTTTGGGAGTTAGCCAAGGTAGTATGAATGAAAACTAGAGCTGGCATTGAGCAATTGTTTAGTTCTTGAATGATGTTTTGATGCTTTTTTTTGCATTCTAGATAACAGTGATCAATATAGCCATCTTAGTTTGATTTGGGAGATTTCAGGATTATTCCCACAAATACACAGCATGTATTTGTATACAAGATAATAATAATTGCTGTGCTTCTAAGAAAAACTCTCAAAGGCCTTATTCTGTATCCAAATATATACTCAATAGACAGCACCACATGGACTTATTTCCAGCATAGGTTATCCACAATTATAAGCTAAAGTAGAGTACATTGTTCAAATGATTCTGAATTGACTGACGATTCAAATGACACCTGCAACATTCAAAGTTTTCATTCATAATTTTATTTGATTAGAGATGATTTATATATACAACAGTTCTTACATTCTTGTAAAGCCACTAGCATGCATAGCTTTTCAGGCAGGTCCTTAATCTTAATTTTCCCTGGAATTTGACCCGTCAAATCGTTTAACAACCAGGTACCCATTCACTGCTGGGTGAACGGAGGCTACAGTTAAGGACTGCCGCCTAGTCAATCCTCCCCATCCAGGATTTGAACCCACTCACGAAGCTCGGGACGAGTGCCTTACCACTGCTCCACAGGGACTGCTATTTTTAAGATAGGCATTCATTGATGAGCATTTTACAAAGTACATTAAAATAGTCATACAAATCGGATCAGATTTAATCATACGCAGAACAGCAACATAACTCATACCACTAGAGGAATGAGCTTTTCCCTGCATGAAATTTAGATACATGGCAATGTTCGTCCAGTACTTCCTGTTCACATCCAATAGACTTTATTAACTGGAAGATAGTACACATATTTATTTATTAGCTCTCCTTTCTTATACCAGTAGTAAAATAGTGAGCAAAACTAATTTTGGTGAAGACAAGAGAGCAGTCTCAGGCTGTACTTGAGAATAAATATATTGTCTTAGTGAGGCAGCAAGAGGAGGTGGTCTGTGGGGTGTCTGTGGCGTGACAGCAAATGACGGTGACCTGTGGAGAGTGTGTGGACGGTCTGTGGGCCGTCTGTGGCGAGACAGACTGTCAGTCGATCACAACTACGCCCACATCAATACCACCGCCCTCTTCACGCCCATTACTCCCCCTACACCCTCACACCCCGCCCCTACACCCTCACTCTCCCTCACTAACCTTAATCTCCAAACATAAGACGTCCAAAGAGTGGTGGGTGTTAAATATTATATCATGAAGAGGTCATGACCGAGGTGGAGAGCGCCTACTGGGGTGGTCGTCATGTTTGTTATGGTGAGCGAGTTGACTTGCGCCAGAGACAAGACACGCGCGCCAGGCGCCTCCCTCATCTTGAGCTGCGGCTCTTGACCCCCGACTCACCATACTTAATTATTACATTACTAAATTGACCTCATGTCTAGATTACATAGCCTTCACGCCAATGTATCTACATTTAGGGATTTGTATAGGGTTTGCCTCCATTTCCCTCATTCCAGTTTATTGGTCACTATACAGTATTAATACTGTACTGACAATTATATATTTCGTAATCGTTCCGCATGATTCTCAAATGCCATTACACAGGGATCGCTCATTTCCAGGGCCGGGGAATTCGGGGTGTTCGAAATTCACTACTCCAGTCAGTCCCTTATATCTTGCTCATATATTAAACTTAATATCATTCGACATATTTGACTCGTCAAAACTTTTAAAATGCTGAACAATTTAGAGGACATTGCTCAAGACCACTTCTTCAAAGGGTCAGATATAACACAAACTAGGTCAACGGCATCAAGCTCAACAAGCCACAATGTAGGACTGAGAACAGGAATTACTGTTTTACCCACCGGGTTATAAACCCATGGAACCGTCTACCTGCTGCAACCCTAAATGCAGATATTACATTTGGACCAACTCACAATCCATTGCCTTCGAACAATTGAAAACTCTGCTGTGTACTAACCTTATTCTCGCCTCTCCAGATGTGAAACAACCCCTCATCCTTAATGTTGATGCCAGCAGCACCGGCATTGAGGGTGTCCTGATGCAGTAGAGAGAGAGAGGGGGAAGTCTTACCAGTCAGCTACTACAGCTACAAGCTGAAGCCTCACCAACAAAACTACAGCACTATAGAAGAGCTACTTACCATCGTCCTATGCTTGCAACGATATGAACCTTACCTTCAAGGGCACCAACCCATCACCATCTATTCCGATCATAATCCTCTTCGTTTTCTACAAGCCCAATTCTCCAACCAGCGTCTACTTCGTTGGGCCTTATACCTACAACACTACAACGTCCAGATCTTCTACATCAAAGGATCAGACAACATAGTTGCAGACGCACTATCACGTGTTCATGAAGTGGAACCTTCCGCTTCCACACTCCTTCCAGCATCGACATCTCAGGCATTAGGAAAAGGCTTCGGGGAGGAGCTGTCATGTGAATCCCCTGCATAGCAGTGGAACTGCCTTTTCCCCTCACCTTCAATGCCTCTGTACTGGAAGTCCACCTCTATAACAGCCAAGATGAGTTATCAGCCCTGCCACCTCTCTCTACCTCCCTAGGGCCTGACACGACTCAGAGGCAAGCTGGGCGCCTCTGCTAACCGGTAATTTGCCTTCACAAACAAGCAGTTTGCCGCCTTCAGTTAGCAGTGGTACAGTTGAACACAAAGGCACCGCCAGCCACAAATTAGCAGTTTGCTAGTTGACCAGATGTCCACCTTGCGTTGACACCAGATGAGTCATCACCGCCGGACTATATTAAGGGCTCTCCCTAGAGAGCCCTCCTTACGGGCTCACCATAGCCCGTGCTGCTTGGAACTTATTGTTCCAGGTAGCAAATCTTAAACAACAATCTGGAGAGCCAGTCTCGTCCCTTAGTACTTTTGGATCACCATCTCTCACCCGTCATCTGCCCTCAGCCAATGCCGTGTGTCTGATACCATGGTAGCTGTCTTCAGTACACCAGTATATCTTCATGCATTGTATTAATTGAAATTTTTAGTTTACTTTTGTATTAATTTTCATATTATCTTGTCCACCTTTGCATTATACTGTATGATCGCCAAGTATTCTCAGGTGCCATTTTTGTTCAAATAAATAATTAAAACAATTTACTGAAATATTAATGATTTTTCATTCATTTCCATCTGCGACTTCCACATTGAAAGGGCTGATAACAGCATTTTGTGTGTGCGAGCGCGATGGAGAGCCGTACCATCTTAGTTAGAATCTTAGTTCAGTATAGCTGCGATACCACAACCAATCACAACACAATGCATCTAATTTATTTCATAGGCTTCTGGCATGCATGTACAAGCAATTTACACTGATATTGATTGTTCCTAAGGAAGCACAGATTGTTTCTGCCCTCTAATTATTCCATATATTGTCTTGTGCTCGCTTGTTGACAGAACTATATAGTGTAAGTTCTACCAGTCTGAAGGACTACATCTTTTCCTTCATCCACTGTCATGATCACCTTTCCAGGCAGCCAGGGCGCATCCAATCCCTCTATTGCTGTTGCGCCTCAATCAACAACAACAACGAATCACCTGCCTTCTCATTATCTTTAGTTATGACTTTCTCTATTAGTGTTTTTCTTAAGTTTGACTCAGTTCTTTACTATGTTAAAGATACAGGTAAGTAGTGGTTTGGTAATATCATGGTCAAGGTATGCCTTTGAAATAAATACAACAGAAAAGATTCAAGAGTACTATAGTAAATACACAAAAACATGACCGAGTAAAGAGAGCCTACCTAGCCGAGGCCTGTAGGCCTACCATGTATTTCTTTTAATACAGACCCTCTACTACTCGATCTTTGCCCAAAGGAAAACACATACCATACCTGAAGTATGAACATAGAAAAAAACGTTTAAATCACGTTAAATTCATTTATTCACAAAAAATTACATTTCAATGGGTACAAAAATTGAAAAAAGTAATTTGATAAATTCACAAGAGCTTGCAACCAACTTCAACACCACCTCAAATTATAAAATCCAGTTTTAAACTACCAACATTACACCAACTGCTGCTTTAGCTACTAATTATATAAATACTTGTTAATCAAGTACAGAACCTGACTTCATATTATAGTATTGTTCTTCAGTGTATGTATAAAAAAATGTACCTTCACGCCTGGCTTTGGCAGAAGTCGTGCATTGACATCATGCTTTAATCATTTCATAAAGTTCCTATTTTATACAAATAGTTTTTACCTACAGGTTTCAATAGTATCTGGTACAAAAAATGTTAAATATAACAGCAAAAGACTTTAGAGAAATCATTTTAATATTCTACCTGAACAATGAATACAACATTTTGGATGGGGTAAAAACAGGCAAAGAAATAATTAAAATTTATTACATAAGGTTTGTCAAATTTGCTCGTGTACAAAAATATCCATCAAAATATCTTTGGTTAAGAAATCTTATTCCATATTGCAAAGATAAACTTGAAAGGTGTCATGAAAATCTGTAACTACTGTATAATCATAATTTAAATAAAACCCTTAGCCATTCATAATGTGTTCATTTGTAAATGACACAAACTTACACAGCCAGAAAAGTAGTGAAAAAATCTCCATTTAAAGTGATACGAGTAGTAACTGGTGTCAATGAGCAAAATCTTCTCTCCTAGCAGTTACATGCTCCATCAAAAAATTTAGCGGCACACTAAACTTGTTCCATTTTTCTTTCTCCAACTTTGTGTTCCCCAGGCTCTATCTCACCTGTAATTGACTGAAAGTTGTGTGCTGTTAAATTTGGGCATTAGTATACTCTAGAGAACTATAAACCAGCCATAACCAGTTAACTAATAATTTAAAACTACACCTTGCTAGATATTTACTTACAATTCTCAAAGACCTTTATCAAAGCAAGCTCTTTACTTATTTACAGGAAGGAATGGTACCCAACCACTTAGACAATTGGGAATTGAATGCCAATCTTCACGAAGCGAGACCACTGCTCTACGGTCTAGTCTAAGTGGTTGGACAACATGCCTTCCCCAATCCTTATTCCTATGCTATAAAACTTTTTTTCCACTAGATTTTCAGGATGATGAACAATTTATATAGACAAGTTATTCATTCGGTCTCAGTCCCAAGGTGTCTTGAAAGCATGTGGTCATCTGTACATTACACAAAATAGCCCCACTTTCCCATAAAAGTTTATATGATAGTCAATTTATTTGACAAATTATCAAGTAACATAACACGTGCAGGATTGTTGGATTGTTCCAAGCACATGCAAGACGAATTGTGAATGCTAGAATTAATAATGTTAATTGCTATGATTTAAGAATATTATAAATACTGTATTAAAATATATTTTGAAAATTTAACAACTAACAAAGATCAACGCAGAAAATGGAAAACAAAGGGCCGACAATTTTTTTTTTTTGCATTTTGAGACTACTGAAAATACAGTACTGTACAACACACAAATAATCAACATCTTGATCATTAAAACTGAACATTAATGGTTGGTAAGGAGCTGCCTTAAATCAATGTTAACTTACCTCTACTAAGAGTGCAAGATCTTTTGCTTGATCAACCATCTCCTCTAACAGTGCATTTTCTTTTTTCAATTCTACCACCTCTTGTCGAAGACAGCTATTTTCCTCGTGAAGGTCATGATTTTCAATTAAGGTCTTTTCTAGTGCAACTCGTCTCTTCTCTGCTAGTCCTTCCCAGTATTCAGGAGGAGCAGTATCTAAAAAAACAAAATTTCATATGCCATTTCACACTACCACAAAAACTACCCATTATCCAACAGAACAGAATAGTATGTTTTTATAATATTACCAACATGTGTTTTTGACCAATTAACAAAAATGAGCATATGAATGTGTTAAGACCCCCCCCCCCAAAAAAAATAAACTACTTACCACTAGTTAACATGTTAATAGTTTTGTTAACCTGTGATGAATTTGTGGCCAAATCGGTTACGGACGATGAGGGCTTTAACTTGTCTGGGATTATCGTGGCATTGGGTGCCTCATCTGTCTGAACAGAGACTGTCGAAAAAGTCTTCTTCTTGACAACAGGTAAAGGGTCTTCATAAATTTTAGTCTTGCGTTTTGGATTTGCAATATCGTTGTTCTCATCACTGCGGAAATAAGCATATGAATTATTACACAACAAAGCTGAACAAATAAAAATAAAACTATCTTTCACCCAAAGAGAGAGAGGCAGAAAAATAGCCCACAGGGCATAAGATGGCTTCATTTTTACATCTACAGTACTAGGAATATATTATAGAAAATGTACAACCATAGAAAGACCTGATAATACATTACGTCTAGACTGAATAATGAGCCAAGGTAGGATAACAGACATTAGCATTTTCAGGGAAAGACAATAAGATTTGTCGATTTGCTCCAGAATTGGATCTGCACTGGGGAGGACTTCAGATTTTAAATGTAGTGCCAATTGTTTATGACAACCAAACATTTGTGACTTTACTTTTAGCAAATGATAGAAAATAGCTTTCCCCTTGGCAAGTGTTTTTTTTTTATGTTGGAAACTGTACAAATGCAAACACATCTGCCAGCATTATCACACACCAGTGATGATGAGTACTTATCCATTTTACTTCTCAGTCCACAAGAAAATAAACTGTAGCTCTGAAATGACAAACCTGACCAAGGCACTACCAGTCGCAAACTCTACGACTGTACCACCCTGACTTGTGTAAGTTATACATCCTGGTATTCTACTGAATCAACAGGACATCTAGAGGGGTCTATTGAAGCTACTCTATTAAGTCAAGGTGGTACAGTGGCAGAATTTCCTGCTGGTAGTGCCCGAGTCACAGGTTTGTCACCTAAGAGCTCCAGTTGATTTTCTCATCTATATACTAGTACAGTAAATCACATTAGTGTGATTTCTGTGTATTCTTAATGCATGTTAAAATACCTCATTCCCCTACCTAATATAGTGTAGCTGGTATTGCTCACAAAAATAATCTCAAATACAGTATAGTTGAACGAAGCTAAACATTTGTAACTTCAAAAACAATTTACTATATTTTTTAAATGCACTATGTTTAATATCTAAGAAGAAACTGCTGTGATAATTTAATAACTTCCTACTATTATAATTAATAATACAAGTTTGTATGAATATTTTTTTATTAATGTAAATTGCTACAATCATTTTTGCTTTCAGTCACAGGACAGAAGATTTCGATACTGTAGAATGATGAGAGTACATTCCTAGAAACATGATGATAAAATAAGATAATCAGATATTTACCTTTTCCTCTTCTTGCCCTTAGATGTATGGAGTTTCAGACTTCCACTTGAGGAGACCACGAGACGAGACTGATTCTGCTTGTTGCAATCGAGGACCCCAAGACATTTACGATTTTCTTGCGGGGCCTAGAAAATAAGCAAAGTAAGACCACAAACTGATTTCAATCTAAGCATATAAGAGATTGTCGTAAGAGACTTCTTGCTCTCTATGGACTGCGCCTTCAATGCCAGTACAGAACAATGCAGAATGAAATGAACAGTTTCTCATGAGCCTGCATATAGTTTGGCCTCATCATCGGCACCAAGAAGATTGTAGTCATGTACCAACCCGCACCTGGAATACCCTATATTAATACAGTCGGTTTCGTTCTCGACGCACGATCGAGAATTTCAGTTTCGAATTTCGGGCGGGACAGAAATGGTTGGGCACATTTCCTTTCACCTAATGCATCTGTTTACCTAGCAGGGAGTAGGTACTTAGGAGTTTGTTGTGGGGATTACATGCTGTGTGGGGTCAGTAATTCGACCCTGGGGAAAGGGGCGTGGGCACCTCGATAAAAGCCTAATGTGTATGAACACACTCGGGTTTCCTGTCCCTCGACACAGTGAATTATTATTATTATTATATGTCTTCTATAAATCTGTGACAAATTGAATTTTTTTTTTTTTTTGAGATATATACAAGAGTTGTTACATTCTTGTACAGCCACTAGTACGCGTAGCGTTTCGGGCAGGTCCCTGGAATACGATCCCCGCCGCGAAGAATCGTTGTTACAACCAAGTACCCATTTTACGGTTGAGTTAAACAGAGGCTACAGTTAAGGATTTGCGCCCAGTAAATCCTCCCCGGCCAGGATACGAACCCATGACAAAGCGCTCGCGGAACGCCAGGCGAGTGTCTTACCACTACACCACGGAGACTGGAATGTAAATGCTTTGAGTGAATGAATGACTGCTTTGTAAATACACCTGTGAACGACAATCACTTAACTGATAAAATGCAAACTCAGATTTAACACTTCTTATCCAGGAAAACACAGTGGTCTCACCTCCTCATCTGTGGCGAACCGAAGCTGCCGTGCGTTGAGAGCCATTGTAACTGACTATAAAGAAAATTATACACTGGAGACTCTGAGAGCCGAGGCAGCCACGACAATGTTGACAATTCAAGCCTGGCGGGAAGCTCCTTTTCACAATACATCTTGGTTCTTTTTATAAACCAATTTCTAAATGAGATATACCATAAAATAATATTTGTAATTTTTGTTATTTATTAATTCAAGCTTATATCAATTAATTTGTATTAAATAATATGCTTTATAACAAATATTCTCCGAGCAGGAATATTAAAAATATCAAGTTAAAATATTACGATATATATGAAAAATTTAGGATTTTTTTCAGTAAATATTTAATTTCTAGTCTAAAATATCAAGAAATGATGCATGGAAAAAGGAATAAGAGAGCATGCTATGTGGAGAAAATAGAATGAAAACAATCAGTGGCAGATTGTGTCATGTTTCGGTCGTCTCGTCCTCGGCTCCAGGAGTCGTCTTAGTTTACCTTTGTTTACCGTGGTCCAGGCTCCACCAGTCTACGTAGTTTACTGCGGGTCACACATTACAGGTCGACATTACTTACCGGGGTCCAGGCTTCACTGTTTGCTTTGGTTTACCGCTGTCCAGGCTTGACTGTTTGCCTTGGTTTACTGCGGTCCAGGATTTACTATTTGTCTTGGTTTACTGCGGTCCAGGCTTCACTGTTTACCTTGGTTTAAGCGGTCCAGTCTACGGTGGACTTGGTTTACCACAGTAAAGGCTACAGTGGTTTCTGTGTTTTACTGTGATCCAAGCTGCATAGGCTGCCATGGTTTAATGTGGTGCAGGCCGCTCTGGTTGCCATAGTTTACAACAGTCCAGGGTGCTCTGGCCGCCTTAGTTTACCATGATCCAGGGTGTTTTGGTCGCCTCATTTTATCACGGTCCTGGGTACTCTGGTTGCCATAGTTAACCAGAAGCCAGGCTGTTCGGGTCACCTTCGTTTACCACAGACACCCAACGTAACACCAATATTCATGGCTTGGAGGCTCGTGTAGAGGGTAAGGACCAATGTCATGCTGAAAGGATACAGGTTGTTTTGTATAGGAAATGGTTCACCTACAGATTCATTGTATTGAAACCTAACCTAATCGACATAACCCAAGCTAACCTAACATACCATAATCCAATTTGTCATATATGCCAGCCTGGTTTAACAAATATGAAACAAACTATATGCAAAACGCTCGTGTACAATTGGACCGTAACCTGGCTGAAAGTGCTACTAGGAATTGAGAAAGTTCCTACATTTAATGACTGATATTAAGAGTTGCATTATCTTTATAGATGTTTGAGAGTTGCAGAAATAGTGTTAACTTGAGAAAAAATTAAGAAAATATTTGTTGATAGGAGACTGTATATTTATAAGATTAGTGAAAAATATTTGTTGATAGGAGACTGTATATTTACAAGATTAGTGAAAAATATTTGTTGATAGCAGGCTATCTGTGTGTGGGTGTGTGTGTGTAATTATCTAAGTGTAGTTATAGGATGTGAAAAGTTTTATAGGATGGGTGTCCCATCTTCCCAGCACTTTGTCGTTTAACATTTTGAAGCTTCCGAGGGTTTTGGCCTCCACCACCTTCTCACCTAACTTGTTCCAACCATCTACCACTCTGTTTGCGAAAGTGAATTTTCTTATATTTTTTTGGCAGCTTTGTTTAATTACTTTAAATATACAACCTCTTGTTCTTGAAGTTCCAGGTCTCAGGAATTCTTCCCTATAAATTTTATCTATTCCTGTTACTATTTTGTACATAGTGATCATATCACCTATTTTTTCTTCTATATTCTAATTTGGCTTATTTAATACCTCTAACCTCTCCTTGTAGCTCTTATCCTACAGTTCTGGGAGCCATTTAATTACATGTCTTTGCACCTTCTCCAGTTTGTTGATGTGCTGCTTAAGATATGGGCACCATACAACTGCTGCATATTTTAGCTTTGGTCTAATAAAGGTCGTGAACAATTTCTTTAGTATTTCACAATCCATGTAGAGTATTAAAAGCAATTCTGAATTTGGAAAGTGTAGCATAGGCTCCTCGCACGAAGTTCTTTGTGGTCCGCAGGTAATAGTTTTCTATCTAGAACCACCCCTAGATCTCTTTCTTTATCAGAATTCTTTAAAGATATCTCGCATAATTTTTAGGTTGTGTGGGGTCTATGTTCTCCTATTCCACGTTCCATAACATGGCATTTATTCACATTAAATTCCATTTGCCAAGTGGTGCTCCATACACTTATTTTGTCCAGGTCTTCTTGAAAGTCATGACAATCAGGAATGTACTGAATGTCAAATATAATTTCCTCTTTCCTGGTGAATATCATATTCAGCATGGCGGGAACATCCCCTTCCCTCACCCTCGTAGCTTGTTTAACGTGTTGATACAAGAATGTTTCCAGGATGAAGTTTTCGAATCTTCAGGTTCCTCTATTCTAGCTTCATATGCTTCCCAGTCTATGGATTTCAAGTTGAAGTCGCCGACTATACTACACCACTGAGCGAATACTCGCTCAGTGGTTCACCAAGAAAAAAAAAAAAGACTGTTTTGCAACATCAGCACAAAATGTTATCTTTAAATGCTTTGCAATAGTAATGCATAGTGATCTGTCACTGTTTGGATTAACACTTTCGCTCACCCCGCACGCCACCCCTCAATAGTGCGATATGGGACCCAGGGTGTCACGGGAGCGTGCGTAAATTCTGAAAAGTGTATACTCTTTTCAACTTTGTCACCTTAATTCTCGTCCTACGAGATTAAATTTGGTATCATTGTGTTCGCAATAGAATTCTCTACAGCACTAAATGCATATAAACTCCAAAAGCCCGGCTAATTACCCGCAACAAACAGAGAAAGTGCGAACGAGTTACCCAGGAGCTCGCAAACGCGATATAATGTTTTCACTATTTTCACTCTGGTCACTTCAATTTTTGTCCTAGGTCTTTCATTTTGGTCTCAATGGGTTCGCAATAGAATTCTCTAGAGGAACATTAGCATATAAAATATAAAACCTGGTCACGCTCCAACCGCCGACGAGTTGAAGACGGGCCACGCGTTAGCCGGGAGTGAGCGCTCAGACGCCTTCCAGCTACACTCCCAATTCCCTCCCTTTTCAAGCCTTTCTTTCGCAATTTTCTTCCTGGAAGGGCCTTGTTCATGATCACTATCCATCGTGGAGTAAGAGTAGATAGTTTCTAAAGCCGCAGTAAGAAATATAGCCACGGAAAATAGCCGAAATGTTCACACGTTTGAGATGCAAGGGGAGGCGACATTGGTCACAACAGTGGAGCGAAAACAATGGGCCCACGGCGTGTGCCAAGCCACCTGAGGGCCACGAGGCTCAACAAAGAAAATGGGAAGACATCGGCGCACATTTTAAAACTAGTCCCCAAAAAATCGGATAAAAACCTGATTTTTGGCGATTATTTAAAGTGGATGACGCAATGCTGCGTCATCCCCGGTATTACCGCCAGTAAACGGATGACGCAATGCTGCGTCATGCCCGGGCGAAAGTGTTAATAAGGAATAGATAATCCAAACTTTTTGTGGCAATGAGAGTTGAGTGATATTGTTACAACTGTTGCAAACAACAGTTTGCAACAGTTGGTCATAGTGCATCATCCTACCCCATGTGTTTTAGAAAGGCTGATTTTTCTTCTAAATATGCCATCATTCATGGCCAAATGATAAATATATAATCTGATTTTACTTGCAGGAAGCTAATAGTAGATTAGGCAAGATGTGGAGTTTTGAGGGCGACTATCGTCGTAAACCACAGCAGAGGTTGGGCGGTGCCAGCAAAACACGGAATATAGAACGTACAGAGCTTCTCAGTCAGCTCAAATCTGACAGAGAGGAACGAGAGGTTAGTATAGTAAATACATGATTCATGTATCATAACATTATTATTATTAATGCACTTCCAGCTTCACGGGGTTGATTGAATACATAATTGCCTAAGTATAGTTAGAGGATGAGAGCTATGCTCGTGGTGTCCCATCTTCCCAGTACTCTTCGTTATATAATGCTTTGAAACGGAACTGAAAAACAGAGTTACAAGGAGAGACTGAAAGGCATTAAACATGCCAAAACTAAAAGATGAGAAAAAGGGGTTATTTGGTCACCACTTATAAAATACTAACAGGAATCGACCAAATTGACAAAGAGGAATTCCTGAAACTATCAACTTTGCAAACAAGAGGATACAGATTCAAACTAAAGAAATAAAGATGCCATAAAAAAAATTAGAAAGTTTTCTTTTGCAAACAGAGTGGTAGACTTGGAACAAGCTAAGTGAGGTGGTGGTGGAGGCCAAAACCATCAGTAGTTTCAAAGCGTTATACAACAAAGAGTCCTGAGAAGACAAGACACCACGAGCATAGCTCTTATCCTGTAACTACACTTAAATAATTACAAACTCTGGATGATGAATACAGTTGCTATTCTCAAGTGTAGTTCTCAGCATTCACTTTTGTACCGAAAAATTTCTTGTTTGTTTGCCATTGGTAAAAGTCTTGTGATTTCTGAAATGGCTCAGTGTTAAGTCATTAAGTTCAAGGTCTATCCAATAAGCTACATCATTGGTAGTGAAATCAACTCGTATATCTTTCTTCATATTATTAACAGCATGAGCAGGTTGTTTCTGCAACATCCACACATTAAACTTATTATTCACCCTTGTAATCATTGTTCCTACTGGAGCCATTATATTGCTTGCCAGAGGACACTTTTCATGATTGTCTTCAGTTAAAACATACAGTATCAAATTTTTCTTTTAAATGTTTGTCTATATAGAATTTTATACAAGAACATGCCTGAATGTTTATGCCTGAAACGCTACGTGGTGCTAGTGGCTGTACAAGAATGTGACAACTCTTGTATATATCAATTACAAATACAGTACCTTATCTGTAGGGACAGCAGTTTTCTGTTTTGAGTGACAGTAAGAATTAAAAATATTTATAATTAAATACAAATTATGAATGATGAACTGCTCTATCCCTGTAATTACAAAACACACTATATACAGAGTATTCATAAGCACTGCACTCTACAATATTAACAATTGGTCTGTTTCAATTTCAGAGACAGCGAAAGAGAGAAGCTGCTGCTCTTACTATTCAGTCATGGACACGGGGAATGTTGAGTCAGAAACGAACAAAACAAGGTCTTCGACAACGGTGTGATAGTGAACTAGCACTAGCTAAGGTTCAGGGAATATCTGAAGCTTCAACTATAAGATTAATTGCCTTACTTATTAGAATATTTAATCCAAAAGAAGACTGTGAAAGATTGGTAAATATGCATTTTGTATATTAGCAGATTCCAAACCAAGCATAGTACAATAATTATTACGTTTTATAAAGTTTTTTGTTCCCTAACAGTTTTACTGTGGTACTTCATTTTCAGCCTCATATTTTTCTTGGGTCTGCAGAATATGAGACTAAAACAATTTATGTCCTTTCTCCTTCAGTAGCTTTCTCATACTTTTGCACTGGCATAGTGAAGTTTAAGATGCACACCAGACATCTGAGAGCCATGCAGGCCTATGTATAGTACCTGAAGCTGTACCTGTATCTGGGCTTCTCTTTAACACTTTCGCGCTATCTGGACGCGCCGGCGCGTTCGGTTTCGTCTAACGTAAACGCATAGTGGACATAAAGTTATGTCAACTTTTAAAATATTTGTATAAAATTCAATTTTTATCCGATTTACTTTGGGTTTGTTTCAAACTGCGCGCCATGAGGCGCTCTTTCTCACCACTAGGCTTCATGGTACAATAAGTTCATGAAAGGTGTGGATAACTTCGATCAAATGGTATTTTGTCCCAAACGGGTTGCAGGTGGGTGACTTTAGCCGTTTATACTGGTAATTCTTCCCCTATATCATGTATTATATGCATATGTCTGTTTAGGGAATTTTATTCCGATCAATATACAACCAAAAATAACTGTGTGCAACAAGTATAAACTTGACAAACATAACAAAAGTAAAAATATTTCGTGTGTGTTTGACGCTCACTGATATGTTCCAGCGTTGTTTTATATTTGTCGTTATTCTAACTTACGCTTTGTTGATATTTTTTACCTATGGGCACATAGAACATTCTATTGCGAACACATTGACATAAAAATGAATGACGTACATAAAAAATTAATGTCATGAGAGTGAAATAAGTATAAACTTTCAAAGCGCCGTGCGTCGTCCCGTCACCGATACCGGAAAACAATTTCACCACTTCCCACACTCTTGCGGGCGGGCTGCATCATTATTCTACGCTTATATTCATATCACCGTGTTGGGAATTTCATTGCGAGTCTATTGATACCAAAATTAACGCTGTAGAACAAGTGTGGAGGTGATTACAATCCCAAGAGTAAAAACATTTTGTTGCTGATGGGCGCTCACGGCGAGTCATCTACGTAGTTATTTATTTGGTGCTGGTATCCCTATATGTTTCGTGACTTATTTTACTGATGTTCTTCTAGAGAATTTTATTGCGAACACGTTGGTACCAAAATGAAATACGTAGCATGAGAACTAAGGTCAGAAGAGTAAAAAGAGTATACACATTTTTGTTTTTACGCTTAAGCGATAAAAACGCAGCGCGCACATTCGGTTGGCTGAGTGACTTTTGCGGAGAGCGCGAAAGTGTTAAGATAATACAAGCTTAGGGATTAGAGATCTGCCAAAACTAGGAACATGACCAAACAGTTAGGCAAAAGAAAATACTCTATTTCTTGAAAGAAGGAAATAAACTATGAGGAAGACAGGCAGCCAATTATTCCAAACCCTTATGTGGTGGCCCAGGTTACTTGGAGTTGTGGCCTGCCATCTCTCTCTCTCACTCGTCTGGTGTAGCTTAGATTGGACATCTGTAGGGTCCTCTTGCTACTTTCTCAGACCTCGCACAGGAATTGGGCTTGTGCGTGGCGATGTGTGCAGATGATGCAAAGTAAATAGTTGTTTAAAGTAAATGTCTAGCTATAAATGCATTAAGATTAGGGTTGTTTGCCTGTGTCAACAATCAGTTGCCTTGTTTTTCCCTCTTTGTTCGTTTCTTTCTTTGAAGTAGCAGCTTGTTTTGCTTTGCCTAACCTTTTTGGCAGATTTTTTCACTTTTGTGACATTCTCTGATCCCCAAGTTCCATTCATAAACAGTGTGTGGGGGTCAGGGAGGCCTGCCATAATTTTTAATGCTTAGATATACAAGCATGTAACACCAGAGAATTACTGAGGGCCTGCCAGACAAGAACATTTCATTATTTTTTTTTTTTTTTTTAGGCTCCAATCCAATCCTTAGGCTTTGAAACTAATCACAGGTAATTGAATAATGATGATGGACAGATTGAGGAATAATGTGAGAATATTATCAAGTTGTTCAATGGGAATAATTTGAATAGTGAGGAAAATGTGTGAGGTAAAGCTAATTTATTTGTTTTAATATATATTTACCTAAATTTAAATATTTATATTTAAGTATTTATGAAATTGATGTAAAGAATTACACCAAGCCTCTTGCACTCTCCTAAGTGCTTTGTCAAGGTCTGAGTATGTGGTTAGGTATCATGAGTAAGTGCGATTATAACGACTATAATCGTTAGTCGTTGAGATGAAAGTCTCATCCTAACCACATACAGTACTCAGACCTCAGTATTCAAAACACTCAGGAGAGTGTGAAAAACTTGGTGTAAATCTTTACATAAATTTCACAAAAACATAAGTTTGGGTTTTTATCCTATGTTATTATGTCTGTGAGAAGACATTATCATTACTTAAAACTTTTGGTAATACAAAAAGCCAAATTGAGGAAATTAAACTTGGGAACTTGTTGGGTAAAAAAATAAAAAAAAAAAAAAATGTTTTTCAGCTTGTGACTTGTCAATTGGTTGTACGAGAACAACGTCAACTTGCAGAATGGATATGCGGCTCTTTACCCCGCTGGATGTATCTTGTACCTCGACTGGCTAATATGGCTCTCCAAGTTGTCGCTCACTCCCAGGATGGTATTAACATTTGATAACCCATGAAACCTTTGTTTTATTGTTTTTTCACTCTTTATATACTATATTTCATTGTGTACATTACTAAATATATTGAACATGATAAATTTTTGAATATTTTAATGAATGTCTGATTTACTGCAATTTTATGTGTTTTGGGAATCAATCTAGCTTGTGTAATGAAAGCCCCAGTTAGGGAGAACAAGTCGGGGGGGAATGTGACAAGACCTTTAAGAAATAGACATTAGTGTTGATTGAGCTTAAAGCTATCTTATCAGAGGAATTGATGTACAGTATGTAGATATAGGATTGTGCATAGTGTTAGGAACAGAGGAAAAGTGAGTTCAGTATATTATTAGTTGGTTTGATGAAAGCTTAGTACAATGATAATCATATGGAGTGATTGGATGATAATGTGCAATTTTTATTTAAATGAGTAGTTTTAAGGGTAGTGCTGATTTAGTGAGTGGATGAGGTAAAATGATGAGCATGTTGCAATGATTGACAAGTACTGTACAGTTAAGAAAACTGAGTAAAAGTGCTTGGTGAGGCAGGAATGAATGTTTAAAAAATTTGACAATTTGAATGGAGTAGTTTTACACCTAATTAGGTATCTTGGGTAGGAGCACCTTGTGATATTGTCATGTTTATTTGTATTTACATTTTATATACTGGCACTGTTATGTTAAAAATGAATTTTGTGTTCAGGAGTATCCCCCGTGCCTCATGCTCCGCCCCTGCGATTGTTGGAGATCATCCTGGCTCCGGCCAGCTGGTCCACAACACTCTCACATCCCGATCAACAACTTTTTCTGTCTACACTCTACCTACACTTAATTAATGGAGGTATGTTTAAGAATTTATTAATAAATTATCTCGACCAACTGCTTGCATGAGAAGTTAGTTGTAGTACAGTTTAATAGGAAGTAGTTGTGGATGAATAGAGGTCTGCAGTTAATGAAGGATATGGAAAGACATTGACTGATAGTTGAAATAGTATACGTTTAATATCTCATTTCTCAGGAGACATCTGTTCATTTAGCCCTTTTGCTGCTGCATTTGTCTTTTGAGTTGATGAAATTTTTTTTCTTGGAAACATTGATTTTATTCCAGGTGCCTAGCAAACTAGTTTATTTATACTGTAATGTTAAAGCAGACGTCTGGTATTTGTAAAACAGGAGACTGGACCCAGTAGGTGCTGCCCACTGTCACTGACGCAAGAAAATGTTGCTCAATACTGTAGTTAAAAGATTGCTGGATTTGTGCCTTTCAGTCTCTGCATATTTTTTTGTTTTCTCTTGCCTCATATATTTTCATGTTACTTGATGTACAATACTGTATTGTAAGTAAATGTTCTCAACTGCTGAGAATTCATGGATAATAGGAGACAGAGAACTAGAAATTTTGTGTCCAGACAATCGGAGTATATCCAGGAAACATGGGGTAGTTTTTATGATATATATTTGATTTACACACAAATATTTTGTATTTCAAAATACAAAATACAGGTTGTTGCACTGCAGTACTGTATTGTGTTAATAAACCCCAACATTTTTACAACTTGCTTATATCCTGTTGTGCATAAAATATTTTCCATAATGCATGATATATCTTCCGTAATGCATAATATTTTTTCAATAAATCATAATATATTTCCTGTAATGTATAAATGTTTCCTGTAATATATAAATATTTCCCATAATGTATAATATATTTCCTGTAATGTATATATTTCTTGCAATGTATACTATATTTCATGTAATGTATAACATATTTCCCATAATGCATAATATATTTCCTATAAAACCTTTTAACAAAATAGTGTGTGGTTTGGTTAAGCACTGGATCTTCAAGAATACAACTCTGCATAAGACTAAGTCTTCTGTGGTTAATATGGTCTTTTAAAATCTAAATGCTTGCATTTCAGGCTATTATCATCAAATGGTTCACTTGTTAGTAACTCGTGTCCCCGAGGTGTACGAAACTACTGAGGTTCCTCCAACGCCACTTGCGGATTCATTACTCAACCTACTGATGAAGCCCCTTACATTTGCCTGTGCTGTCAATGACTCAACACTATTGTAAGTACTGTACAAAATTAAATCTCTTGCTGTTATTTTAGGGTATTACATTGTCTTAATGCTCTTGGGTGTATTTGTAAGGAATCGTTAAATAACTGTCACAAAATTCCGTAATCCTTATTCCGTCCTAATAAAACTGTCGTAATTTTGTCCAGTTAGTGATGGCTGAATTAGTGACTGGCCAACATATTTGACAAATTTTTCCTCATTAACTTGTGCTTAATTAAATGACTATAAAAGTGTACTGCATTACTTTCAATAAAGCCATAGTGTATGGTTTTATACAGTCTTTATTCTTGTTTTTAACACTTTCGCTCACCCCGCGCGCCACCCCTCGACAGGGCGATATGGGCCCCAGCGTGTCACGGAAGCGCGCGTTAATTCCGAAAAGTGTATACTCTCTTCAACTTTGTCACCTCAATTCTCCTTCTACGAGAATAAATTTGGTATCATTGTGTTCGCAATAAAATTCTCTACAGCACTAAATGCATATAAACTCCAAAAGCCCGGCTAATTACCCGCAGCAAACAGAGAAAGTGCGAACGAGTTACCCGGGAGCGCGCAAACGGGATAAAATGTTTTCACTATTTTCACTCTGGTCACCTCAATTTTTGTCCTAGGTCTTTCATTTTGGTCTCAATGGGTTCGTAATAAAATTCTCTAGAGGAACATTAGCATATAAAAAAAAACACCTGGTCACGCTCCAACCGCCGACGAGTTGAAGACGGGCCACGCGTTAGCCGTGAGTGAGCGCTCAGAGGCCTTCCTACTACACTCCCAATTCCAACCCTTTTCAAGCCTTTCTTTCGCAATTTTCTTCCTGGAAGGGCCTTGTTCATGATTACTATCCATCGTGGAGTAAGCGTAGATAGTTTCTAAAGCCGCAGTAAGAAATATAGCCACGGAAAATAGCCGAAATGTTCACACGTTTGAGATGCGAGGGGAGACGACATTGGTCACAACAGTGGAGCAAAGACAATGGGCCCACGGCGTGTGCCAAGCCGCCTGAGGGCCACGAGGCTCAACAAAGGAAATGGGAAGACATCGGCGCACATTTTAAAACCAGTCCCCAAAAAATCGGATACAAACCTGATTTTTGGCGAATTTTTAAAGTGGATGACGCAATGCTGCGTCATCCCCGGCATTACCGCCAGTAAACGGATGACGCAATGCTGCGTCATCCCCGAGCGAAAGTGTTAACATTTCCCAGTTTGAGACAAAATATAATTTCTCGGGAGTTTATTCTATATGCGATTTTATATTACTAATTTAATCTACTGCATTTCCTCCATATCTTAGCTCAAAATTACATCGTGACTATCTCATTTCCAAGTTTCATTGGATTGGTAAGCACTTGTGAAAAGGTGGGAAAAGTATTATACTGTTATAAGAAAGGAGTATTTAAAGATAATGGGTTACATCCAGCCTATCAAACTGTAAGCCTCGCTTGATGAATGGATGGAAATGAGAAAAGTTGCTTGTCAATAATTATCTTTTGCTCACATTTTGTATGCTTCACTTCGTTATCATTGTAGTTTGTGTAAAACTGCTACAGTAATATGTTTTCTCCACAAGTGTGTCCAGGTGAGGTTAAGGGTCTCCTTGGGCTTTTATCAAGGGTTGACGGGGATAAATTAATATTTAAGTTGAAGTACTGTATAAGCTCGTTTATCCTGATTCCACCTAACTGGATATTTGGGTTATCCGGACATTAATCAGATAACTGGAGGTTTGGCCGGATAGTGCAGACTGGCACGGAGTCTAAGTCAAATCTGGATAATTTGGTGGCAAAACTTTGCCATATCGGGCAGAAATCTGGATAACTGGAGGTTTAGTTACATAAATTTGCAAGAACTACACATTTCAAAATCTACAGTTTCAAACAAGAAAACTGCAATAAGGAAAGCTGAAGTTTCTCTTTTAAATTATAGTTTTGATTATATTGTGTATGTGTGGAAATTCAAATTATTTTGGTTGTGGTAAAAAAAATTGCAAATATTGTCATTTTTGGACTTCCTCGGTAAGAATTCTGCTTATCCAGTGAAGGGTCCTTCCCATATAGTCTGGACAAGTGAGTTTAGACAGTACAGTACTTTGTTTTTATAATAATGTATTTTATAATATTTTTGTTATTGTTGCAGGTCTTCTGTGATACAAGAGCTGTGCCAAGATGTGTTTGGTGGGGCGACCCACAGTCAGATCTGCAACTTTGTCATTCCGTGTCTAGCATCGAGTGTTAACTATAAGTTACCCATGGACAGGATAGTTGCAGTCTTGGGAAGTCGGTCGTTAAAGTTCCTTGACTCTTGTCCCGCGCCGCCTTTACTCTACTCTCTCCTCATGCTTGTGCACTCCAGTGCTGGTATGTTTACCTTCATTGACAACTTTTTTTTGTTAATTGTTTATGATTAGCTGACAATAAATTAAGAATTTGTAAATAATTGTATCAATACTATATTACTTGTGTAATTTATGCATTTTTTACCAATTTTTTTTTTTTTTAATTTGTTGCGGGTAAATAAATTATAGTGGGGTTTTCAGAGGCCAAATTTTGTTGTTTAAATTTTATGTTGTGCAAATACAATTTGCAATGCTAATCTCATTGTGTTGGATGGTTGTTTCTTGGATTAAAAAAATTCTCATCAGTGATTTGTCTAGATAAAACTTCTGGGTAATTTGTGTCTATTAAGAAAAATGTGAACCTTCAATAATCATTGATTTTGGGTTGATTTCTGATTTCCAAGCTCTCCTCACCTTGCAGAGGTAGCCAGTGTCTTGTCCCGGCCATGGTAGGTCATCCGGGTGTAATCCTCACGATCAATCAGAAAAGTGCATTTCATTACATTCATTTTTTTTTCAGTATCGGTATGCTTTATTTAGACTTCATTGATTATCCAGATCAGAGATCTAGATAGAGGTTTCTGGTAGTAAATACAGTCTGCTCAAAAAGGGTTGCATTTTGTCATGAACTGTTGTATTGAGGCAAAATAATTTTCTGGTAAATATCCTTATGAATTAATATACTGTGCTGCTAAGGAGTTTTATAGCTCCTCATTGATAAAAAAAATATAATTATTTTTCTTATTTAATTTCAGAATTTCATGATGCAAATACCTTGTGCAACTACCTACAAGCAATTAGTGAACTTTTAGGTGGCGCTACCTCTTACCTAGTTAGTGATGTAAGTGAAGTTGATTCTGATGATGAAGACGAAGACATGATGGATTCGTCAAAACCAGCTGATCCTGTTTTATGTAAGGTATGATGATGCCTATATTAATGGGAATGTGCTGTAAAATGAGTTGTACACACACTTTTCATCAACGTAAAAAGTTGCAGGATAGGAAATGGCAGTTACCTTGAGGTTACCTCGGGTTGATTCCGGGGGTCAAGGTCCCCATGGCCCTGTCTGGTCAACCAGGCTGTTGGATGCAGCTACTTGTAGCCTAATGTATGAATCACAGCCTGGTTGATCAGGTATCCTTTGGAGGTATATACTGTTTGATGACCAGACCACACACTAGAAATTCGATAATCGACTTGAGAATGGTCCAGGACGGACCGAAACGTCGTCGTCCCTTCAATTTCTAGTGTGTGGTCTGGTCAACATACTTCAGCCACGTTATTGTGACTCATCGCCTGTATATACTGTTTGTTGAAAGATGAGGTAATTAACATATTTTGCAAAGAATGTTAGCAATGTTTATTGGAGGTTTTGATATGGATAACTTACCTTTTTGCATTTAGAGTATGGACATGCAAGGGACTTACATTGCAAACATTTTACAGAGATAAAGTAACAATAACTTGATTGAAATGGATAAGTCACATAACATAACGGAAAGGATTAGGTCACAGTAGTGGGACTGAAAGGATTAGGTCACAGTAGTGGGACTGAAAGGATTAGGTCACAGTAGTGGGACTGAAAGGATTAGGTCACAGTAGTGGGACTGAAAGGATTAGGTCACAGTAGTGGGACTGAAAGGATTAGGTCACAGTAGTGGGACTGAAAGGAATAGGTCACAGTAGTGGGACTGAAAGGAATAGGTCACAGTAGTGGGACTGAAAGGAATAGGTCACAGTAGTGGGACTGAAAGGAATAGGTCACAGTAGCTGACCTATAAGCTAGAAACCAGAGATAATCAAAAGTTTGCTTTGAAAGAATCTTCTACATAAGGCTGCATCCTTAAATGAGAGAAAGAGGGAAAGGACAACACTTGACCGACTGACGAAGAAAGCTCCTGAGGAACATGAGCTGGCTAAAGGTGAAAGAATGACTGAAACAAATTAAAAACAGAGATGAAAGAACATCCACACCAAAGCCAACAAGAAAGACTGCCATCACTAAACAATACAAGGTGACAATATTAGACACCAAATGGTATTCAGAGAAAAGTGATGGCAAAAAATAGGAACCTTTTTATGTTGAACAATATGGTGAGTTTTATGAGCAATAGGAACAGTATCTCACCATAGGAACAGATACTGAAGACAATTGACTAAGTGAGATAGTCATAAAACCTACCGATCTGCCATGTAACTTTTGCGATGTGACCGGTGGGAGGGGGGGAAAGGGGGAACACATACAAATTGAAAAAATAGTAAAGGTAATTTGACCTAATCAAATTTTAATTTTATTTATGGATTAGTAATTTTACTAATCTTTAAATTGTAACAATGAACCCACATAGGCTTGTAAGAGGTGTTAATGATGGCTGACATCCTCATGTGTGGGTGTGCCAGCACAAGTCCAACACAAACATCTCGTACATCTGCTAACATTTTCACAAGCTTCTCTGCAGAAAATGGTAACTGATTTTAAGAGGAATTTCGGTTTTGACTCCTTTCTTCACTAGAAAAACACTAGAAATACAACACTTATACACTAGAAAATGACACAAACTGCTAGTCAATGGAAGTTGTGCTTTCAGATTTTTGTTTGTTTGCAGTTAATCTTTGTGACCTGTTTGTTGTGCAGTGCTCTGATATTATGCTAAAGATTAAACCTTGCAATATGAAAGCTATTTTTTTCTGATGATCATATACTGTGTATCATAAGAGACACACAAGAGGAGCCACGATAAACTAATTTCCTATATGCTCATATTTTTTTGGGGAATATTATAGACTGGAACAGTAATGCGTGTGTCAATTTTTTCCTGATAATTTACTTTATTCATTTTTTGCTGGAAATAATAATACTATTTGTTTTACTTTTGGTAACTATTCTGTATGGTCATCATGGAGAATTAGGGATTTTAAAATTACATATTGTTTGTTATTCTGTTTATTAGTGTTTTCAATATTTTATTTTACTAGATGGTATTTTATATTTTTGCTTTCAATAGCTAGCAGAAGAGTGTGTGTCTGTGGTGAACAGCACGGAGCACGTCGGATGGTTACTAAGTCACGTGGAGCGTCAGGTTTCTCCCGAAGTGTTGCTTCATTTCTCCCGCCTAACTCACCACCTCTTAACAGCTCCATCTCTTCAGCTGCATCAGTGCAGGTATTAATTACATTGTAAATTCTATAAAATAATTGCATCTATGTAGAGTATCTTGGTATGTAGCTTAATTATTTTAAAATGTTTTTTTGAAGGTCTGCTGTTCTTTTACTTGTTTTTCAGCAGAATGGTTGGTATGGAATTTTCCAAAAACATTTACAGTGTTGACTGTCCTGACTGAAGTGTTTTTTATATAGTTGGTATGTACAGCAATTGAATAATTTTTGTTGGGAACAGGACGCCTGTGAAAATATATACTACAGTATTTGTTTGTATCTAGGAACCTTTCCCCCCTTCCCCTAAAGGTTGGACTTCTGACCTTCCCTGGGATGCAACTCCACAACAATTGCCTAACTCCTGATATTTCTTCAGCAACTTTGTTTCGTTAGTTTAAATCTATGATCTCATGTTCTTTAAGTTCTAGGCCTTGGGAATTCTTCTTTGTCAGTTTTGTTGATTCCTGTTATCACGGACAGATGATTTGTCCTTGATAACACGTTTTGTACGTAGTGATCATATCGGCTCTTTTTTTGTTTGTTTTTCTAATTGTTTTAACGTGTGTAATTACTTAAGTGTAACTACCTAAGTGTAGTTAAAGGATGAGCGCTACGCTCGTGGTGTCCCGTCTTCCCAGTACTCTTTGTCGTATAACTCTTTGAAACTACTGATGATTTTGGTCTCCTCCACCTTCTCACTTAACTTGTTCCAACTGTCTACCACTCTGTTTGCAAAAGAAAACTTTCTACTATTTTTTTGGCACCTTTGTTTCCTTAGCTCAAATCTGTGTACTCTTGTTCGTGAAGGTGCTGGTTTCAGGAATTCCTATTTATCAATTTGTGCGATTCCTGTTAGTATTTTGTAAATGGTGATCATATCACCACTTTAAAGAAAATCTTCTAGTTTTGGCTTGTTTAATGTCTATAATCTTTCCCCGTGGCTCTTGTTTTTCAGTTCTGGAAACCATTTTGTTGCAGGTCGCTGCACCTTTTCCAGTTTATTTATGTGCTTGAGATTTGGGCACCATACAACTGCTACATATTCCAGTTTTGGTCTCACAAAAGTCATGAACAGTTTCGTTAGCATTTCACCATCCATATAATTAACACTTTCGCGCTCTCGGCGCTCAAAAAAAAACAATACCCCAGATGCTTTCGGCACTTCACGCGCCTACGCGGTAAGACCGAAAAGTGTACACTCTTTTGACTGTCCTGACAATAATTGAAGGCGCACGTATTTAAATTTGGTATCACTGTGTTCGCAATGAAATTGTCTATAAGAGCATACCTATAAAATGCCGCCCAAGCATAAGGAGTATCAACACCAAATAAAAAAACTATGCAGATCACTCGCCGAGAGCGCCAAACAGCAACAAAATGTTTCCACTCTCTTAATGGTTGCGAAGCCTACAGTTGTCCTACATCGCTAATTTTGGTATCATTGGAATCGCAATAAAATTCTCTACACGGACATATGCATATGAATGTTTAATATAGGTAATTGCCCTCCCGCAAGAGTGTGTGAAGTGGAGAGTAGTTAGCCGCGAGCGCACTGGCGAAAACACAGGGGGGAAATCATGCTTGGAAAGTTTATACGTTTCCTGACCCTACTTTTCTATGTACGTATTTCTTTTTTATACCAATGTGTTCGCAATAAAATTTTCTATAAGATGAACTGTAAAACATTTGTACAAAGCATGTGTAAGAGAAGCGCCAAATATAGAACCACGTCGCTCAGTATGCGTTTGCGGCAGAAACGAACGCATTGTTTTCGTTCGTTTGATGTTTGTCATGTTTATACTTGTTGAAACATTTTATAATTTGTATGACAGTGATCGCAGTAAAATTCCCTACACAGACATATACATAACACATACAAATATTTCCCACGTGTTGGTTATATCAACGGCTAAAGGGAACCCACTGCCACACGCTCGCCACACCCCCAAACATACTTTGTGTATTTTTTTTTTACTCATAGAAGTTTATGTGATATAATATTCATTCTGGTACCAAAACATTCGCAAATAAATTCTCTACAAAACAAAAGTATCCCCATCCATTTCGATTAAAAAATGGAATTTATAGAAATATTTTTTCGATGGACGAGAAAAGTAGGCAGTTATGCGGAATCGTAAGAGAAAACGGCGACGAGTTATCTCTAATATAAAGCGCGAAAGTGTTAAAAACAAGTGTGAAGTTAGAAAGTGATGCATACACTCTTCTCACAATGTTCTTAGTGTGTTCCTCTGGCGACGACTTACTATTCAGATTTAAATTAAAACTAACAATTAAAAATTTAATTGTCAGTTTGGCTTTTCAAATACAGGTGCACTATGGGGTCTATGACGCACAGTATTTCCATTTTCCACTTTCACTGTAAAATATTACACGATTTTGTCACGTTGATTTTGGCTGATTTTTATTTTTACATCTTAAGATCAATATTCTAAATGTGTTATTTTAATTTCAGATCACTTTCTTGACATTCTCTTTAGACAATGTATAAATGATGATTTAGGAAATAAAATAATATTAAACTGAAATTGCAGATTACTGTACAGTGTTGTTGCCCGCCGTCAGCTGTTGCGATCTATGTGGATGGTGTTATCTAGTCTACAACAGGGAGCTCCATTACCAGGGAGCATAAATTTGATGACTTCAAGTTTTGGTAAGTTAATTCACTTTGTCAAGGAGGAGAGTGAGTGAGTGGGTGTGAATAATTATCAAAGTGTAGTTACAGGATGAGAATTATGCTCATGGTGTCCAGTCTTCCAAGTACTCTGTCATATAACGCTTTGAAACTTCTGATGATTTTGGCTTCCATCACCTTCTCACTTCACTTGTTCTAACCGTCTACCACTGTTTGCAAAAGAAAACTTTCTAGTATTTTTTGGGCACCTTTGTTTCCTTAGCTTGAATCTGTGTCGTCTTCTCTTGACGTTACTGGTTTTTGGAATTCCTCTTTGTCAATTTGGTTGATTCCTGTTATTATTTTGTAAGTGATGATCATATCAACTCTTTTTTTTTTTTTTTTTTTTTTTTTTTTTTTTTCCTTCTGTCTTCTAGCTTTGGCATATTTAACACCATTAGCCCCTCCCTGCAACTCTTGTTTTTCAGTTCCGGAATCATTTTGTAGCATGCCTTTGCACCTTTTCCAGTTTATTGATGCGCTTCTTGAGATATGTGTTTTAATGTAAATATTGTCCAAATAATTAATTAGAATATATATGAGTGATTAATTCTTTTACGTATTGTTTCAGGTGTGCGAGGAGCGCCATTATTGCAGGTGTTAGCTCGGGGCTCTCCCCTGGCTCCATATGAACGAGATACCCTAGTTCCTCTCCTAGCTACGTTTTGTGCTACGCTCACAGCTGTTCTCTCCACACTCCATGACTCTGAATTTTTAGGAGATCAAGGTGCATTTATTGGAAATATTGACTTATTAGGCGACCGAGGTACATTTCTTGGAAATGTTGAATTCTTAGGAAACCGAGGTACATTTCTTGGAAATGTTGAATTCTTAGGAGACCGAGGTACAAATGTTGGAAATGTTGAATTCTTAGGAGATTAAGGTATGCTATTTTAAATATGAAATTAGGTTTGTTTTACGTTGAAGCATACTCGGAGACTGAATTGCTTGGCAGGTGACTTGCATAATTAGCATTAGATTTGCTGGACTATAAAATATCATTGTCATATTGATAAATTATTACTGCAATCTTTTTTCTCCTCCTGTTGCTGTTATAGTATATTTTTTTAATTTCCGGTAGCTTGAGAATTCCTCGATGGATTTGTTTTAAATGTAAATTCATTCACTTAATTCATATTTTTTATTTGGGTAATGTATCTCATTAATGGTCACTTTTAAGGCTACCATCTGGTGGTGGGGAAGTGTAATTAAACAGCGTCGATAACTGGCTAACAAGTGTGTATCTAGTCGAGTGTTACCAATGTTTCTTCGTGCAGTTGCTCGTTTTGGGGCGCACTGCCTTTTTGGTGTATTTTCTCTCTTGGCTTGTGTTGATCTAGTATTCCCAGACTCTGTCTCTATTGAGTGGTCCAGATTTTGGTTTTGGTCTGCAGAAGGCTTTTATGACTCAAAAGTGCCTCGTGAGGCATGTTAGACATGGAGCTAAGTAGCTAGCTAGCTCAGGGGACCACGGTACGTGTAAAGCTACGAAGGTAGCAGCTTCCAGGGAGCCACCAGTTGTTGTTGTTTCGTTACATTACATGCTGGATTTTTTACATTTTTTACATTTCTCTTGTTGCTGATATTTTACTATATAAAGGGTACAATAATACCAAACTCATTACTCTTCATCCCTTGACTAATAACAAAACACAATTTCTCCAAGATGAGACAGGAGGGCATCGAAACTCAAAATCCTCTCAAAACCAGTTACCATTTTCTGTGGAGGAGCTTGTGAAAATGTCAGCAAGTCTACGGGATGTTTGTGTTGGGCTTGTTGAGCTGGCACACCCAGACATGAGGATGTCGGCCATCACGGACACCTCCTACAAGACCATGTGGGCTCATTGTTTCAAGGTAGGAATTAGTAATGTATTCATGCAATTAGTGAAAAATAATTGTCCAAAATATCAGACAACTGTACGTACTATCTTAATCTTCCTAAGCTGATTTTTTACATTTTCCCATCCTATGTGTGTGCTGGAATTTTGAGGGAATTATGTATTTAGATTTCATCAACAGGAAAGTTAGTATTACAGTACAGTGATACATAAAATACAGTATTGTACTGATACAAATTGCACTCACCAAGGAACTTTAAGATTTAAATCATAGCTGGCTGGGCTTTGTAAACCTGGGTTAACATGTAAATTTATTTAAATTATTAATTCAGCCATGTGTTATTATTTTCCCATTTCTCACTTTCATGAGGTTAGAAGGCATCTGCCTGCAGAAAAAAAGAGGGATGTGTGTCATCCCTTTAAATGGAAAAGGTGGTTAAATATATTTAAAATTTATATTTATCCATTCACACTGCATAACATCACTTAGAATTAACACAGTATTATAGAAATCGGTTTGTGCATTTTCAATAAGCGTGACATTGTACAGTTATTGTAACAAGCTTTTCAGAACCCAGAAGCTTTCTTTATCCAATTTTTAACACTCATCTTTCAAGTATTTTGTTTTGATCTGTTTTATCTTACACACACTGCATTTGTTGAGTGTCTTGGCTTGCTCCCACATCTGCTGGGAGCAACCTCACCGCTTTCTTTAATAGTTCCCATTTCTGATATTTTAACATTTCTTTGTCAACCATAGTGTTAATTATTTTATTCTAGTGCTGTAAATCTCTCCTAGGTGTGTGTTGGAGTGGTGCGCCAGATACATCTTCGTGACACACGACGTATGTTCTGTCCTGAAGGTCACTGGTTAAGTTCTCGCGTATCATTACCAATGGGTAACTGCCAGACTGTAGCATTTGTTCCGCGCACTAGTCGTAGACAGAGGCGGTTGTTCATGCCTCAGAGATGGCTTACCAGAGATGAATTAGGTAAGTATTGGCAGGAACAAGAATTATAATACCTGTACTGTAAAATTATTGTGTTTTTCAGAGACTGCTGCCAGGGTTTCTGGATACATGTCCAGAGTTTCATTTTGTGCTATGTACTGTAGCCATTCCAGTGTCACACCTGGAGCATACCTAGAGAGATTTTCAGGAGTTCTACTCTCCAAGCCAGCCTGTAAAACAGGCTTGTTTTACAGAAAAAAACTTGTCTTTGGACTCATGCCTTAACTTTTTCTGAAACCCTAATACTTTGACTATTTGTTATTCCACCAAAAACATTGGTAACTTTAAGTACAGTATCTGGGAATGACAAAGTCACCCTACTCTGACTTTGGCATGAAAAATCCAGAGGTCAATAGGATCTTGCTATCAGGTTGCTTGGAAAATCTTCAAATTTCATAAATATTTATAAATTACAGTACTTTACTGTATTTCTAAGGTGTGGATATAATTATGTAATATGAAAATTCTTATAGTAAATTTTTCATGTTGCCCTGCATTGGATGTAAGAAAAATAACAATATTTTTTTGTTAGTCAACCAAGAAAGTGGGTCAGCAAGTGCTCAGTTCAGTGCAGTTCTTACAAAGCTGTTTCTCTTGTTCATCAGAAACGGAGGGTCCACCCCTGTCCATCACAGAGCAGCGTCGAGCTACTATTTTACAGGAACTTCCATTTGTTATTCCCTTTGAGTCCCGCACCCAAGTCTTCAGCACCTTAGTTGCCAGTAACAGAAGCATGAGTCAGATGCGTGCAGATTTCAATGAAGGACCAATGATAAGTGTATCCATAAGAAGAACTCATATTTATGAAGATGCCTTTGATAAACTATCCCCTAGTAATGGTACGTTACATTGGAATTGAAGTAAATATATATATAGTTGAGAAATTCTGCTACAGAAATATGACTGTTTAATTGTTTAAAATATCTAAATGTTTATTAATGTGTTGTTGTTTTTAGAACCCAATCTCCGATTGCGCATGAGAGTTCGTCTCATGAATGCTGTAGGTTTAGACGAAGTTGGTATAGATGGAGGCGGAATTTTCCGAGAGTTTTTGTCTGAATTGTTGAAGACGGCTTTCGACCCAACTCGAGGATTCTTTCTTCTAACCAGAGAGAATACTCTTTACCCAAACCCTGGGGCACATCATATAGCAGAAGATTACCAGACACACTATTATTTCATCGGAAGAATGTTGGGGAAGGTGAGTTATTGTAAAATACTGTACAGTACTTGGATGTGATACATTTTAGTTTCCTGGGTTTTCAAGCCTTAGTAGCATTCCTCAGTTTGTCACCAGTACATATAGAACACCATATTTTGGTTACCGTATTTGCCGGCATATAAGACGTGCTATTTTTATTTTTAAATATATACAAAAATTTCCCTGCATCTAATGTGGTTGTATTATGGATGTGAGACCGAGTGCCGTAGACTAGGGAGTCGGATAAGCATACTGGGTAAGCTTGCTAGGCACAAAAATCGCTGCTAATAATAAAATATTGAAAACAAGTGGAGTTAACACAGTCTGTTATCACAAAGTTACGAAAAATTGCTTATGGTACGTCGGCAGTTATGAGGGAAGCTCACATCATCTTACCACCTTACCCAGCATACATAACCCATGCCTGATAATTGTCATACATTATTTAACGACTGTGTTACCTTTAAGAAACATTCATTATCTAAATGAAAAATGCTCCTAGAAATTTTAAAGGAATGTTCAACTTTCATCCGCCTGTCACCCATTTGCAATGAGTGAATGACAACAAAACCAGTGCCGTGTCATGGTGCACTGCCCTGGTGGCCTGTTGTGGTAACACAAAATGTGACATCCAGAAATACAAGATTCACATCCTGTATAGCAATTTTCTTTCCCAAAATATAAACAACTATACAGCTGATCTTAGAGGAGGTAAAAGTTGGGGTGCAAAAACCACTTTCACCTCCATGCTGTGCGGCTTTTAGTGTGACATTTTGATGGTGCGCGGAAATTGAAGTGTTCCCCCCAATTTTTTTTTTTTTGTAAATTGTTAAAATTCTTTCCCTGAACATGTACATGTAAAAAAACTTAAAACAAAAAAAACTACTGTACTTTGGCTGTGGCAAAGTGGAAAAGATGCACTGTGAAGTCACCAGTGTGTGTTTGCCCATGCAGGAAGCTCCCAAAGGCAGTTGCGTGGACGATTCAAGACTCACGAGGTGCCACAAATATATTGTCATTAATTTTTTCAATGTATTTTCAATGCTTTCTAATTACTTTTTTTTATTGTATCTGATGCATATTTGTGTTGTTTACAATATGTAAACAGTAGAAGGTTCATAATGTTCCAAGGAACTGTGGTACATGTGTGTCACTAATGTGTCCACAAAAAATGTTTGTTGCAATTCCTGTATTACTTAATCATCATCAGAGAGCGATCTTTGAAAACCCCGTTTGACGTGGGATTGGGAGTCGGAGATGTGTACGCAGGCCATGGTAGTTCACTCATAACTGAGCCAACCCACAGCCCTGGGGCATGTTGGGAATTTTTTTCAAGATGGCTGCCGCTCACTGGAGGTCTCAGGTGTCCATCTCGTACCCAGCTTACCGCACTCGCGTTTTGAATCTTACGATAGCCTAACATCGCTTACGAGTCGGGTGGCACGCCACACATAGCCCGTGTCAGGTCAGGTGGTGTAGTGCAGTGGTTAAAATATTTTTCAATTTAATGTATGATGAAACATACTAAAATAGTTTGTTCCCCCCCCTCCACCCCCACCCACACAAAATATCCTTGTAAAATAGGGGTGCGTCGTTTACGTTGGCAAATACGGTAAGTTGACTGGTCATTGTTGGATATTGTGTTCTACATAGGCATCCCATGGTTTCAGAACATTTCATGTTGCATTTACCATTTGATTTGTGTGCATCATGCCTTGCTTCTACTTTGGCTTTGTTCACAAGAAAGTAAGAATATAGGAACCAGTTATAACAACGACTTTTGTTGTAAAATGTTGAAGAAATTGCTCTAAATTAAATTTGCCATAAAAATGGTATATACATATAGTTTATGCATTGTCCCTGAATATATGGAAGCTTATAAACATTTCATTATCACTCATATTATATATTTAACAAAAAAATTTTAATATATGTATGTAGCTTTAAAAAGAAAACAGAGTATATTTGCTTTCTTTTCTGTAAGGTAATTTGCTGTGGTGAAGAAAATACACTTGGGTAAAGTGATTATCGTCTGCCGAGACGTTAAAAGTTTTATCATTTTGTTTCTATTTATAACATTAGCTATAAGGCTATTATTGTTATACCTGTATATCACTAGTGGTAAATATGGACTCTGATCTATGTGCAGTGTTAGGGTTTCCTAGAAGTTTCAAATGACAACAAGCAATAAAGTATTTTAGGCATGTTTAGCTGTTATTTTAGAACCAAGTAAAGTGCATTATTAATTCATGACCAAATTATCTTTTGTGAGATAATAGTCGAGATATCTGCACTTACATTTAAAGTCCTACCATCAGTTTGTAACACTAATTGTATCACACAGGCGTTGTATGAAAATTTGCTAGTGGAAGTCCCATTAGCTGGATATTTTGTGTCCAAGCTTTTGGGTCGATCATCATCATCCGTCGAGTTCCATCATCTAGATTCCCTTGACCCCGAGCTTTGTCGTAACCTGCTGTACCTTAAGACCTACCAAGGAGATGTCCAGGATCTTGGATTGGATTTCACAGTTCTCAACTCTGATCTTGGCCAGAACACAGTGAGTAGTTTGTAGTATTTAAATGTAATTAATATGAAGGGAAATTGTGTTGAGAATCTGTACTATTTCATTATTATACAATGTGGACTGTTTCAAATAAATTATTATGGGCATAGCCGCTTCCTTGATCAGGACCCCTCCTGGCCATATTAGTAGTAGTACTGTATTTGTAGGGGGAGGCCTGTAACGACTATAAGACACATGCAGGTTTCGAACCTATTTTACTGTGAAAGTTGAATTGTAAAAATCTTCATAATAACCCATCATAACCAACCTTCATCTAACATTGAACTAGACAAAAAAAAAATTGTCAGTATTTCTTCATTTTTGCTGTCTCATAAGATTGAGCAGTCAATAGAGAACAATCCAGATCAAAATGATAAATATATGACAATAATTTGCAGCACACATTTACCATAAATATCAAGATCTGCACATAAAAAAAAATATTTTACTATGCATTTCCTATTTTGTCTATCACACAGGATAGAGCAGTTGTTGGTGAAGAATTTAGTGTAAAAATGTTATTCAATCATTATTGAGCTCAAAAATGGGAAATGGTTAAAAAAAAAATTCTTGTCCAATGATGGTGAAGGAGTGATTAATGAAATGTGTACATATTTATCAGTGCTTATGTATCAGTGACTATGGACCTGACAGCTGAGTGGACAGAGCTTTGGATTTACAGTTCAGAGTTCCATCCCCGGTGGAGGCGGAAACAAATGGGCAGAGTCTTTCACCCTAATGCCCCTGTTACCTAGCAGTAAATAGGTACCTGGGAGTTAGACAGCTGCTATGGGCTGCTTCCTGGGATGTGTAACAAAAAGGAGGCCTGGTCGAGGACTTGGGCCACGGGGACGCTAAGCCCCGAAATCATCTCGAGATAACCCTCAAGGTGGGGGAAGTGAGGTCTATGTGCCTCATCTACTTGCCTCGTTGTATCTATTTTGTTATAGCTTAATTATTCTGACGTTTGAATTCTTTGCTGAATCTGGTGTTAAAGTTGTGGATGGAGGCACATGTACAATGAAATTACATTAATATTATCAAGGTCTCTTCCTTAGCAGAATGTCAAGGGAGGATTTAGAAGGGCTTTGAGATGATGAGTTACTAACCATATGAAGGTTGTGTGGTGGACTGATTATTTTTTAATGACTCTGCCACTCATAAAAGCCTTACCAGGACAGTTTGAAAAGATCCCAGTGCAGTATGTCATCCCGCCTGACTGTGCATGATCCTTGTACCTTGGACAAGGTACAGGATTCATAGTAAATAACTTAATGAAAAAAGCTGAGAAATACCATCTAAGTTCAGGTTTCTGGAACAAAACATTTTTTATGAAGTCATAAAAATATAGTACTTGTTTTAAAGTCTGCAAAAAAGTCAACAAATATTTTTATGGCATTTCTTTCATGTGCTTTTTTTTTTTTTTAACAGATTGAAGAACTAATTCCTAATGGTTCGAATGTAGCAGTTACAAATGAAAATCGGATCGAATACATCTATCGGATGGCTGACTACAAACTTAACAAACAAATTGCAAAGCAAAGTCAAGCCTTCAAGAAAGGTAATATAATATTGTATTATATGTTAGCTTGAATGCGCATAGTTTAAATTAATCGTCTGTGCATATGAACTGTTGTATTGTAGTATTAGCAGTCTAATGCAGCTTTTCTCAACTGTTGTATTCTTGAAATAATACCAGATTTTAGTTTAGATAAACACAAATTTCATTATCAACTGAAAGGAGATGATTTCTGTCTTTGCTCTTGATACTGGTCAAGTTAATAAAATTCAAATACAAAAATGAATCAAAAAATCATTTTCATATAATTAGAATTAGCCTATACTGTAGATCATTATCTCTTATGGAACCCCTAGTTATCTCTGGGTTCTGCGGAAACCACAGTTGACAAACAATGGTCTAACATGCTGCAACTTCAATGGTATTGTGGTGGACTTAATAACCCTCTCGTGGTTAATTGGCTTTAAACCCAACACCAGACTTGTTTGTTGGTTACCTCCTAAGTTTATCATGTTCCCTTTTGAATGCCGAGAGGTCGGCCAGTTACACCTTCCGGTCTGAGCTTGCTCTCGGTATTATTTACGTCCCAGAATATTATCACAGTACTGTACCAGTACGTTCTCCCAGTGATTGTTCTTTTCCGTCTCTATAATATTACTGCAGCAATACTTGATCATATATTTTCCTCTATTTAGTTTTCATGACTTGACTTTTCCTATTTCTCCTATTTTCCTCACATGTGCTTGCTAAAGCACTCATTATTTTTTTTAATCCTTGTTTTACTGTACTTGTCTATCAATGACTATGGGAAAGTGGAGTCTAGTTCTGTGCCCCGCCTACTAGTCTTGTGTTCCTGTTGCATTATAATTGAACTATTTTAAGGTTCAAATTCCATGTTGAATCTGTCCTTAAAATTGTGGATGGAAGTGGCTTCCTGTACTTTGGGTATCGAATAAAAACTGTAGTGTAGACAAATAGTGATTGGTCAATTCTCTTTTGTGAAGCTAAACTAGAATTTCAAAATCTTCATTTGCTATCTCAAGTATTCCTCTAAACACCTTTTAACATTTTAAGATATGTAGTTGAAATGGGTGGGGAAGATTCTTCATATGAACCTAGTATTTAAAGAAGGAAGAAATGTTCAAGAGACACAAGTCATAAAAGATTTATAATTTATGTGAATATTTTTACATTTGTCATTGTTTTTCCAGGAGTAGCAGATGTCGTACCCCTAGAGTGGCTGCAGATGTTTGACTGGAGAGAACTTCAGATGCTGATTTCTGGAGCTTCCGTCCCAATTGACATAGTAGACCTCATGGATAATACCAGATACGGTGGTATAGAATACAATTTTTATTTTTATTTATTATTTTTATTGCTGTTTCTTTGCATTTTAATTACAACAAGTGTAATGCTTATTTTTTAGTTTTCCTGGGAGGGGTTCATTGATTGCTTTCCAAGCCAAATGTAAGTCCTGGGAGCCAGGAACAGAATCTGGCTCTCACTCTTCAAGGCAAGAGGAGCGTGGGAATTAGAGATAATTAAAAGACCGAGAATAAAACAAAACACTAACATAAACACAACAAAACTAGAAACTACTTGAAAAAATTAAATACCATAAAGTAACATTGTAGAGATGAAGTTAATAAATGATATACAGTTCCAACATCCAAGATGCAAAGAAACTTTTCACCTCATTTGTCTTCTTGAAAATATTGCCAGAGTGCTGGCTCAAGTTTACATTCAAGACTTTCTTCTCACTTAAGTCGACTGCTATTTACAATTAAGGTATATCACCGAGGTGGCTTAATGAGACTACTCAAAACCAAGATTTTATATTAGCTGCTTCAACTGGCTTGCCTTTTTGGTGAATCACTCGCTTTTTCAAGTGTGTGTGTATATGGCAATACTGTTTTTTAAAATAACATAATCCTTATGATGAAATTTATATATTTTCCTTTATTAACTTTGTTATATAGAACACATGTACTGTACTCCTAAATGTATTGTCTTTTGTCTCATTATTTCACAAATATAATTTTAAATTGCAATACAGTATTTATGAATTGTACTGTATGAATTATCTTCAGGAACATACAACGCTGAGCACCCAACCATACAGATATTCTGGCAAGTCCTCAGGGGATTCGATGAAACGCAGAAACGACAACTTCTTAAATTTGTGACCAGTTGTTCTCGTCCTCCTCTTCTGGGCTTTAAGGTAAATTTTAAAGTAAATGGATCATGTTTGATGTTTCACGGTATTCCTTCTCTCTTAAATTATAAAGTAACTTCACAGCATGTAGAAATTGTGATGACGAATGTCTTTTCGGTTATAAACTGTTCAATCTAATTAGTACACAAATAAAACTATTATTTTATTTAGCATTTAATATAGGTAAAGTTGTGTGTATTACATGGTACTGCTGAGTAATGAAAGTAAGTTATCATAAAGTATTACACAGAAAAAATCTATTTTATATTTTAGTTTCAAGGCATGTTATAGGAACTTCCTAGAGGGGGTGGGAAGGTAAGGTAATCATTGGGAGAGGGCACCAAGCCATTACAACTATATAGCACTTGGAAGGAATGAGGATAAGATCTTTGGAATGGAACGTAGGGAAGGAATAGTGCCCAATCACTTGGATGGGTCAAGAATTGAATGCCAACCTCAAAACGCGTGACTGTCGCTCTACCGTCCAGTCCAAGTGCTTGGGCACCATTCCTTTCCTCCATCCCATCCAAAACACCTTATCCTTATCCCTTCCATATGCAAGTTAATCTCACTGGACTTTGAGAAACCTATTGGTATGGTATCCATTGACTGTGCTTTGCGTTCTGATGCTTGGAATTGTATCCTATGGTGTTTAGTGAACCCACCAGTAACTTTACTTACAGTAAAATATGGTGAAGTAGCCTTACTGGACAAAGGCAGCAGTAAAGTAATCATAATAAATTATGCACCAATACAAGTATTGGTACAAAGTTTTTACAAATTTATACAAAAAATACAATGCCTACCGGGTACCACGAGCCAGAACCTGGTTCCCTCAGAGAGACACAGGGAGCAATGGCCTATAAGAACTTTACATTTAAAGTATGTCATAATTGCTATTGATTGCAAAAGAACCCAGAAAGGTAGGCGAATCAAAACAGTCCGCTGTCTGGTTACACTAGGAAAGCTACGTTATCAAAGAGCAAAATATCTCCCTCAAAAAGCAAACAAGAAACCCCCCTCCCCTCCTCTCGGGAAAGGGGACTACCCTGGGTGCGCTGGTAGTCAACCACCCCAGTTCTTGAATTGATATGCTGGCAGTCAGACATTGCCTCTGGCCTCAAATTTCTGTTCTGGATTTTTGCCCTGTATGGCTGTTCCAGCTTGTATTTTGTGTGGTGGCCAGGTGTATTAGTGTACAGGAGCTGCATGCGCCTAGGATTCTCTTCCCTAGGTGCTCCATAAGTACTACCCTTGCCTTTAAGGGTTATCTTCCATGAGGCGTTCGGGACTCGCTATCCGTTGAGGACTTCACGCTTGTGGTTGTCTTCGTCCTTAGGGTGCATCGGGGGAGGGGGGGGGGTTCGAGATTCTGATTCAGGTTCTGGCTCATGGTCCCCGGTAGTCAAAGGACTCTGATTAATGACACCAAATAGGATAGCACTATATCACTTCAGACAGCTTCAGGGAGCCTCCGGAGCTAACCCAGAAACTGACATTTCATTACATTCAACGCTGGTTTTATGTGTATATTTTAATATACCATACAGCATATTGAAAACTTTGCAAAGTGACACCAAGATAAAAATAATGGTTTTAAGGCATCCATACTGCTTAGACTGGAGATATTGCTGAGCACTAAAAGTTGCAGCTAGCATGTATTGCTGTGATAACTAAGACTGTGCAACAGTCTTTACATGAACCAAACCACTGTCTGTGTGCACTTTGTTTACAAAGTTGTGACACCGCATAACATTAGCATAACCTCGAAGGTGATTCCACTCACAAAATGGGTTTTACCCTGCTTTCAGCTCTTCATATTCAGCTTTGTAATAGAGTTCGAAAACATAATTTTGTTCTAGTCTTGAACAAGATTATTTAAGAATTATATTAAGCCTGCAGATAATAAATCAGTGAATAAATGAGATAGAAGGCCTTTACAAGTTGGAACAGATCAAACATGTTATGTGAGAATAAAATACAGCACAGCAAGTGCATACACACACACACATGCACATCAACAGGGAAGATTTCCTGAGACCTGGAACTTCAAGAACAAGAGGTCATAGATTTAAACTAAACAAAGATGCAGAAGAAAAATAAGAAAATTCACTTTCGCAAACAGAGTGGTAGACGGTTGGAACAAGTTAAGTGAGGTGATGGAGGCCAAAACTGTCAGTAGTTTCAAAGCGTTATATGACAGTGCTGGGTGGATGGGACACCACAAGCGTAGCTCTCATCCTGAAACTACACTTAGGTAAATTACGTTAACATATACTGATAGATGCCTCAGAATCTTGATTCTGTGCTCATATGGTCTCTGCTTTATAAATTAATATCTGCAGTCTTAATTCTTGAACAGCTCAGCTGTATGAAAGTCCTATGTCGTGATATGCATTCTAAAAGATAATTTTAACAAATCAAATGTAAAAGATCTCAAATGGCAATTGGAGCACAGGAGAAAATTGCAGATAGTAATTGGAGTAATATGAGTGCTAATACAGTTGAACACAGCTTTTTTGTGAATTTATTTCATAAAATTGTAAATATAGCATAGTAATATTTGATTGAATACTGTTGCAGGAGTTGCAACCAGCCTTCTGTATCCAGCCTTCAGGCTCTGAAGATCGCCTTCCCACAGCCTCCACGTGTATGAATCTTCTCAAACTTCCTGAATACAAAACTGAACATTCATTGAGGGACAAACTCCTTTATGCTATAACATCTGGCTCAGGTTTTGAGCTTTCTTAAGATTTATACTTTGACATTTTAGACTGTAACATAATATATGTCTAATTAATATATATATAATATATTATATAATATATATATGTATGTATGTATATATATATATATATATATATATAGTATATATTATATATATATCATACATAAAATAAAATATATATAAAAAAATAATAAGGGTGATAGGAGAAGAAAAGATTGAAGTGTTCAGTGGGAATCCACAAGGTCGTCTCTGAATACTCTTTATTTTCTTCTTCGAGGATGTGGGTCCCTACAATTGCACCAGAGGTGGTACCCCTATATATCATATATCATATATATTATATATATATGTGTGTAAATCATACATATATATATAAATAATGTGTGCATATATATATACAGTATATATAAAAAAGTGTGTGTTTGCATGTTTGTTCGAGGAGGGAGGACTGGATGCTTGGGGCTAGCCTTGCCAAACTTTTCAGGGTGATTTGTGAGAGATATAGGGTGGATGGAGGCGATCACCCGTGCCCCTCATTACCAAGGATCGACTCCTGTTCTGAATCCCAGTGACGCCTATGATGTATGAAATGTGGATTTGATCGTCTTTAGAGTTAAGCTGATTTTACTATTCAATATTGAGAGAGGATGGTAGGGAGCTACGAAGGGTGAAAGAATGGGAGGGATGCTGGAAAGGGCAGAGGGAATGGGTGAGACAGATAACATAAGGGAGGGAGACAGGCAGAGGGAGATATAGACACACACACACATTCAGAGACCTGGGTAGCCAATCTAACATGCATGTGTGTATGTATATATATGTCTGTGCGTGTTGTATGTGTGTGTGTGTATATATATATATATATATATATATATATATATATATATATATATATATATATATATATATATATATATATGATACACACACACCAATATATGATAATAATATATTTATATAATATATGCATATAATAAAGGATATTAGATATAGTCCTGTAATATTTGTTCCTTGATGTATACAAAAAAAAAAGAGTTAAAGATGCTGTAGGTAAGAATTGCAGTAAAACATGGAAAAAAGTGAGTTGTTGGTGTTTTGGAACATCAAATAGGCATAACAGGCTTCCTGTCTTTGATAATGTGACATCAGGATAATGTGAACCCCTCAGTGTTCAAGAGAGAACTTGATAAAAACCTCCAAAGGATACCTAATTAACCAGGCTGTGATTCATGTGTCAGGCTGCGAGCAGCTGCATTCAACGGCCTGGTTGACTAGTCTAGCAACGAGGAGGCCTGGTCAACGACCGGGCCGCAGGGATGCTAAGCCCCGAAATCATCGCAAGGTAACCATGTAAGTACTGTATGTATTAAGTGATTGTAAATTTAGTGAAGTTGTTTTTTGAATGGAAAATGTATTGCATAACCTTCAAGTAAGTGCACGAGATTTAATATTTAGCAGTTTATATGAAATGTGAACTACCGTACATTACATTAAAAAAATAATAATAATTACTGGTATTGAAATATATTTGACAACTTTATTTTTTAAATTTTGCAAGTAAAATGTTAAAATAAAATTGACATGTTACACTTAGTAGTTATGAATTAAAGCCCTTGCCTTAATAATTTTCACCATTGCATTAATTTTTTTTTAAATGAATACCACTAGTTGAAAGGCAAGTGAAAGAAAGGAAAAATAATATTTATTGCCTGATATTGTTGCTTCCTGATACTTGGTGTGTACAGTGCATCAAAGTTTTACCTTAGATACCCCTGGTATCAAGGGTTCTGGTGCACCATTGCTCTGGCAAGTGTGGTTCCACTGCATGCCAGTTCTCGGTGTTTGGCTAGATGCAATTAGCAAGGTTCATCCTATTTGTCCTTTAGTGGTAAATCTTGTGTATGCTGGGGGAAGGGGACATCTGTGTATTTTCCAGCACTCTTGTTCACAGAATGCCTTGGCATATCATAGTGTCTTTAGGTCATCGACAAGTTTGGTTCTCCTCCTGCCCGGTGTTTCAGGTACCTGCTTAACCAAAGGTAATTACCTAAATGTAGTTATGGGCTGAGAGCTGTGCCTGTGATGTCCCATCTTCCCTGAACTCTGTCACATAATACTTTGAAACTACTGGTATTGATGGTTTTGACGTCCACTGTCTTCTCACTTGTTTCAACTGTCTACCACTCTGTTTATGAAAGAGATCTTTCAACTTTTCAGCACTTGTGTTTCCTTAGTATGAATTTATGATCTCTTGTTCTTGAAGTTTCAAAAGTTTCTTTGTCTATTTTGATTTTTTTTACTATTTTGTACATAGTGATCCCAGCTTTTCATGTCTTCAAGCCTTGATGTGTTTAATGCCTCCAGCTTCTCCACATAGCTGAAGTTCACAAGTTCTGGGAGCCGTTTAGTACAGTAGTATGTGTTGTACCCTTTCTTATTTGTATGTGCTTCTCGGGTATTATGTCCATTTGCTTTTAATACTATTTTCTATGGCTTTTACTACCATGCTTGTCAATTATAAAGGTCTTTAGTTTAGTGGATCTTCCCTACTTCCATTCTTATAAATTGGAACTATGTTTGCCTTTTTCCATGTGTCTGTTAGGTTCTGTTTGTAAGGATGGTTAGAAGATACTCTGTAAGGGAATAATAATCTTAAATGCACATTCCCCTTGGCAGTTTTTCTACTTTTTCTCTACAAACGTATATATACGTACTCTAATTTACATTTAAAAGTCAATATTGTACTGTATAAAATGTATTTTTAAGTTCTCCTGCCACGGTCACTCTTGTTTTGTTGGTTTCTTACCCATGGTGAGTTATCTTAGGTAGATGTAGGGAGCCCTCCCCGAAATCCTGCATTGAATGTAATGAAACATGCCAGAAAAGAAAAGTCCCACTTTTATCTCCCCATTTCTAACCTTCCCTTCTTTCTGTGGTATTTTGGGGATCATTGGGCTCCTAAATTTTAGGATCATAAATGACACAGGTGGCTGGCCAGGACCTTTGGGTTGTCAAGGCTGCCCAAAGGTGGGCATAGGGTGGAGCTATTTGAACCTAAACAATGAATGTATACACAGTTCGAATCAATGTAGCTAATGTTGTCAAAGCAGTCGTTTGCTTTAGACCACTACCTTTCAGATGGTTTTTCCTTCAGTAATTCGATGATATTTCCCCCTTCCCTGCCTCTGAGGGGGCCAGATTTTGCTCTTGATCTCTGGTAGGCACTCATGGCCTGTTACAGCCTTAGTTTTGAGTTTTCCAGGTGGATAGCATTGGAAGATATAGAGGGTCAGCAAGAAGTATCTGATAATTATCAAAAGAAGGCATTAAGTCGGGGGAAGATTATGTACCAAATCTGGTGTTCTATTATATTCACTGCTGGATTTGTACCTTCCCTTGGTGTGGTGAGGACTCTGGGGAATGAAATTTTATTCACATCTTGTACCTAATATTTGCTCAACTTGTAAGATCATCTGGAAGATCTGCTACATCCTTCCCTAATAGGGAGGCCCTTGCTGACTACAGAAAGGTGTGTTCCAATTGTGCCACCACAGCAGGCACCAGAGGGAAGCAGAAGCCACCCACACCTGCCTCGGCAGTGCACAAGAGCCCCCTTACCACATCAAGGCAACACCCCCATTGATGGAGAATGTTCAGAAGGCTTCTGGCCTATTTTGGAAAAATATGTATAAAACATGAAGTCATTAAAAAGTGTAAAAAAAAAAAACTTTACAGTAGCATAAAAAAATTTAGGATAAACTATGAAGCTTTGCTCTACTCAGTTATTAGCTTTGTTTTCTGCAACTCTTATAAAACTGCTGTTAGAATTTGTACCGGTAGCTCAGTGGTGAATGTTGCAATATTTATAAAGTTATATTCTTAAAGTTGATAAAAAATATAATTTTTTTTAACAATGCACATAATCCTAGGTGCTGTATCTTTATTTTGTCAACCATACATTTTATACTATATTCAGGGTGGACAATTTAGAAGATGCACAAGACTGTCTGCAGTTGGAGACGGACACACTCCTAACACCGGAATTTTGTGTTGAACCAGAGCAATATTTGTTGTTGGGCCAATTGCAATCATTTTGACTCCTGTTATATCAACACTCAAAGACTGAAGAACAGGCAAAGCAAAATTGACACCAGATGGACTGAAAAACACCATGTGTGTAGGCCTCTGACCACCAGAGATCAGTTTCTGTATAGTGTACTTCAGTTGTGGGTGCTGTGATGTTTCATACACCACAAGAGCTTTAAAATCTCGATCATTATTAACAAGCAGCCTTGGCAATTCATCCTTCGCTAAACTGCCACAAGGGTATAAGAGAGGTTTGTCAAATGCTACTGTCTCCTTAATTATGATTGGAACGAGTTGTTGTGCATTTCCCGATTCATGTCCTATACATGTAAGCTTCAATAAACTTTGAACAGCTCTTCCAGTAGCATCTCCGACAACAAATATCTTTTTCTCAATCCACCCAGCATGGCAACTAAGGGGCAACTTTATATATATCTCAGCAACTGCTTCTACTGCTCTCTGACTTGTAAAGATAATGCCACTATGGTCTTGGGGACTCTGCAGTGAGCTCTTCAGAGATTCTTGGTTGCAGAATTTGAAGCAAAGGGCAGGGATATGAAAAGGAGAGAACCCAGACCGAGAAAGTTTGTCAGTATATTGCGTGTCATTTTTATCTTCTGATTTAAAGAGCCACACGTTGCTCATTCTTCTTATAGTCTGAAAGAAAAGTATATATTGATGAGTTTATCAAAGATTAAAATACTGTACAGTAAATTACCAATAATTGGTTATGTTGCTTATGTTGCTTTCATTCACACTGCAATACATTTATACAAACATTACTTTGTCAAAAGAATTATTTCTATTACATCTCTCATTCTTCCCATTAATTTCTATTGTAAATCAGTTTCAAATTTCTGTAGACAAGAGTACACAACAACACCTAAAAGGTAATTACATTTTCTATTAATTAAGTTATAATATGGTGAAGTAAACATTTTTACACACACATTTCCTTTAGTAAAATAGGTGTCATGTACTTACATAATCTGATCACCCACCAACGTATTTTTAAAAATTATAAAAAAAATTACTATAATTTATTATATAAATTACTATATAACTACATACATTTCAAGACTAATGTTTGAAATGTATGCAGAGGAAAATGTAACAAGAAAGAAACAGCCCAAAGGTATAAGGAAGGACTGACAAACAAAAGATTGAAGATGTGATATAAAAAACTGATAAGGCAATGTGAAAGATCTGAACACTTTATATAGATAAATATCTCAATACTCGGTTACAAACAGAAAAGCTAGAAAAAGTTAAACCAAAAGCAACCACTTTGGTACATAGAGGTATATATATACTCAACAAAGGCACAAAGAACGAAGGGGTGCAGAACATGTCCCACAACACTAATACTGTACCTTACTGAAGAAAAAGTTCTGGTGATCAAGATAGAAAGTTCTCCTCACTGCAAGACAACTTATTACCAACATGCACAAGACCATCCCTGTATAAATGCCAAGTGATAATACTAGGGTTAAGTGTAAGATGCAGATACAAGTGGTTGCACATACCCAGTAGCTTCTCACTCTCTACAAACTCTTAACAATATACAGTATACCTATATATATATATAATTACCAGAGACTTGGTAAATACATTTGATATATTATGAACATATGGTTCACCATAGATGGGAACAGGAAGCCTACTCAGCTTATTGAAGGTCCCCTAAGCTAACTACAGCTGACCCTCCCCAGGATGCAACCCACAACAGTTGCCGAACTCCCAGGTACCAATTTGTTGCTAGGTGTACAGTGACATCGGGTGAAGGGCAGCATCCACAACTATCTCTGTCCAGCCCAGAAATCAAACCAAGGAGCCTCAATTGTAAGCCAACAATGTAGACCATTATGCAAAGAATCTTTACATCATTGTAATTATCAGAACAAGAGACAAGATAATTTATGTGAGTTCCTCCTCTTGGGGACCACCAAACATTTAGAAAACATAGACTAGAAACAAGAGGCATAATATGCCTTTAGAATCTCTTTGGTGTAATATAGTGACTCAAAATACAAATAAACTGATAGTAGCAGTCTTATAGTACAGTACAGTGGTCTAGCTGTAAATAGGTACCCATGAGTTAGGCAACTGGAGTGGGCTGTATCCTGTGGATGATCAGTAGTTAAGCTTACTGAGGTCTCTTTATGTTAAGTGGCAGGCTTCCTGGCACCAGCCATCTTTGTTGGTGCCAGAAGGTTGGAGGACTCTAGAAGTAGATCAAATTATCCAAAATCAATAATGGAGTTTGCATATACGTAATTACGTTTATCACAAACTTCTATATATAAAATGTTTATACAGTACCAGGGAAAAGTGCCTCCAGAATGGAAACTTGCACATTATTCATATCTCAAAGGAAGATTGAAGAAATACAGCAGAAAACTACAGACCAGTCAACTAAATCTCACATCCCAAGGCTTTTTAAGCGAGTTCTGAGGAAAGAAAAATCACACTCCTAAAGTGCCCATTCTAATTAATTCAACACAATTAGGTTAAAAAGGAAAACAAAATAGTGCCCAACAAACCTCCTTCTGTAAGCAATAAGTAATAATTAAAGGTACTATGCCAACATGGCTCACAGTTGATAACTGCAGCATATAAACTAATGTTTCTCAGTCAACATGGTGTGCACAAACTTTTCTATGGCTTTTGAGAATACTGTATTCTATGTGAAAGACTGGCTCAGTAATTACAACCATAAAGAATCACTTGTAAAATACAGCACTGAAATGGCTGACACATTAGTTAAAGCAATGAGCAAGGCCAGTGAATGAGGACGACCAATGCATGGGAACATACAACAGGTAAGAAAAGGTAATTATCAGGTACCAATTTGTTGCTAGGTGTACAGTGGCATCAGGTGATGGGCAGCATCCCCAACTATCTCTGCCCAGCCCAGAAATCAAACCAGGGAGCCTCAATTGTAAGCCAACAATGTAGACCACTGTGCAAAGAATTTTTACATCATTGTAATTATGCATTTGGTTGATGACGTGCCACTAAAGACAGGCACATCATCAACCATGACAACAAAAATGGATGTGGTGTATCTCACACTGGGGTTAGAGAGGATGCAATACTTCCCTCAACACAAATAACAATGTATGGGATTGGCGTGACATTATCGGAATGTCTTGATCCCTTTCTATTAAGACAACTTTCGAAGGCGAGGCAAGCAGCTGACCCCTTACATGATATCAAGAACTGGCATGATCACCGCACAATTCTTGCAACATGAAATTGATGTGGGAAACTGTGTTAACATCATGCACAAACCAAGACATGACCAACTAGACTACCACATTAACACATAATAAAGGCTGCATTTAGTGCATGGAAAAACAACAGAGGTACAGGCATAAGTTGATATAACACTGAACCTGTCTCCTGAAGCCCAAATCATAAAGAATATCACCATCAGTGTATGCGAGGCTGGCTAACATCAGAACTGTCTTTAGAAACGTGTGTAAGGAATGATTTAGAACCTTGTATACCCCACATGTAAGACCAATCCTGATATAATAGCATCAGATCTCACTGACACTGCTTTCGAAAAAAAATAAGCATAATTATAATAATAATTTATTGTGTCAGGGGACAGGCAGCGTGTATGTATTGTTAAGCTTATATCGAGGTCCCCCCCAAGAGTCAAACTATTGACACTGCCCAGGATGTAACCCCACAACAAGCAGACAACAGTAACTCCCGAGTACCTATTTACTGCTAAGTGAACAGAGGCATTAGGTGATAAGAAAGGTGCTCAAACATTTTTGTATTGCCTCGAATTATTGATCGAGAGTTGAAAATGAGCCAGACTCTACTACTACTACTACTGCTGCTGCTGCTGCTGCTAGTGTTGAATGTAATGAAGCACCCATTTCTGGACAGTTTTAGTACCTGACTAAGGCATTGGGTGTGGTAGCACAGACATAACTACCACACCTGACATGGTCACACACCTACCACACATCTGGACAAGGATCACATGTGCTCGTAGAGGTGCAGGAAAGCATGGGGGATCTGAGGTTATCCTAAAACAAACAAACAAACACCCATTTGATGCAAAGCAGAAGTACATATTTTGAAGGAGAAATGATGGAGAGGTGGTGCAGCTTAGTGCAGTACCAGGCGGTAAAGTTGTTGAAGTACCACCTACCAGGGCGAGGGTGAAGGTGAAGAGAGTTATTGTTGTTGGTATGTGGTATGATCTTGATAGTAGGTGTAGTCCGCGTGAAGGGTTTATCCCGATGACTGCACCAGTACAGGTGTTGGGAGAGGCGGTTATGTCGAGGATGATAAGAGTGTCAACAGTGCTTGTTACGTTGTGGTGTAGAGAGAGGAGCGGCGACACAAGAGAGCAGGGTGTTAGAGGGAGACTTGCCACAGCACCGCGGGTGTTGATGGCGTCAGCTGATCCTTGGTGTTGTGGCTCCACACTTGTTGTCTGTGGTGGTCAGCTGGTGCTGGTGGCGCCACGTATAAATGTGGCGCCGGGCACATGTGTTGATGTGACGACTTATATTGAATTTTGTAACTAGCTCATCAAGATTGTAACTTGCTTAGCTAAATGAATTGTGGGGTTCAGTCCATGAGCCCATTATGTGCCTCTGTAACCCTTTCCACTACCGCCCACAAGATGGGTATGGGGTGCATAATAAATGAACTAAACTAACTCACATGTGGCTCACTTTGTTGCTTCACTGCAGATATTTAGTCAGTCCTTGGACTATTTGGTATTTTTCCTGTCACGAAAGGTCACCTCCTCCTAATATATGTTCGATGGCAAAGAGTATTTTAAGTGCGATAAATACTTGTTTCAAATTTACTCATGCACTACGATGTCTGAAACAGTGGAGGAGATATAGTGTTGGATTGTTTCAGGCACCTGACAGTGTTCATTTATTATGCACCCCATACCCATCTTGTGGGCTCAAAGTACCTGACAGTGGATGAACAGTTCGTTGATGTTTGTTCTGTAATTAGAGCTGTGTGCTGCCAGTTTAGTACCAGCCTTAACCTGGTCATTGTTACAGATGATTGATTGATTGATTGATGAAGATTAAGCCACCCAAAAGGTGGCACGGGCATGAATAGCCCGTAAGTGGTGGCCCTTTTGAGCCACCACTCTGTGGAGGTGCGGCTGCACCCTGCGTGACGGGAAATGTCTCCCGTCCATTGTTACATCAATTTCTTTGCTTTTATATCTGACATGTTTCCAAGTTTCCCATTTCTTTTTAATGGACCCATAGTACAAAGGGGAGCATGACGTTTTCCATTTCGTGGCAAAACCTTGGGTGATGGTATGGTGGAGAGCGATTGGACTGGCTGATGGTTCTTCTCAAATAGTCACTAATTGTGCTGTTACATCGTCTCCGTTTTCTATGACTGCTGGTATTAGTAACTTTCTCAATTCTTAACTGCATCTTACCTGCGGCCCGCCAAAACTAACAGCCTCCACAAGGATAAGACGCCACAGACTTGTCCAAGCTCCCTTCCCCCCCCCACCCCCTCCCTCCCATTTGCCTTGAAATTGTTCTGATACCTTGATGACGTCGTTGTGACAATTTTGTCAGGGACAGTGTGAGAGCGCAAGGAATGTACTCGCCTATTTGTGCTTGCGGGGGTTGAGCTCTGGCTCTTTGGTCCCGCCTCTCAACTGTCAATCAACTGGTGGACAGATTCCTGAGCCTATTGGGCTCTATCATATCTACATTTAAAACTGCATATGGAATCAGCCTCCACCACATCACTGCCTAATGCATTCCATCTGTTAACTACTCAGGCATTGAAAAAGTTCTTTTTAATGTCCCTGTGGCTCATTTGGGTACTCAGATTCCACGTGTGTCCCCTTGTTCGCGTACCACCCGTGTTGAATAGTTTATCCTTGTCTACCCTGTCAATTCCCCTGAGGATTTTGTAGGTAGTGATCATGTCTCTCCTCGTCTGTCTTCCAGTGTCGTAAGGTGCATTTCCCGCAGCCTTTTCTCGTAACTCATGCCTCTTAGTTCTGGGACTAGCCTAGTGGCATATATCTGACCTTTTTCCAGTTTCGTCTTGTGCTTGACAAGATACGGGCTCCATGCTGGGGCCGCATACTCCAGGATTGGTCTTACATATGTGGTGTACAAGATTCTGAATGATTCCTTACACAGGTTCCTTAACGCTGTTGATATTAGCCAGCCTCGCATATGCCGCAGACATAATTTGTTTTATGTGGGCTTCGGGAGACAGGGTTGATGTGATATCAACTCCTAGATCTTTCTCTCTGTCCGTTTCATTAAGTACTTCATTTCCTATTCTGTATCCTGTGTCTGGCCTCCTGTTTCCACTGCTTAGTTTCATTACTTTGCATTTACTCGGGTTTAACTTTAGCAGCCATTTGTTGAACCAATCATTCAGTTTGTCTAGGTCATCTTGTAGCCTCCTACTATCATCCTCTGTTTCAATCCTCATAATTTTTTGCATCATCAGCAAACATTGAGAGAAACGAGTCTATACCCTCTGGGAGATCATTTACATATATTAGAAACAGTATAGGTTCAAGGACTGACCCCTGCGAGACTCCACTTGTGACGTCTCGCCAATCTGAGACATCACCCCTCACACAAACTTGTCTTCTGTTGCTTAGGTACTCCCTTATCTAGTGGAGTACCTTCCCTTTCACTCCAGCCTGCATCTCCAGATTTTTCACTAGCCTCTTGTGTGGTACTGTATCAAAGGCTTTCTGGCAATCCAAAAATATGCAGTCTGCCCACCCCTCTCTTTCTTGTCCGATTTTTGTTGTGTGGTCATAGAATTCAATTAGCCCTGTGAGGCATGACTTGCCATCCCTGAACCCATGTTGATGCTGTGTTACAAAGTTCTTTCGCTCCAGATTTCTACTAGCTTTCTTCGCACAATCTTCTCCATCAGCTTGCATGGTATGCAGGTTAGGGACACTGGCCTGTAGTTCAGTGCCTCCTGTCTATCCTCTTGTATATCGGGACTACATTGGCTGCTGTCCAAATTTCTGGCAGTTCCCCTGTTGCCAGTGATTTGTTATACACTATGGAGAGTGGCAGGCACAGTGCTTCTGCTCCTTCCTTTAGTATCCAAGGGAAGATGCCATCTGGGCCTATAGCCTGTCACATCCAACTCTATTAAAAACTTCCTTACTTCCCCACTGATAATCTCAACTCACTTCTAGTGGTTCCTGGTTAACAATTCCCTCTTATCTCTGGAATATCTCCTTGCTCTAAGGTGATGACCTCTTGGAATTTCTTACTCAGTTCCTCACACACACTTGTCATTTGTAGTGAATCCTTCTGCCCCTATCCTTAATTTAATTACCTGTCCCTTTATTACTTTTTTTTCTCCTGATGTGGCTGTGCAGCAATTATGGGTTATGTCTTTGCACAATTCACCAACTAGGTGTATTCACCTAGTTGTGCTTGTGGGGATTGAGCTCCAGCTCTTTGGCCCTGCCTCTCAACCATCAATCAACTGGTAATTACCCAAGTATAGTTACAGGATGAGAGCTACACTCGTGGTGTACAGTCTTCCCAGCACAGTGGACAGTTTGAAACTACAATACAGTACTGGCAGTTTTGGTCTCCACCGCTACTTCACTTAATTTGTTCAGTCTTCCACTCTGCAAAAGTGAATGGTGTCCAGGTTTCTGAGCCTTCTGCAACAGGTCAGACTATAGGGTGAAAATTTCTAGTTGAAGTGCTTTATGAATTTAATTTCTCACTGGCAAGAGCAACCACATTGAGCAGAACCTCTGCAATGAGCGCTGTGTCCCAGATCTGTTATGCCACATCAAGTCATCCCATTTATTTGTATTTTTAATAAATATTATTAAATATGATCAGATCAGCTGTATACATACATACATATACACACACACAAGTTGTTACCTTCTTGTACAGCCACTAGTAGGCATAGCGTTTCGAGCAAGTCCTTAATCCTATGTTCCCTGGAATACGACCCCCACGAAAAATCGTTTTTACAACCAGGTACCCATTTTACTGTTGAATTAAACAGGGTACAGTTAAGGATTTGCACCCAGTAAATCCTCCCCGGCCAGGATACGAACCCAGGACAAAGTGCTCGCGGCACCCCGCGAGCGTCGTACCACTATGCCACCGAGACTGCGTGGCGTATTTAAAATTAATTTAGTAAAATTGAAGTTAGAATAATGTATGAGTAATTCAATTCGTAGGAAATAAGTTTTATTAAGGCAGTAGAATAATTGTAAAATATAAAATATGACAGATAATATATTTACACTGCAAGGGTAAAACACTGTGCACTGTGACAAACTGTGGTCACATAATTAGGCTCTCCAGTCAAATATTTAAAAAGAAAATGGGAGGAAACGAACTTGTGGGAGAACTTTGATACTATCACAACTCACAATGACCACAATTAGTTTCATTGCTAGCTAAGTCATGGCACAGTCTTTCAAGATACAGGCAAATGGACACACTGACAATCTTTTAAATCTTTAAATCTTGACACACACATTACCAAGAATTTTAGCATTACATCGTAATTTGACTGGTCAAATATTTTGAAGCGTAATCCAAGACTAGTGGAGATGTTAGAGAGGCGTCAACGTGTGTCCGTGGCCCCCATCTGGTCTGCACCTCGCAAGCACAACATGATGCCCACACTAAACAACAGCATCTTACCACAACAATTCTTATGCCATTATGCTAATTAATAATAATAAAAAAAGGCTAACAACAGACCTATCAGACTGGCAGTAGACTGTACAGTTTTAAAATGATTTATAATAGTACATCAAACAATAACTGACAAGATGACCGAGAGTGAAAAACCGACTCTACCTTCTTAAATACTGTTTTGTGTAAATACGAAAGCCATTAAATGGCTACAAAAGCTCCTTACAAATACCAAAATGAATTTAGATATCTACATCAATCTGCACCAATTAATGGATTATGAAAGTGATGACTAAATGATGCAATTTAAAATAAACCATAGACATTACTGTGAAGACCAAGATGAGGACTGTCCAACAGTTGTTCAGTGTATAGGTTAGGAGAAGGTGCTGTGGGCTCTGTAAGGTATATTACAGTGGCTCAAGGAACTTATTCAAACTGAAGGTTTATCTTCTACTTCTACCTACATTCACCTATACAAACATTCACAATACTTTTTGATTTTTATAAGTATATTGTCTCTTGTGAGCACTGTAACAATCCTTTGCCATTGGCCTCTTTGTACTGCCTCATTAAAGCCCATACTCACCAGCTTCTCTTAGTAACTCCAGCTGCAACACACATTTTCTCTTTCAGCTTGTTGGTAACAATTGTTGTTCCTTAATCATTGACTGTATAAAGCTATAAACATGTTCAATCAAAACATTTTTCAGGAACAAATAAAAAGTTTCTTATCATGCATTAAATGCAAAACATTGCCACTTCACTAAACACTTAAAATTAATTTAAATATCCTAACTAAAAGAAATTTAAAGTATTCATTTCTCATTAAGAATTATCTACGTAAAATACACTTATTCACAATATTTTTTATTTACACAAGTGTCAAGACACTTTAATGACTTCAAAAGCTTATTCTCTTTAATACTCAAAATTTCCTTCAAGACGAATAGCTTTCTTAATCTTGTTGACTGTAGGTTCATACTGTCACTCAGTCTTTAAATCACACCACAATCATAATTCATCACAGATATACCACGTTTTCTAACCATAATAATCTTCAGAACTAATAAAATAAAATCACATCGCCAGCATATTTATAAATAAAATGCATATTGTCCATAACACAGATATAAATCATTTCCCACCCCCATAGCTTGGCACAAAGCTCCTCCATTCCATGTCCGAGACAAATCAAAGCTGTACATAAGCCATATTCCTGATACAGAGCAAGCACGTAATTGGCAGCTCAATAACAATACTTATATTCATGCAGGAAAATTCCTGCTTTATACACTATGTCCACGTGGAAATTATTAGCTTACAATATAAATGGTATAATATTGCAATACATATACAGCATTTTATTTACAAAATGGAGAAACTATCACAAAGAATTGCTTTATTTGATCAAAGTGTGCAGCTATTATAACTGAGATAGATTGTATAGTTAACTGCAATAAAAATCCACCTATTAAAAGACTTTCAAATTCTTTTGGCCTTATTTAGTGTGCTAATCACATGAATCTTCAATTTGTCTACAACTATCCTCTTAAACATCTCATCTTGAAATACTGTAAAGATTAGTATAATCATACTGTGTATAAATGCCATACAGAACCTAAACTCTCCATCCAACAGCATATGGAAATTTGTTATTATATATATTATATAAAATCTCCAATGTGTTATTTTGTTTATTAAAGTCCTTAAAAGATTTCAAATCTGAGATGCACAGGTCAAGGGCTTGTAAAGAATAAAATAGTATGAGGTTAAGAAGGGGATGGTAAGGGGGAGGGAAGACGACCCAGGATGATGAAGGTGGGACATGTGGACTTCTCCTGTGCAGGTTGGGGCAACAAGGCATCTCCCCTGCTGGCGGGGGCAGCCAGACATGTAAATGAGGGAAGGAAAAAAAAAAGAGAGAGGTCAGGGGAGTGAAGCTGGACCAGGGACGTGAAGGTGGGGCAGGGGCCAGGGACGTGAAGGTGGGGCAGGGACCAGGGACGTGAAGGTGGGGCAGGGACCAGGGACGTGAAGGTGGGGCAGGGACCAGGGACGTGAAGGTGGGGCAGGGACCAGGGACGTGAAGGTGGGGCAGGGACCAGGGACGTGAAGGTGGGGCAGGGACCAGGGACGTGAAGGTGGGGCAGGGACCAGGGACGTGAAGGTGGGGCAGGGACCAGGGACGTGAAGGTGGGGCAGGGACCAGGGACGTGAAGGTGGGGCAGGGACCAGGGACGTGAAGGTGGGGCAGGGACCAGGGACGTGAAGGTGGGGCAGGGACCAGGGACGTGAAGGTGGGGCAGGGACCAGGGACGTGAAGGTGGGGCAGGGACCAGGGACGTGAAGGTGGGGCAGGGACCAGGGACGTGAAGGTGGGGCAGGGACCAGGGACGTGAAGGTGGGGCAGGGACCAGGGACGTGAAGGTGGGGCAGGGACCAGGGACGTGAAGGTGGGGCAGGGACCAGGGACGTGAAGGTGGGGCAGGGACCAGGGACGTGAAGGTGGGGCAGGGACCAGGGACGTGAAGGTGGGGCAGGGACTAGGGACGTGAAGGTGGGGCAGAGGTCAGATGAAAAGTCTCGTGTCAATATATGTTTTATAAACGTTAATTCAACAAGAAGGATGGCAACTCTGAATGCTCCATAATTGTGTATTACAGTGTGTAGCAGCATTTGAAAGCTAAAGATTATCTCCTAACGTCGTTCTCTTCTTTGATGATGAGTTTAGCATCCTTGAGTTGATGAGAGAGGAACCTCATGGACTCAAAAGTATACCATTAAGAGACAACTGAAAGAATTTGCAAACACCAAAATTTTTTTTGGACCAAACAGCATTGATACCATAATAAATTAATTCAAACACATAAGACAAACCCTTACATCTTCCCTCCCTTGAACACCACCTGTATATCTCAGAGATATGATACAGACCTTAGATAAAATATCTACAAGTCGATTCTCACTAGTATCTCTCTCTTCACTTAACACTTTCTGTTCTCGGCCACCTATTGTGTATATATTATACAAATATATATATTATATATAATATATAATATATATATACACCTATATACATACACACACACAGTATATATTATCTACTCATCTTTATTATAGCTAAGCAAGTGGGTATGTAATTGTGCATCTTTCTAGTGTTATTACAATTTTAAGTAAGCAGAATTTGCAATATTCATATGAGTGCAAAATACATTATTTTGTTAATGCATATTTCAGTACTACACAGTAACATGGATTAAATATAATTCAAAGAGTACAATGACCTGTTTACTGTCTTTGGAATATTTTCAAAAAATTAAAAATTATTCATAGGTTTACTTTGTAATTACAGACATATTTATTTAAAGATTTATAGATAATTTTATATGCAAATATCCCTTGGATCACATATCTCGCATATTGCACTTGCATTAATATTTTGACGTCTATCAGACTGATGACGACAATAAAACCTGAAAATGACATGCACTAAATACCAGCATTGGCCATCCCTGACCCCAAGTACCAGTAGTAAAGGCCCAGAGAACACCAGAATCTGTGGCCACATGTATTCTTTGGTTTGCCTTTGTTTCACACCATTTTAAGTTAGTTGTACTCTAATGAAAAAAAATCTAGTGTTGGCAGTGCTCTAAGTCTGACACAACATACTAGGGTTCCATGTTGGCTCATCTAGTCATACAGGTGTTACTGTAGTTCATCACTCAATCTAATAAAAATGGCTGTTATATATAAATGCGAAGACTGACCTACACATCCCTAATAATGCATATTTTTTTTATTTACATATCTCAAATACACTAGGTTCCAACAACCATAAATAACTGCAGTATAACTATGTTTGATTTCATCATATTTCTGTAATTCATAGATATTAACAATATGCTAAGATTCTATACATCAAGAGGTGATGCATACATGTCACAGCCTTCTTAAGAAGTTTCCATCAAGATCATGATGCAACACCAGTACTTACATTCGTCTTAACTTGTTTTGTTTGCTAGCAGGTCAAGTACTATGAAGAGGATCTAAAACACAGTAAGTTGCCATGGAAGCAATCCCTCTACTATAAGATTCATAGTCTTGGAGAGCATACGAGATGTCTGTGAATACAACACGTAGAAATGTGCTTTAAGAAATAGTTGCCTTCTTTAACTGTACATACTTAAATTTACTATACAAAAGATTTGCCCTTAAAATACTGTACTATACATTGACAACATCCTCAAGAGCAAGGTCAGTATTGAGAACGTGTTTGTGTGATGTTTGGCGGTGTAGTGGGGGTCCCGAGATGGAGTCACCATCCCGTTCACCGTCCACCCAAGTCTCCTCCAGTTCCTGTTGGTGAATTTTTTTATGAATGAGAACATTGGATATTTTATTAAAAATTTTCATTGCATTCATGAAAATATAAAAAATGCTATAAATTAAAATTTTGTATTTTTGGGATTATTTGTGTATTTTATGAAATTTATACAAACCATTTTCTTTTAACTAAGCAATTTTGGTACATTTATTTACATAATTGTTAATGAATATGACCAAAAGGGTAAGGAACAATGATTCTAGCATGAGCCATCTCTACATTTCTTGTGAAGTTTAAAATTAACTTTTGGGTTCAGTTTCAAAGTACAGTACTGTAATTATCAAACGAAGGTGCCAAGCCGGGAAGATCATGTAGCACCATCAAAGGTGCAGGATATTCAAGACGCTAAATATCACTACGGATGCTATTACAAGAACAAAAAAGAATAAGGTGAATGATATCAACGGTATGTGAGTCGCGAAGGATTCTATTGGTGGACTAATGACCACAAGGGACAGTCGAGAAGCAAGGTATGCATTCTGGTATATTCAACAAGGATATGCATAACAGTACGAGGGAAAATGCAAAACGGACAATAAGGAGCCGGGCGGCACTCCATTAAGTATACCTGCAGCATTCCTGGAGAGGGTACTGGGAGTAGTAGTTCTCTCCGAGCCTGGCCTCACTTGTGATAATTTGGTCCACCAGGCTGTTGCTTGGAGGGGTACGCAGGGCCACATATCCACTACAGCCTGGTTGGTCCGGCACTTATTGCAAGAACTTATCTAACTGCCTCTTGAATACATCCACCTTTGTTCCAGCAATATTTCTAATGCTTGCTGGGAGGGTGTTGAACAGCTGTGGATCTCTGATGTTCAGACAGTGCCTATGGCACCTCTACTCTTCACTGGTTCTATTCTGCATTTCCTTCCATATCTTTCATTCCAGTATGCTGTTATTCTACTGTGCAAATTTGGTACCTGGCCCTAAAGTATCTTCCATGTACCGTATATATTATTTGATACCTCTCGTCTCCTTTCCAAAGAGAACGTTTTAAGAGCTTTGAGACGGTCCCAATAATTTAAATGTTTTAACGTTTCTATGCATGTCGTATATATTCTCTGTATTCCCTCTAATTCAGAGATCTTGTCTGCTCTGAAAGGGGAAGTGAGTATCAAGCAAAACTCAAGACGGGACAGCATCAGTGACTTAAATACAATAGTATTAGGATTGCTGTGGGCATCTCTGGATTTGAACTCTCACAATTCATCCCATCATTTTCCTGGCCGCCGCTATATTTGCTCGGTTATATACACTAAGTGTCAGGTCATCAGACCTGACAAGTGCCCATGAGTTAAATGTGTATGGCCCACATGTAACCTCACTAGATCAAAGTTCGTTTTAAATTTTTTAGGCCCAACATGTGATCTCAGGTGATTTAGTTTGTGTAGAAATGATGAGATATCTGATTGTGCCTTGATATTTGTACATGGTCAGGCACCTTGAAAGAGTTGTTGTCTTGCCTATATATTGTGATTGTTGAAGCCAACAGTCCTGAAGTGGGCATTTAAGGCATTAATGGCATTCTTATCTTATGATGAAAGTGGTGGCAGTCTTGCTCTTAGTAAATTACCTGGAGTTTACCTGGCATTGTTGTTCTCACCAAAGAGAACAACCTGGGGGCAGGCATCATTGAGACGACAATGGGGTGGAAAGGGAGGGAAAATATGCAGTTTCATGCATGGCCACATTGGTGAAAAGGGGACTCAACATCCAGATCATCTCCTACCAGATGCTGCAAAACTCGCAGCACATCAACAAATCTTTTTGGAGATTACAGGATGAAAGCACCCATCACATAAGGAGTGAACAATGTCAAGTTACTTAGCCAGCCTGTATTTGAGTGTGGGAATGTTGCTGAAAATTTTGGGAAGTGGGTTTCAAGGTTCAAATCTTAGTTCATCCTTCTTTCAATTCAACAAAAGATTTGGTAGTTTATGCCCCCAGCCAACTAATAAGAATTCCCGACCAGATGAACCTGACTTCAGCAAGTTAATCGGCATACCTGGAGCATACCTGGTATGCTCCAGGTATGCTCCCGGCACACTCACGTTCGCAATGTCTGCATTGTAAGTTTATATTTACTATCCTCCTTCTTTTGAAGATACAAAAATGAACTTACCAATACTCATAGGGATCAATATACAGTACACGTTTAAAGTGAACTTTGCACATTTTTTAAACTTCATTCCTAATACATATATAGAAGATTCACGCTGAAATAATTTACCAAAATTGCTTCGGTCATATTCAGTAACACGTACTGTACCAACAAGAATGACGGCTCCAAAAATAAATATATTATCTATTAGTTAAGAACAAATTAAAACAAAACTTCAGTTACTATAAGCACCCATCAATACCCACTATATGATGTTTGGAAAACTAATCTTTGAAGTTGGCTTGTTAAGATTTTTTGGCTATTGGGTATGGCATGTATGTGCTCATACCCATACCCAATCTCTCTCAATAATAATGCCACTCTGTGCAACAAACTTTAATGTTTTAAACGTGTATTTTTTTTTTTTTTTTTCAAATTACTGTGTATGAAAATGCATCCTTAACTATTTGTATCTACTGCTTTAGATTTTAGTGTGTAATGTAATCAAGGCAAGTTTTGCTTGTGATCAGAGAGGAATGTAGCCTCTTATTACACAAAGCTTTTGTGAGAGGTTTCACTATCTTTACTTATACAGTATTGCAATATATTAATTTTCTAAACAATAACAAATGAGCCAATCTGTAAACAAGAAACAGTTGGGTATTAAACAGGATATGGCCTTGTATTATGCAGTTATTTTATATTAAACTACTCATTGACAATATGACTAAAAGTAATGGCTTCATTTTAGCTTAAGAATGTGTATATTCAATATTGAAATCAGCTACAGTAGGTGTCTCTTAAGCAATGTTACTGAAAGTATGAAATGCTTTCAGTAGTTTTCCAGCTCAAAAATAGCTTAAAATTATCTGGAGTGCAAATAGTACTTACTCTACCATACGTGAATGTGAAAAAGTATTACGATAAGGCTGAATAAACCATGCATTGTATACCTCTAGCTGGTTGCTTGTGAGCGTCGAGCGCCGCTTGTCGAAGATTACCAGCAGCTCGGGGGCCATACCTACACAAATAACACAAACACATACACGTGCACAATCAGTGACCACTAAAACATAAGCAAAAGTAGATAGCATGTAGTGACACTTAAGCAAAGCAGGATTGAAAATGTGATGTTTGTGTTGTGGATCTGCACTCACAGCCATTTTCCTAAATACCATATTGACAAGTGCTTTATGATTAAAAATAAAAGTTTGAATTTTGTGATTACTGTAGCAACAAAATAAACTTAAATGAATTGAGACATTCTAATTGTGATATGATTTAATCTAGTAACAATCTGCAGATTTTAAAATTATCCATCTTTACAACACATTAAAAATTATAACAAGAAATAAGCAAAACAAAAAAATTATCATATACGTTTATACTACACAGTTACACAAGCAAAAAGAATATGCAACGGCCATGAGATATACACCAAAAAAACCACATCAAGATAAAACAAGACTGTTGGTACTAGATTAATCTAATATGAAAGGAATAGACTGGAACATAAACGAAGCAAAAAAACAACATCGGATGTAACGAAATGCCTCTTTCTGGGAGGCCTCAGTGGCTCCACGTAGCTAGCTGCACCAAGATATCTTCTCACCTATAAGTCACATCAGCCTTGGCAAGTCTTTAATAGCTCACCAGAGACCAGAACCCACAACTTTGCCTGCCCCCTCACAGATAGCAGGGGATTCATGTTCACCCTCACCGAAATCCCCAGAAAGGAAACAAAACAGACAATTGCAAGGTTGAAAGAAATTAAGCAAACATCGGAGCATATAATCCACCCAGTAGTTAGGTCATATACCACCAGGTGGCAGTACAATGGAAGCTGCTGGCTGCCCCCGTCACCAGCAGCACAATCATGAGATGTTAAAAAAAAAAAAAAAAAAAAAATTATGCACCAGGAAAGAAGGGAAGGGAGCAATTGAGACCCCCTACCCTCAGAGAGAAGGGTTTTATTTCATTTAATTGAGGGGCTGAACAGTGGCTCCATGTTCCTAACTCGAAAGAAAAATGGAACTCACCAGGAGAGGAGAGCAAAGATCAACCCCCCCCCCAAGGGAAGAGGCCAGGATGGCAACAAAAGCTTGATGGGGACCAGAAACAGTGACCAGGTACTGAGCCACAAGGACCCTGTAATACCTTTACAGCCCGAGCCCAGATATCAGTCCAAGACTAAGAAAACACAGCAGTTAAAGTTGCAAACTTTGAAACACTGTGGGGCCAAAATGTTGGACCACAGGCTATAGTACATACATTGTCATAACTGAATAACAAATTATGCCTCCTTGGCTGGACAAACCAAGAATCAATGACCAAAGAGACTCAGAAGCCAACCAGCTCATTCATCAGAAAAACCCAACAACACCTGTTAGGCTGCAAATGAAGAAACCGTCCAACAGGTTCAAGTCACAACCACCAGCACTAACCTGGTAAAGATCTGAGGGGCCATATTCAAGCCAAAAGGAAAGACCTGAAAGCAGTATGAAAGATGCCCCCACAATAAACCTTGACCAGTCCCTGGACCTCAGATGAATTGGGATGTGCCAGTACACATCTCCGAGGTTCAGGAACCTGCCTACAAAACTAAGCAGACACAAAGTTATAACCTAGAAGGCCCACACATTGCAGGGTCCAGGAGCTGGCAAAAAGGGGCTAGATATCCTAAAATAGCATCATCAAAGGGGCAAACTGTAAAATAGACAACACAAAAGCTTCCAAGCAGTTGCACCTTTCTATGACAACAATGATACCAACTAGACTAGGTAAATGCTGGAGGAAGAGCTATGATCCAAGAGTATGACTCCTCCAAAACTCTACCTCAACCAACAATAGGCGAGCCCAATCCCAAGGAAACCACCTCTGAGCATCAGGGGCAGAACCACATTTCCAGACAGGAGCTGGAAAGCAACAGCCACAGCTGAAAAAACGTACAGAGAAAACTTTAGGAAAAAGTAGGGATGAAAAGGGAGAGAGGCAGAGTGAAGGAAACTTAAAAACAAAGAGCTATACCCTTCCTCAATCATGAGGGAATAGTTTGTATATATTAAATAGTTTACAAACTTGGAAACATCACAACCCAAAGTTGTCATTGTTATAGACAAACCATGTAGTGCCCTGGGGCTCATGAACTGTAATAAATTTAAACTAATCTGTCATGATTGAGGAAGACTGTACCGGCTTCATAAGTGCACCTGTAAATGCCTTCTGGGCCAGGGGTCACAAAAACATGGACCAATATAGGGTGAGACAGCCCACAAACATTTGAGAAATACAAAATATTTATAAAATATAAAATCCAGAGATTAAAAATAAGCAACAGAATAACAGTGAAAGAAATGTGCGAAACACTAAATGGACATTTCCTGTACGTGTACAAAACTAGGTTTACACTGCAGAACATGCTGCATAACCTAAATCACTTGTGTATGTAGAGGCATAATTTCAGGAATTATATAATCCCAACTAGGGCCTACATACATAAATCACTACATAATCAAGTGCAACTTTAGAGTGTATGTAAATAGTGTATCACCATGTCCACATGACAAAACCAGAAACATTTGGCCTTGATATGAGGTATATGATGTTCTTATATGATGTTCAGTCTCTGGGGACTGGCATGCAGCTGGAAGAGCTTATTTCCTCATTCTTTCTACCATTTTATGGGTTACGTGATCATTCAGGGTCCCTGATAGATTAAAATCTTTATTACTAGATATATAATAATGTTTAGTAAAACAAATCACAATCACTACAAAAATCATAATAATTATTATATCTAACATGCAAATTACCATGCAAATCAAAATCAATAAGGCAAAAATTACTATTTTAGACAGACACAGCACCCTGATCATGCCAATAATCCAATCATGCTCAAATCTCAATACATACACAGTACTGTACATGATATTCACAATGATTACCTGTATAAATGGCCTCTTTAATGACAAGAGGAAATATTAATTTTATGTTACTAACACACTATTAATATTAGTAATCAAATAGATTAAATGTTGGATAATGCTTATTTCTCTCTCACAATAAGTCTCTATTAGCACTTTTATTGTTTACCTTGCTATGAAATCAATCCAAATAACAGCTGATAAAAACCTTACAATATTAATAAGATGCTATACACTTTCTGTAGACAGGACACACTTGGTAATAAGAACAGTTTCAGGATCCAACAGAAAACAGTAATAGTTGTCTAGAATAGTAACATACCAAGATGAGAGGGGGCAGGTCGCCTCAGTGTGATGGCCAGATGGCTGCTACAATCACACACTAAACTACAGACTAGGGCATTGAAATATTGTGTAAAATGCTGCAGAAAGTAATCAGGCTGAGAATAATGTAACACCTGCAGAGGATAAACTTTGTAATGACAGGGCAGCATAAATTTAAAAGCAAAAAGTAACGCCTGACAAACTTAATCAAGCTTTAAAACAATGTTACCAAAATACAACAGGAAAAAGAAGGCTGGGGAGAACGGCAGACTATCTTCCTAGACTGGCAAACAGCATTTGATGCCATTGTTTATGAAAGGATCATGTACAACAGAGACATCAGCTGGGGTAATGGGGCAACACAGGATGAGAACACCAGAAGAATTAAATCATACTCCAATCTTTTAGGGCCCTACCAGAAGCTGGATAACATCCTAAAGAGAGAAGAAAAACAAAATAATGGAGTAGGGGGAGCCCCAAGGTGAATAAAAAAAAAAAAAAAAAAAAAAAAGCTCATATGGACATATGAAGCACATTGCAAACTCCTAAATTATATTATTTGGGGCAATTTTTATATTGAATCAGTTTTTCACCTCATACCTTTAAACATTCTTATTTTACTCATCATTAATGTACTGTAATTTGTTATCTTCCTTCATGCACATTCCTTAGCTGCATTTTTAGCTACTTTAGTTCCATGTAAAACCTATTCCTCTTGACATTACAACATTAAAATGGTTTGTGAAAAACACATCCATATAAATTATTTTCAGTTATTTTTGCATTTAAGAATTACCTATGTCAATGTTGAAAAGTGTACATTAGCTGTAAGGTAAAGTAAGTGTGTGTACAAAGTATGTGTCTTAATGAGGGATACTTAATTGAAGACAAGCAAACAAGAGTCAGTTTTTGTCATGTGTCTGGCAAAGCTGTTCCGGTCACTGGAAAATACTACACATACAATACAGGAAAGATACATGAAGCTCAAGATACAACAAAAGATACAATATATGAAAAACAGCAATATTCCCACCAAGGTACATTATAACAATCACCATCTTCATCAACAAGTACACAACTGAATAAACACACGATCAGTTACATCTTAATTTGAAATACAGCAATATCTTAAAGGCTCATTGAAATATATATAAAATGCTGAACATTACTGAAGATAATACTTGCACAAGTTAGGTGAATGAAATAAGATACAAAATCTTACACTACAATAATTCTTCACACTTCTAAATGAAGTAAAATATGAAGCCAAGTTGATAAGCTCAAAAGCAGAAGACAAAACATGCATATACAAATCATTCCAGTTTAAGGTAAGACTGGTGTAGAGTGAGGCAGTAGCAGACACTGTACAATGTAATTACCACCACCCATGCTACTCTTACTACAACTACCACCACCAAAACCTCACACCACCTTTACATTATTCAATCTAAAGCCATCTATGTAATATTCCTTTTTATTAGCGATATATTTTTATCACTTATATTAAAATAAAAAGCCACTAAATAGCAACCATGAAATTAACTAAACTTTCCATTATAGTGCTCTCTCAAAAATCCATCTCGCTAATGGATTCCACCAAGCAACACACCAACTCTGCCTATTGAGTTTAACCTTCTGAAATATCGATAAAAAAAGTTCAAAAGTAATTATTTCAAGAGGAATGTGGTGGAATCCGAATCGTTGTCGGATCACCATATAAACTAAATTCCATCAAACACTATAATATCTTTCCTTGGCTGGCCCTCAGTAGCTGTCTGGTGCGTGGCTCTGATACCCCCCACACAGATCCACGTAACTACTAGGCCTTTATGCTTGAGCACACCTGTCTAACACCAGGAGCAGAAGTTGCTGTGCTTACAGAGGTGAGGAAAACACAAGACCTGAGGAAAACCTCAAAACTGAGCAAAACCACCCAGAAAGTACAGGCGAATTAAAATACTGTACGCTATTTAACGTGACCAAGACTGAAACCGAAATAAGAGTAGTATTTCCCAGTGTCAACAAAGCATTTGCTAGTATCATAGTAACAATCAAAATCCTACCGAAGTCTCACTAAGCCAACTACTGACCTTGCCCTTTATGCAACCCATAAGTTACCCAACTCCCAGCTAACTACTGTATTGTTGTTAGATGACGAAGCTTCCGGTGGCAGGAAACTTGTCTCAAATGGTTCTGTCCTGCCGTGGGAATTAAACCTGGAACCTTTTGGCCACAACCCGATTAATTGCTGAAAACTATGCCCTAGGATCCACAATATTTGCGCTCAGAGTTTCTAGTGGTCTAACTGTGCTAGCGGCTCGATATCTTTTGGATAGTCCCAATCCTCACCAGACCTGCATGGCTCCGGGACATCTTTCCCGTCATTGAGTTCATCCTCCCACAAATATTTGGAAATCCCAGATTTGCATGAAATCTGATCATGTATGGAATGAGGTGATCTGGATTCTCGAGGGAGCACTGTATTATCTCTTCACTTTAATATACACTTTCATATCACTAACATAAAAGAATAATTACAATGAATTAACACTTGCTCTTTTGAAAAACAAAGTAAAATGGGATGTAATATTCTCATATATCACAAACTTTATACAATTTTTTATTATTAACAATAGATCTCATTAAAAGTTTAAACAGATTTCCTTTACATAAACATTATACCGAAACCATGTGAAAAATTACTATTGACAATTTGTTAATATATTGTAAAACTTTTTATAACAAAAACGTCATCCAACTTGAAAATGTCAGAATTACATCAGTATTCATCTTAAAAACACAGCACGTGGAATTTGTGATGTTTGTATGGTGTGGTATGTGAGGGAGTGCTGAAGTGCGTCGGTGTGTGTTAGTGCACGAGAGTTGTCATGGGGTATAAGGCAAGGGGGAGCAAATTAACACTTGGGTGCTAAATGCTCAGACTAAGGAACCATAATGATTCTTGGGGGAGGGGTGTGCAAGAATGAGGGGAGGTTGTGTGTGCACGAGGCGAGGGAAGGGAGGTTGTGTGCAGATGAGGTGAGGGGGGGAAGTTGAGCGTGCACGGGGCGAGGGGGGGGGGGGGGGAGGTTGTGTGCGCACGAGGTGAGGGGGAAGTTGAGCGTGCATGGGGCGCGGGGGGCGGTTGTGCATGCACGAGGCAAGTTGTGTGTGCACGAGGTAAGGGGAGGTTGTGTGCGCATGAGGCGAGGGGTTGCATGTGCACTTAGTGAAATGAGGGTGGGAGGGGGGGGGGGGTGACATGTGCCAGGTGTGGGGGGGGAGACGTGATGACCATAATGTGTGCCAAGATGCTAACTTAAGTACAGTACTGTATATGAAGTTGATGACAGGCATGTGCACACACACACACACACACACACACACACACACATTCATTTATGTGTATGTGTACATAAAATATACAAGCAAACATGTAAATTTTACAATATATATACAAATTCGGATATTCTGTATGTATATGCATCTAAATGCAGATAGAGTATTTACATATCATATATCTGAATATATACATTAAAAGACTAATATATTAATAGCATTAGACTAAGCAATGTTTATGTAAGGGAAAGTTATTTAGTATTTATCTACTTAGTTCAATTCTTGTTTGTTGCCATAACACGAAAGTGACCCTTTGTTTTACCTGATCTGTGGTCTCCTCCAATGACAGACTTGGGTCGTGGTTTGGGTGCGAGAGGGGGAGGGGGCTTAGGTTTGAGGGCGGTGATCACAGGCTTGGTGTTCGGGCTCAGTCCTGGGAAGAACCCCACGCATACGCCAACAATCAAATGACGCACAAGTTTACTTATTACACTATCACAGCAACTTTCACCATCACTTTTTTATATTTTCAAACAAGATGAAGTGATTGTACTTAATTAAACACACTATCCAGATCCAAGTCAGAGGTTTAAGAAGTCTTCATTACTAAGTATTACTGACATTACAGCCTTTTTATTTTCACACAAATTATTTTTAAACCGGGAAAGGATGAGAAAGATCAATACATCAGCTTTTCCTATTACAGTATTTAGTTTGACATTTAACAATACGCCATGCCTAACTCCTCTCCTGTGTTTTCCTCTTATTATTTCCTAGACAGATGCTTCCTGAACTAGAGCCACTGTGGTCCACCACAACCACATTCCCATGCTAGGCTCTGGTCTTGTCAGGAAAATTAATGGGAAAGGGAGACAGTGGTGAGTAACTTGAGTCACCATTGAATGATTAGCTCACTTTAATACACAATATCAAGCAATAAATCCAACCACCCTTAAGAGAACTAATTAGGAAACATGACAATGAGCCTTCTGAAATACCATTACTAATTAATAATTCATTGTTTTGGGGAACAAGCAGCCAGTGTACATGTACATATTAAGCCCATGTTGATGTCCTCCCAAGGTCGAACTACTGACCGTTCCCAGGATGCAACCCCAAAACAAGTTAAGTAACTACTGGGTACCTATTTACTGTTTGGTCAACAGGGAAATTGGGTAATAGGAAATGCGCTCAACCATTTCTTCCAACACGGGATTTAAACCCAGAATTCCTGATTGCGAGTCGAGAACTCCTACACTACCATAACTCAACACCACAAATGTTGGAGAAGCCAACCAGCTCACTTTATGAACAACTCCAACTTACACAAGTGCCTTGTGTACTGTTTCTGTGGTTTGAGGCCATTCTTTAATGTGTGGAGCTGGCTCAGGAAGTATCCAAGGTCCCCCACCTCAAACAGGGTAAGGAGCATAATGGAATAATCCCTTCTAAGCTGTTCTCATCTTTTCTGTTCAATCTTTCTCAAGCTTGTATGGGTGATCTGGGTTTCAAATTACTATTTGAAACCCTTCCAATCTATATGCTAACTCCTCCAATCCTGTAGAGGCATAGGATGCTGCTACTATATGGTTGTAGGGAGACGTGAGTTTGTTAATAGTAGCTCAAAAAACAACTGGAATTCGTTGAATTAATTAATTAGTACTTCAAGGGGTGTGAAGAATATGGCTCGCTTACAGATGCGAGTCACAATTAATGTAGCTGAAGATACGAAAGCCAAACCACACATCTAATAATGAAGAAACAACTACATTTTGGTCCATCCTGGACCTATTAATTATCAAGTTATGTGATAATGTTCCAGAACAGACCAAAATGTCATTGTCTCCAGTTTCTAATGTGTGGTTTGATCATGGCTAACTTGCGTATGTAAAACAGTAAACTCATTCCTCATGATGTATTTGCCACTGTCTCTCCATTGATTGCCCTAATAAATGTGGCAACGGGGAGGAAAACTATAATGCCTTTCGCTCGGATAAAAAATACAAGAGACCGGCTCAGAAATGTGTTTCCTTATCTTTAACACCCTATTTTGTATCTATCCAAAACTGTAATATTATCCCATTTTTTCCTCAATTCATAGGTGTTAAATTGTCTAACCACCTTGCCTCATTGTATATACATCATCAATGAACCATGTTTCAATGTTGGATGATACTGAATCATTCATTTATTCATTCTCTTCACATCTAACAAATCATCCTACTCCTTTAATAAAAAGCAATGATACCTGCCTTTCTTAGGAACTTCTTTGATGGCAGTAGGGGCAGACTTTGGTGCGCCAATACCTACGAGACCACTCCTTCCTATTCTTACTTGAACCAATCACATTACGACTTCTCTTATTAAACCCTTACTCCCACCATACAAATTTTTTATACTTACTGTTTTAGCAATTTCAGGAAATAATTGTCACACTTTGTGCATGTTCAAAAATAAGTGAGTCGAGTGAGATCAGCATAATGGAACAGGTGTTAGTAAGTTAATAAGAGACAAAGAAATAGTACATATACTATTCCCAGCCAAAAAATATGGAAGTAAAACTTGGGTGTGGAAAGGCAGAGTATTCGCTCAGTTGTGCTCCTGTCAGTTGAGCTTCTGCTCTTTATTTCTGCCTCTCAACTGTCAATCAACTGGTGAATAGGTTCCTGAGCATATTGCATGTTGACATCTTCATTTTAAATTATGTATGGAGTCTGCCTCAACCATATAACTTCCTAGTGTATTCCATTCGTTAACTACTCTGACACTGCAAAACTGTTTCTAATGTGCTCAAGAGTACAATCAATGGCTTTTTTTTTTATTTTTTATTAAGAACAGCTAATTGTTTAAGGATGTGGTAATGGTACAGCAATGAGGAAGTATACAAGAAATAAAGTATGAGAGGGTGTATGGGCTTGTTATTTCTATATTCAGCCTACTTACAGTTGACCATGTTCAAGGCTATTTCCTTAACAAAACTGCGGCAAGACCTTCCCAAAAATGCCGCTACTGTTGCTGTACCGACGACTCAATGCCAAGTCCTCGCCGGACTTCCTTCTAGTAAACGGACAACTCAATGCCGACTTGTCTCCGAGCGAAAGTGTTAATACTTTGGCCCATTAATCTCTCAATGTCTCCTCCAAGCATACATGCAGATTTTATACAATTAATCTATAGTTGTGCCTACTTGGTCTAGGAACCATTTCTTGTTTAGTCCAATTATGGCTGCTTTCACCTTCTATAATGACACCGTTTTCTCTCGGAATTTCCCACGTCGTCTTTCATTCTTGCTCATAACATCACTGGCTTCCTCTTACAACTATTTTAGTTCTTGAAATTATTATTTTTGTCGAACAAGTATCAGAACCATTTCTACTTGTATCAAACTCCTTCGCTCACCACCTCCTTTCCTTACTGATTTCTTTTACAGTATTTTATTTTCTCTTGTTTTCCATAGACTTAACTAATTTTTGTTTAATGACATAAGTATTTACTTTAACCATCAATCATTATTTTTGTTACATAACCAATGCACTTGATAAAGTTTTCCCCCTCTTCAACAGACAAGGATATAAACGTGTAAATAAACACCAACCCTCTTCCTATTCCACCACCTTACAACTGAAAGCTATTCAACATAGCATGAAATTCCTCTCTCCCTACGTCTGATAATTTTTTGCTTTGTGTATGAAAAACAAAATCTATAGAGTACTTGTCAAGAGTTGAGTTACAGCATTTCCACATGTGCTTTATTGAGCACTACTATCCTATTTACTGGAGAAGGAAATTACTGGCAGTTTAGTGTAGTGAATGGAAATTCACCAGTATAATTATGAATATGTAAGTCTTGTTATTATAATTTGTTATATATTTGTCTTACTATTTTGTCTTCCTAGAATACTTGCTAGAGGCAAGTAAAATTCTTTAGCAACACTAAATTGGGAGCCAAAGCCTTAGACATTGGACTCCTTAGAAAAAACTAAATAGTTAACAGTTTGGTTAATACTAAAGCACCTCAATGTCTAGCCTCATGCTTATTACTCTGCATTCTCTACCACCTTTATATTTAATCACTTAATTCTACCCTAACATTAGCACTGACAGCTATGCACTTAATCTACTCAGTAGTACTACTCTCACCTACTTCAAGATAAACCTAACCCTCATGTCTTTCCCTTAACCAATCAATATGCATATGAGTTCAGATATACATACATAATATGTATGTATATCTGAACTCTTATGTACTCAACTTACATACGTTGAACTAAAGTGACTGATTATTGTTAAATGTTAAAAGAGGCTTTAACAATGTTTATGGCACAAATTAAGGTCTACATCAACATTCAATAATTGTATCATTTCCATTGTGTGCCCCTCCATCCCTATCATCCCCTTGTTAAACATGCCATAAAGTTTCATCTCTAACAACTTCCTTACTCTCAAACATCCTTCACAATTTTAATTCTAAATCAACCCTACACTTCCCTTCTGCACTTTCATAGTTGAAAGAAAAATATTAATTTCCCCATCTTTACGTTCTCCGACAAGCAGAGACAAGGAGCAGCAAGTACCGATGATATGAGTTAACAACGTGCACACTTGTAGGGTAATTTTCAAATACTGAAGTCACTGGCCTCACAAACTCTTCTACAAAATATTTTTAACTTGTGGTACTCAAAACATTTTGTTTAATACATACAGAGAAATATACTTCGAAAAATAATGAATAAATTTTATACTGAAAATATATATGTTACTTTAACTATTAGCACACAAAATGATGTATGAAACTTACTATAATTAAAATTATAAAATAGAAAAAGAAGAAGTGCTATAGAGCATATATTAAGTAACTTTTACTTATGTTCAAATGTTCAGGCTTTATTTATATCTAAGGTTGAAATGTGTCTCATCATCATTATGCATGGCATTTTATCCTACAATCCGATGATGTAAGCATAATCTTAGAATAAATACATACAGTATATCCCTTTATCCACAAACACCATTACTAATGATCTTACTGAACTATCTAAAAGGTTCTGGGAACTTAGGAGTGAAACTTGCACCACTCTCCTTAACTCTGACATTCCAAATCTAGAAGTGCATCTCAAAAGCATTGAATCAAGCAACTCAGCCAATAAAGCACACTATTGTATCACAGCATGTGCACAACTACAACATATGCACAAACATCATTACCTATAACCTCCAGTTGGTTTAGTCAATCACTTTCCTACACATACCAGGGAATGTGAAAAACCCATCCAATCATAAAGATCATGTCTAATGATGAAAGCAAACAGTACCATCAAACACGGCCTACCTGTTGTGTCAATACAAGAATCCCGGTTACAATTTGGCGATTTATTTCCACCGGAGCCTCGTGGGAAGCCATTGGTGGGAGATTTGAGGCTGTCTGCAAGGCCAGTCGATCGTAATCGTACACCAGCTAGGAGGCTACTAGAGGGGTTTTCTTTCTTTTCTTCTCTATCTCTATCCTCTTCCTATTACAGAAAAAATATTACAATTTTATGACAATCTAACTGCTCTGCTATCAATCCTTTTAGTTAACTCATAATATGGAGATTTATTGTAATTTCTACTATCGTTAAAGTCTTTACATCAAATTCTACTCTGTCAACAGATGAAAAAGAACAAAAAAAAAATTAGCTTGATCCATAAAATGACAGGATATTAAACATCACCCAAATCATGATAATCAGTACCCGCACAAAACTGCCCATGAAGCTAAGTCTGTCTCTTAAATTTGAAGAACAGTATTATATAATACTAGCTGTGTTAGCAGAGTCAAATTTTGTTGCATCAAAGTCAGCTTTCCATATCAGAGCCAAATAGTTCAAATTAGCTAACAAGACTAAAATCAGGTGTTGAAAGTAATGAAACACCATTTTCTGGTACAAGTTCAATGGCTTCCCGAGCTTAACGGGGGTTATATCAAGCCCTAGTCTGACACATTATTTATATTATATTATATTATTATATTATAATATTATAATATTATAATATTATTTATTTTATATATATATATATATATATATATATATATATATATATATATATATATATATATATATATATATATATATATATATATATATATATATATATATATATATATATGTCGTACCTAGTAGCCAGAACGCACTTCTCGGCCTACTATGCAAGGCCTGATTTGCCTAATAAGCCAAGTTTTCATGAATTAATTGTTTTTCGACTACCTAACCTACCTAACCTAACCTAACCTAACTTTTTCGGCTACCTAACCTAACCTAACCTATAAAGATAGGTTAGGTTAGGTTAGGTAGGGTTGGTTAGGTTCAGTCATATATCTACGTTAATTTTAACTACAATAAAAAAAAATTGACCTCATACATAATGAAATGGGTAGCTTTATCATTTCATAAGAAAAAAATTAGAGAAAATATATTAATTCAGGAAAACTTGGCTTATTAGGCAAATCGGGCCTTGCATAGTAGGCCGAGAAGTGCGTTCTGGCTACTAGGTACGACATATATATATATATATATATATGTATGTATGTATGTATGTATGTATGTATGTATGTATGTATGTCGTACCTGATAGCCAGAACGCACTTCTCAGCCTACTATGCAAGGCCCGATTTGCCTAATAAGCCAAGTTTTCATGAATTAATGTTTTTTCGACTACCTAACCTACCTAACCTAACCTAACTTTTTCTGCTACCTAACCTAAGCTAACCTATAAAGATAGGTTAGGTTAGGTTAGGTAGGGTTGGTTAGGTTCGGTCATATATCTAAGTTAAAATTAACTCCAATAAAAAATAATTGACCTCATACATAATGAAATGGGTAGCTTTATCATTTCATAAGACAAAAATTAGAGAAAATATATTAATTCAGGAAAACTTGGATTATTAGGCAAATCGGGCCTTGCATAGTAGCCTGAGAAGTGCGTTCTGGCTACTAGGTACGACATATATATATATATATATATATATATATATATATATATATATATATATATATATATATATATATATATATATAATGTCGTACCTAGTATATATGTATATATGTGTGTGTGTGTGTGTGTGTGTATATGTGTGTATGTATATATATATATATATATATATATATATATATATATATATATATATATATATATATATATATATATATATATATGTCGTACCTAGTAGCCAGAACTCACTTCTATGCCTACTATGCAAGGCCCAATTTGCCTAATAAGCCAAGTTTTCATGAATTAATTGTTTTTCGACTACCTAACCTACCTAACCTAACCTAACCTAACGTTTTCGGCTACCTAACCTAACCTAACCTATAAAGATAGGTTAGGTTAGGTTAGGAAGGGTTGGTTAGGTTCGGTCATATATCTTCGTTAATTTTAACTCCAATAAAAAAATATTGACCTCATACATAATGAAATGGGTAGCTTTATCATTTCATAAGAAAAAAATTAGACAAAATATATTAATTCAGGAAAACTTGGCTTATCAGGCAAGTCGGGCCTTGCATAGTAGGCTGAGAAGTGCGTTCTGGCTATTAGGTACGACATATATATATATATATATATATATATATATATATATATATATATATATATATATATATATATATATATATATATATATATATATATATACACACACACACACACACACACACACACCTAGTGAGAATGGCAAGAGTCAGTTTTACTGTTGTGCATAAAGCAAGTTACAGTGAATAAATAATCTTAACAAATCAAGAACAACTACAGTACTGGGATTTCTAACCTTGGGCAAAAATGATGTCCTCTTTTCTTGCATCATCTTCATCTCGGCAAGAATATTGCCACCAATACCTATGCCAATCTTGGGTAATCCTGTCATCTTTCTGGGAGGCGAGTCTTCCTTACCATCTTCCTCACTACGACTTTTGTCTTGGTGAGAATATTCATTGTTACCATCAATAGTTTTTTCCCAATTTCATGGGGTAATGAGACTTTCTAATGGCAATACAGTAGAACAAAACACAGTAGAAAAAAGGGTATTTAACACTTTCGCGCTCTCGGCGCTCAAAAAAAAAAAATACCCCAGATGCTTTCGGCACTTCGCGCACCTACGCGGTAAGACCGAAAAAGTGTACACTCTTTTGACTGTCCTGACAATAATTGAAGGCGCACGTATTTAAATTTGGTATCACTGTGTTCGCAATGAAATTGTCTATAAGAGCATACCTATAAAATGCCGCCCAAGCATAAGGAGTATCAACACCAAATAAAAAACTATGCAGATCACTCGCCGAGAGCGCCAAACAGCAACAAAATGTTTCCACTCTCTTAATGGTTGCGAAGCCTACAGTTGTCCTACATCGCTAATTTTGGTATCATTGGAATCGCAATAAAATTCTCTACACGGACATATGCATATGAATGTTTAATATAGGTAATTCCCCATCCGCAAGAGTGTGTGAAGTGGAGAGTAGTTAGCCGCGAGCGCACTGGCGAAAACACAATCATGCTTGGAAAGTTTATACATTTATACGTTTCCTGACCCTACTTTTCTATGTACGTATTTCTTTTTTATACCAATGTGTTCGCAATAAAATTTTCTATAAGATGAACTGTATAACATTTGTACAAAGCATGTGTAAGAGAAGCGCCAAATATAGAACCACGTCGCTCAGTATGCGTTCGCGGCAGAAACGAACGCATTGTTTTCGTTCGTTTGATGTTTGTCATGTTTATACTTGTTGAAACATTTTATAATTTGTATGACAGTGATCGCAGTAAAATTCCCTACACAGACATATACATAAAGCATACAAATATTTCCCACGTGTTGGATATATCAACGGCTAAAGGGAACCCACTGCCACACGCTCGCCACACCCCCAAACATACTTTGTGTATTTTTTTTTTTTACTCATAGAAGTTTATGTGATATAATATTCATTCTGGTACCAAAAAATTCGCAAATAAATTCTCTACAAAACAAAAGTATCCCCATCCATTTCGGTTAAAAAATGGAATTTATAGAAATATTTTTTCGATTGACGAGAAAAGTAGGCAGTTATGCGGAATCGTAAGAAAAACCAGTGACGAGTTATCTCTAATCGAAAGCGAGAAAGTGTTAAAATACTACCAATTCATTCATAATATTTAAAATACTTATCAAGGGGAAAAATGGCTTCCTCACTCCAAGGAATCACTCACAACAGCAATGCACCAATTTCTAAAATATAATTGTAGTGTGTGCAGTGTGTGTGTGTGTATAGAGTTGTGTTGACATGTCATACACGCATTCATACATAATAACTGTTGCCACCCTCAAATTGCATTCTTACAGGTGATCCACCTCTACAGTATTGTATACAATGATCAACAGTGCATAAGTGTGCTGTAGGTGTAACGTTCATCATCAATACTGTAACTCATTACTGCACAACATGATCGTCTCAACAACATGTCACTGGATCTACCACCACAGTAACACACACACACACAGCTGAGCAAGTAGTTGAGGAGGGTTATGTTAGACTTTTTAAAACACTGTATCCAGCACCAAGGTGCAAGTGATTTAAGGCTACATTAATGTACACATCACTACCCAGCTGTATAACACACTTTGGATAGATATTACAGATATTATCTTCTCTCATCTGAGCGAGTCAGTTACCTGTCAATTACTGTATTAAAATATTTATTCTTCAACTTCAGACTTTTGACAAGATTCAACGAATAATTCGAGCTTTAAAGTTTATTGAGGCAATGATGGCGGGAGGGAATTATCAGGGAAAAGTGCCAAGCCATTACGACTATATAGCACTCGGAAGGGGTCAGGATAAGAATTTGGGATGGGACGGGGGAAATGAACGGTGTCCAACCACTTGAACAGTCGTAGATTGAATACCGACTTGCATGAAGTGAGCAACCCGTTCTCGCAAATTTAATAAGTCAATATTGACTTATTAAATATGTGCATAGGTGACATATTTAACATAATAGATACCCTTAAAAAGATTCATAGAAAACACCGACCTTACCTAACCTACTTAGTATATTAAGATAAGCATCTTATTGCTTCGTAATTACAATTATTACCTAACCTATAATAGGTATAGGTTTAGTAATAATTGTAATTACGAAGCAATAAGATGCTTATCTTAAGATACTAACAAGGTTAGGTAAGGTCGGTGTTTTCTATGAATCTTTTTAAGGGTATCTATTATGTTAAGTATGTCACCTATGCACATATTTAATAAGTCAATATTGACTTTACGAATTTGCGAGAACAGGTTGCAACGAGACCGTCGCTCTACTGTCCAGCCCAAGTGGTTGGACAAAGAGGCAATGTTGAAGAAATTGGTAAAAATAAGTAAAACATTCTGGGTGCTATAGTTTGGCGACGGTAGGCCTCGATAGGTGGATTTACCTCTAGTGCGGCATCAAGCAAATGGCACTAGCAATGACAACTGCCGACCCTGAAATTCACACTTATCCAATTTTCACCACACCATCGATTTGTTTATGACTAAACCCATCACCCCAAACTAATTCTTATTATTTACAAACTTTTCACTATCTTTCAAAGAAATTATAATTTGCTTAATCTTGCCTAGCAGCACCACACTATTCACAGCGCATCCATTTGCAAAGCTTCACTCTGATTAGTATGTTCATACTAGACCTGTGTCCCACACACACACACTCACTCTTGGCCAGTGTGGAGGAGACCCAAGAGCAGGAGCTTATTTCCATAACCCAAAATACATACTATATAAGTAATAACACTACACAGTATTCCTCACACAAACATGGTCAAATTGAATTAGTTCATTGCTAGTTTTTTTGTATTATGAAACAAAATATACTCAAATCATAATTTGTATATTTAAAAACTCAATTTGTTATTATTAGTCTTTCTGTATAAAGGACATTTCTGCCCTTTAAATAACTTTATTAATTTAATTAAAATAAATAGGTTTGTCTTGTGTACTACAAAGAAACAACTTTCCAAGTCAAATAAAAGATTTGGATTAACATTAAGAGCCTTTTGCTTTAACACTTGCTAATAATGCCCGACTGACCGACTTACCATCAATAGAACTGATGTTGGATGACGTCGAGGCCTTCCTGGCACTAATGTCTGGTGACCTCTTCAACACCCCTTCGCTGGCTAACTTTCCAATAAGACTGGTAACACTGCGACTGCTACACTCCATGAAAAAGTTAAATGCATTTAGTGAAACTTCTTTAAAAATGTACATTATTTTTATTCAATAGCATATCATGCCACTTGTCCTGACAACCCATCCTACCGTTTAGATAGCACTGTTTGTAACTGTCAACCATCGTACACATATTGACAATGAACGATTAGATAGAATTTTGAACTAATCCCTTTATAGTTTCTGGAAAAAATAAAGCTAAAAACCAAAATATTCCTAGGCCTAGTGTTTAGTAACATTAAATATGATTAACCAATGATAGCAGTTTACCCAATAACTCATAAAAATATCTTCTAGATTATCCAGAACAATGCTCAATAAAAGGGCTGACCTACACTGAATAAAGTAGCTAGTGATATTGAAGATGGCCCACCAAAGGTTGCCCCATTATCAATCACCTTCTGAAGAATTCTCCAGTAATTACAACACTTCACCCTTAAAAATATTGTCAACCTTAACAAGCAGGGTAACTCCATCACTTGCATTAAATACACAGTATTATATTATTTGTAGCAAAAATATGGGAATGTTAATCTTTGGCAGTTCAGGAACACAAGCTTTATGGCAGTGAATGTGTGGGAAGTATGATACTGACTTATGAATGGCCAACTTACAAACTAGTTTTTTAAACTATTTTCAGCCTTTACTTTATCAAAAAATTAATATCTATACCTTCAAAACCTTCATGGAAACTTTCCTGTCAAGAAAGTGGATAAGACAGGAATCTCTTTGAAGCCTTGTCAAATCACCACTCCACCCAATCCCAGTGCTCCTAATTTCTAACAGCTTACCTCTTTTCTTCTATACTCTGTTCTTCCTCTTCATCATCATCATCTTCAGTGTCTCTAGATTTGGTGCGCGGTCTTGGAGAATCGCGAGTCACATCGGATTCTGAGCGAGCTAGAGAATCTGAACGGGTAAGTGATTCAATGCTTCCTCTCTCACTGCCTGTTCTTGCTCCTCCAGTGTGTGGGGAACTTTCAACAGATGAAGTGGAACCATACTTGAGCAGACGGGGGCTGTGGAAAAAAAGTAAAATGGTCATAAAAATAGAGCACTACTATATTCATTTAATTACAAATGACAGTTTCACTATACTGTACTGTATATCTTGATTTCTTTACATGAAAAGCTTGTAAAAACAAATCTTCAATGGCACAGTGTACAGAATAGCCTTGGTATATAAGAATATACAGGACTTGGCCTACTCCATTCCACTAGGATTCCATTCACTACAATCATAATGTAAGAATGTAACAATCTTGCAAGAATGCAAGATTGCATTCTTGATTTTTTTGCAAGAATGTAACAATCACCAACATATATACATTCACAACCCATAATGCCTATTTGTACATATAAAAATAAATGTAATTTTATATCTTCATACCGAAGGGGGAAAAAAATTGAAATGGTGCTGAATGTAATGAATTACTACTACCTGTTCATGACCCTTGGTTAAAGACACCGATTCAGAGGCGCCAATAACAACAATCCAGCCTCCAACAATTTTTATAGATCTACTAGGAGTGCAGGACCACAATCCGACACTCCCACTGAGGCCACAGATGAATAAAAAGATTATATATCAACTTTCAAAATAAACTGCACAAAGTAAAGTACCACCAAACAAACTAACACTTGTAGGGAATCAAACGAGACATGAAAACATGGCAACCGATAGTTGGTCTCGAGTAACAACCCTGGCTTCAACTTCTTTCAACAATCGCAAGACACCATAGGTCATAGAAACCAGACCTGGCTTGTCTCTCAATGTGCTCCTAGACTTTATTGTTAAACCCCAAAGGAAAGAAGTGAACAAAGCAGGAATGGGTAGCCATTGAGAGGAGCAAAGAAGCATTTTCCCAGAGGGCATAATCTCCAATAGTGGCATTGGTTTAATGTTAAATCAATGTTGATGATAAGTTGGCTTTCAATTATTGTTGCTCTTGGATATTGTGGCTACTGGGTCATTAAATTGAAAACACTATTTTTCCTTAAAAACCCACAGTGGCTTCCCCGAGTTATCTCGCATAAGCACTTCGGGATGCAATAAAAGCATTTCTGAAGAAAAATACAGAGAAGGGGAGCATATACCAACCAGTTCTCCTGAATAGTACATTGCATCTTTACGTATAATTTCACTAGGGCCAAAACCTGATGCACTAAAAAATGGTAGTGGCTTGTGAACCTTATGTGATGTCCCATTTTCTGTCTGTGGGTCCTTGGTAGCTTAGGTTCCGGCAATTTAGTACAAGACTTAAGAGACATTGGAAATGCTCGGAAGAACGGACTGTACATACACCCATGTAATAAGCAGACCAAAGTGTTCAGGGTAGAAAATGAAAATGAATACCTAATCACTTGCATATCTATCACGTGACTTTGGGAAAACTAGATTTAGCTCTTCATACTCACCTGTTTTTTTTTGTTTTTTTTTTGCAATTTTAGGAGGGTTTCCTTGGTATGGGCAATCTTATGCCTCCCTCAGCCTCTTTTATACAGATAGGATTTTGGTCCCTGCTTTCAGTAGACTAAGATCTATCTTGAGGTTATCTTGAGATGATTTCGGGGCTTTAGTGTCCCCGCGGCCCGGTCCTCGACCAGGCCTCCACCCCCAGGAAGCAGCCCGTGACAGCTGACTAACACCCAGGTACCTATTTACTGCTAGGTAACAGGGGCATTCAGGGTGAAAGAAACTTTGCCCATTTGTTTCTGCCTTGTGCGGGAATCGAACCCGCGCCACAGAATTACGAGTCCTGCGCGCTATCCACCAGGCTACGAGGCCCCTACGGATGGTCCATAAGACCATAAGATGGTCATAAATGCTCTTATATTTGATTCAGCACTAGAGCACCAGTGCATCAGATGCGAGTGTTGACACACGTCGCATACAAACACCTCATGCATCCTTGCTTATGACCAAACCATCTTTCACACATAGATGAACATGCCACCACATATAGAACCTGGTTCCTTGAACATATTGACAGATAAGGGCTGACAGTATACAGGATTTTAATTTCTAAACCAATCAGCTCATGTTTACAACAAAATGGAAAAGCTCGAGTTGCCTTGTGCCCCATGTAACGAAGAATGATAATTTAAAGAGTTGTTACATGCCTGTTCTCTGAGTCGGGTGAGATGAGAGGTGTGGTTGGTGTAGAGGAACCTGGCCGGAAGAATGTATCCACACCCTCGGAAATGTCATGATCTTCTTCAACTAGATCTGCACGACCCATGGGGCGTGTTGGTGCCCGAGTTTTAACTCTTCGTGGTCGGGCTTTACCAAGGTGCTGGAGTTGACCACAACTGCTCGGTAATTCAGATACGCTGTCCAATGACTCGGCTGTAATATTAGCATAGAGCGCATACATTAGGTACGTTTGCTATTTATATCTATTAACAAATTGACATTCATTCTTGATTTATAAAGAATACCCAATGTGTTTTAAAAGAGCAAATACACCATAAAACTTAAATAATAAATCTATGATTAGAATGACATAAGGCAGGTATAAATTGACTTATCATTAATATTAATGTTTTAACAATTAAATTACTTGATAACTTTTTATTTAGACTGTCACCATCTTAAATGATAATCTATAGAAGTGAAGCCTACCTGTAGTGTAATCAAGCTGAGAATCAAGAACTGTAGAAATATACTAAAAAAGATAAGCATACCCTTGTCCTTGGGAGAGCCAATTACTGACTGGGTGCTCGAAGTAGACTCACTCCTGTCTACATCAGTCCAGCCAATAAAGTCTCCTGAAAACATACTACATGCATCATCAAACTCAACAACACGCCAACAACAAACTAAAGGCACCACCAAACTGAATTTCCAGGCATCAAACCCATCATACTAAGAAATTAAATGCATCAGCAAATCATATTTCAGGAATTAGCTGCAGTACATGCATAATTCAACCTGTCCACTCGCATAACACATCATATTTTGATGTAAAATTCTGCAATGTCAAAATAAGATGTACTAACATAGCAGCTTGCAAAATTTATATGATGCTCCATTTTCAATTTGTAGGCCCTCAGTTAGGTTAGGCTTGGGCAATTGAGTACATTTTAGATATGCTGGGAATGCTCAAGAGGACGGGCTGCATAATTAAGCTACCACTCTCACCTAGAATTTACAACACAAGCAAAGCAATCTATCAGATCACCTTCATAAGAAGTACCATACATTAAATAATGCAACATGCCAAGTCATCCTTGCAAAATTCATTTCAATTATGTAGTTCCAAATGCTACAAAAGTGAATACTGAACATCACACCTTGAAATCTCAAGCAAATACAAGCAGCTAACTTGAATTACATACTTTACTTCAAAAATCAAATTTTAAAGATTTAAATTTGTTTGTGAACTCTTACAAGTATTAGAGATGTGTGGTGTGGCACCCAAGGGCTACAGTAACTTATCACCAGTTCTCCAGCAGCGTTATGGTCCAAACATACATTTATTAAACAAACTGCAGTACTTTTTCTTCAGGTTCTCGAACTTTAACATTTTTGCAACTGATAATATTCAATTAACCTAAAAAATTATACACACACTAGAATTGCATTATTAAAGAGTGTTGTATTAGTTACCGAGGTTCTCTGTGTTAGATATCAATTATTAGGATTTTAGTGTACAAACTTTTACCATTTAAAAGCTTACTGTTTCATCACTATATGGTTACAACTGAAAATTATGTTGGAAATAAAGTAAAATTGTGAAGGTCAAAGTTATAGAAGGGAAAATGGGTGGAGGAAGAACGTGTCTACTTGCTCACCTGCTACAGGTGTTCCACCTCATATTCCACTCTCTCAATCAACTATATACACAGTACAACTTTGTGTGGATATAGTGTCCTAATAAGACTCAGTCCAATAAAGAATAACCTTGTTAGCATTATTTTATTAATGAAGGCAAACTTTCAATTCTGCACTGGATTATAGTTGTTAATAATTAACTACAGATATTTGTACATGCATCAAGTTTGTCATCTCCAATTCCATGGAAAATCTTAGTCCAAGAAATCATTATTAAATAGAGTAATCTTCTAAGCAATGCGTATCATAGCCAATGTAATTACATTTAAAGGCATGATTAACACATATGTAATGAACTTTCACAAACACAAAAATGACTTAATTGCAAATAGTATTTTAAGAGGCAAGGAGTTTTCAGGAGTTAAAGTTCATCATTAAAGAAGTTTAACTTATCATTTGTTTCTAATAGCTCAAGTTTTAGCAACAAAATACTAAACAATATAACTGTTCTAAATTTTTCCCTTTTTCATCTACGTAACTATTAAAATGTGTAAATTGGCATTATGAGAGCATTACTGGCAAGGAGCACCACCACCACCACCGCTGCTCACTACTGTGAGATGCTAACATTTGCCACGTTTACTACACGCACCAGTTCTACAACCACAGTAAGGAAAAGCATAGAGCAAACCACGACAAGAATCTGAAGAAATGACAATAATTCACACAGTGCCACAAACGAGTAACGAGTATTTGCCAGTGGATAGAATGCATCGTTATACCTAACTTTAAAAGGAAGCCTTAACTTGCGCGAAAGAACAATGAAGTTGTGCTTTAAAATCATTTTCAATAAATTTATGATAAGAGCCAATGAAAATACAGTAATTGCCTTCTACAAAATATTGTGGTAAAATAGGGGTATGTCTTATTCGTCGGCAAATATGATAACGTCTTTTTAAGAGCAGTAACGTCATTCTACTTTATCATTACTAATTCTAATCCTGCAGAAATATTGTGGAACATTGTAAATACAAAGCTGCCTGAATTCTACTTAAATGTATTCTAAAGTGTGAGCTCAAATTGAAGCATCTGATTTCAAACTTTGGTACCATGACTATCCTTTTTAAGTTAAAATGTAAACTTTACATCACAATAAAAATCCTACTAAATTTACCTGATGGAGAACAAGGCCAAGTATGTTAATGCAAGAGCTTCCTTACACTCGGGCACTATATGACTGCACAAGCAGACATCTCTGCACATACATGCAGAAGGGGAAAGGGACAGTTGTGGCAGGCACTACCGAGTCTTAGACAATATCGAGCCACCCAAGAGATGGCATGGGGAATGAATATCCCATAAGAAACTACTAGGTACGTAGTTCAAAATTCAGGAAATAAAGTTACTCAAAAGTTAAAAAGACCTTTTGTGCCCTCTGTAATCCTTGTTTTGTGCTACTGCTGCTCACAGGATGAGTATGGGGTGCACAATAAAGCAGCTACCTCCAGCTGCAACAATCAAATTGCTTAAATGTGTTTGTGGTTTATAGACCGACTCATAGGTCCACCTCCTAACATTTGATTGACTGTTATATTAGGCTTTATCATATCTGAAGCTATATCTGCCCAGCTCATTCCATTTCCTCACTACCTATAGCTCTTCCAAACTTTACTCTGATACCTCTGTGTTCAGCTTCCAAATAAATCCTGGTTAGGTGGTTCATACTGTCTTGCACACAGCACTGGGCACAATGAAGCTCCTCCCATCACTGTCCTCAGTGACCGACTACACATGTTTGCATTTATAATCTCCTAAAACCCATGAATACAACTGTGTTATCAGGAGTTTACCTGTATATATCACTACACTAACCAGAAGAAAACAGTGGTTAGTACAATGTAATCGGCTAAATCAGAAGCTTCGGAATAAACGACTAGGCAGTAATGTACAAGTTTCAACTATAAAAGAATTGTCTCGTTTGTAATTTATCAGAAAACTTTGAGGGACAAGTTATGGAGTTGCAGTCAGCAGAACAGTATACAGTACAAGATAAACTAAAAGACTTCACTGAAGTGAAATTAATGAAATCATTATGATGAACATCAAAGGGCAACTACAGGAAACCTGTAAATGTGTTTGTATCTATTTGCTGTGTTATAATTTGAGTCTGAAATATTGTGTGTGTTGCCCAACCTCCTGCCTTCTCAACTATTTAAGCCACCACACACTGTAAAATGTTAGAAAAAAGTTGTACTGTATGAAGTTGAAACATCACAAAATCTTCTTACACAATATCCAACAAACACAATGAACAATTTGCATTATTTACATATCCTTGTCATTCTATTATATACAACACACTCACTTTTTAGCCTACTGAAAACAGAACCTACCCTCTGCTGTGGGAGCATTCTGGTGCAAATCCTGAGAGGTCCTACTGTACAACTGTAATGAAGCTTGAGGGACAGGCAAGAAAACCTGCATGTCCTCCATCCACAACTCCCTTTCTTCAACATCAAAATTTTCTGTGGTCTCTCCCATAATATCTACACTATCACTACTAACCCCCTCCTTAATATAATGGTCTGCACTATAACGAATGTCCAAAACTTGCTTCAAGGCTGCATGAACTCCTGCATAATCTGTAAGGATACGAGTAGTGCAAACTAAGACATGCATATCACGCTCCATCACTTCATTAAGCATTTACTTCTACTTTCATGCTACACCTTTGTTAGCCCTCTACAATCATAAAATGTAAGGTGTGTTTAAAGAATTCAAGATCATATTAATAATGAAATTGCATTAAATGCATTTTTAGTCAAGTAATGCATGCATTGGTTAGGCAAGATTAAGGCTTAGCTGTATCATGCAAAAGCAACAGTAAACAAAATTGAAAAAGTTAAAGTGCAGAAAAATGTGTGTTTTCAGGAAATATAACTTGCAAAAATAGGATTTTACTTAGTGCTTATATCACTAATAAATAAAATGCACAAAATATTATGAAAAAATAAAATAAAGTATTCTTACCAACAACGCTCTGTGGGCGCAACTTTCTTCCGTGCAAACTCTTCCGTTTTGATGCCAGTTGCGGGGTGGCCTGGAGAAGTGCCAGAAAATGTCATCATAATAGTCATCTACTGAAACACAATATGCTTCACGTGTATTTTACACTGATTTACAATTTAATTATTAATTTAAGAGAAGTATTATAATTTAGTTATGGCAACTGACTCTGCACAACAAAGAATTTTTTTTTTATGTTCCTCTCCAATGATACACAATAATTAAGTTTAGAGAAAAGCCATTTATAGTCATCATAATCTTGAAACTTTAAAGATTCCTTACACTGTACAGTATATTAGAACAACATTTTTACATCATAAGCAAAGCCTGAGTAGCTTATAAAGCATTGAGCAAATCATGCAAAAGTATATTTTCTATTTATGCATAAGCATGCAAGTCTTGAGTTGGCTTACAAAAATAAATAATACCAAACACTATTCTGGAAGCATCTTTCTGCCATAGAAACATAAGGTGCACAATATTTGGTAACCTTAAAAGATATTACAGCAAACAAATACAGTAAAGCAGTGAAAAATCTTTCATATACAAACAAATTATAAATATTTTATCTTGCAATAGATGCTAAAAATTATTTCAACCTTATTTCCAAATGCAAGAAGAATGCAATTGTTACAAAACTTGCAAGCCTATAGTCTGAAAAATAGTGACATTTAATTCAAGCTTTAAATATTAATACCAAGTGGCAATACTGTAACCAGTGATGTTTTTGAGGTGGATACTGTCAAAGCAAACACTTTTGTGTCCAGATTATTTGTTGTCACTTCGGCCCGAGATTCCTTGTGTGATAAGGTACCCAACACCATGTGCTAATATTTTGTGGTAAATTGGGTATTTATATTAGGGACGAGACTGTAAAATCCGTAGATGATTTGTGTGGCTATTGGGTAATGAAAAATGAATAAAGAAAGGCACTACTGTACATGATACAGTAAAAATATAAAATGCTATGAAGAGGAAATGATATGCATGAACAAAATTACTGCAGAGAAAAACACCAAGTGATCCGAGACAGAAGATGGAATATACAGGAATAAAATGATCAGATACCGGAAATTGTCGGTGTATAATTATCAGGAGAAAATGCTAAGCCAGGACAACTAAGGACTTAGGATAGCATGCAGGGAAGGAATGGTTCCCAACCACTTGGACAGTCAGAGATAGAACGCTGACCTGCAAGAGGCGAGGCCTTTGCTTTCCCATCCAGTTCAAGGTGTTGGTGATGTTACCAATAGGTAGAGTGAAAATGTTAAGAATAACAACATGTTTTGAAGAGAGGAAAATGGGAAGATAAGTGGTACAAAAGTAGTTAGATAAGGAAAAATTATAAAAGTTATGAACAAGTTAGAGAGAAAAGGCACTTAACTTAGATGGAATTACAGCAGATGTGTGTAAGTATGGGGGTAAGGTGAAGTGGAATTAATGTTACATATATGGCAAATAACATGGCAGGAAGGTGAGGTGCCAGGTGATTAGACTGAGGTCACTGTGGTCCTAATACACAAGGGAAATAATAGTAGGAATGAATATGATAACTAAGGAGATTAGGTTACTTGGTACCTTAGGGAAAGTGTATGCAGGCATGCAAATTAAGAGCGAGAGAAAGTAGAATGCAGGATACGGGAGGACCAGAGTTGGCTTAGGGAAGGATGGGTTGTACATATCAGATATGGACAGTGAGAAAAGGAAAAGGTTGTGTACTGCTTTTATAAATTAGGAGCGTCAACACACAGACTTGAAACACACACTGCAAACTGGGAGTGATACTGGAAGAGGCAGTGTTACTTACATACTTGGGAGCAGTGTTAATCAAAATAGCGGGACCAAAGGCAAAACTAGACAACAATATGAGAGAGAAGAGTGATATAAATGGAGAATGATATAATGAGAGCAAGTAATAGTATAAGAACAGTAGCAGTGTTCAAGAGCAAGGGATAGTACAAGAACAGTAGCAGTGTTCAAGAGCAAGGGATAGTACAAGAACAGTAGCAGTGTTCAAGAGCAAGGGATAGTACAAGAACAGTAGCAGTGTTCAAGAGCAAGGGATAGTACAAGAACAGTAGCAGTGTTCAAGAGCAAGGGATAGTACAAGAACAGTAGCAGTGTTCAAGAGCAAGGGATAGTACAAGAACAGTAGCAGTGTTCAAGAGCAAGGGATAGTACAAGAACAGTAGCAGTGTTCAAGAGCAAGGGATAGTACAAGAACAGTAGCAGTGTTCAAGAGCAAGGGATAGTACAAGAACAGTAGCAGTGTTCAAGAGCAAGGGATAGTACAAGAACAGTAGCAGTGTTCAAGAGCAAGGGATAGTACAAGAACAGTAGCAGTGTTCAAGAGCAAGGGATAGTACAAGAACAGTAGCAGTGTTCAAGAGCAAGGGATAGTACAAGAACAGTAGCAGTGTTCAAGAGCAAGGGATAGTACAAGAACAGTAGCAGTGTTCAAGAGCAAGGGATAGTACAAGAACAGTAGCAGTGTTCAAGAGCAAGGGATAGTACAAGAACAGTAGCAGTGTTCAAGAGCAAGGGATAGTACAAGAACAGTAGCAGTGTTCAAGAGCAAGGGATAGTACAAGAACAGTAGCAGTGTTCAAAAGCAAGGGATAGTACAAGAACAGTAGCAGTGTTCAAGAGCAAGGGATAGTACAAGAACAGTAGCAGTGTTCAAGAGCAAGGGATAGTACAAGAACAGTAGCAGTGTTCAAGAGCAAGGGATAGTACAAGAACAGTAGCAGTGTTCAAGAGCAAGGGATAGTACAAGAACAGTAGCAGTGTTCAAGAGCAAGGGATAGTACAAGAACAGTAGCAGTGTTCAAAAGCAAGGGATAGTACAAGAACAGTAGCAGTGTTCAAGAGCAAGGGATAGTACAAGAACAGTAGCAGTGTTCAAAAGTACTAGCAGTGGAAATTACCTTTTTATGGGAATAACATCACGTGTATGTATATAGAATTGTGAAGTACAATATATTTTGGTTGTATATCAATAGGATGCCTGAGAATATTTTAAGAATAGTGATTACAGGTGAAAGAAAATCATATGCTAGAGGCAGGTGATCTCTGGGAGGGGAGAGTGGAACATTTGAAAAGGTGAGGGGGGGGGGGGGAATAAAGCATCCAGGAGACACCTGCTGCAGGTCACTCCTGTGTGGGGCTTCCTGGACAAAATATGGTGTCACCGCACTATTAACTGCAGTCTCACACTTCAAAATATGACTAGTGTATTATCTATTTTGACTAGAATGAATTATGTCTAACTTGATATCAAGAATACGGTGCTTCTAATTGTCAATTCTATCCTCACCATCAAAAATGTTTATGCTTGAAGAATAAAGTACAAAGATATTAATACAAGCGCATACTTGGCCACTTCAAACTAAAGAGTACACAGCAAGCAAACACAAGACGCACATGTACTTACGAGGTTCAAATATTCCAATTTCTGTGAGTCAGCGGAGAAAGAGAAAAATGACAGGGAAGTAAGGTGAGTACCCGAACACCAGACAAGGACATAATGCCGACATTACAACTGGTTTCTCACTACAACTTATCTCACACACTTAGCTAGGAAGGTATTTCATACCCCCAAATAATATCTAACTCCTCACAGGCTTGATGGTATGCTTAACCAATTAGTAATATTTTCAATGTTATTCACCATTGCCAAATTGCTAATAAACTGTGACTCGTTACTCCCCAAGACAGCAAAATTTCATAAAATGCAAAACAAATTTCTACAACACAAATATACCTGTAATGAGAATTTAAAATTCTTAACAGGCTTATTTCAGATACTGAAATAATGTTTCTTTAGCAATTAGTTTAAAAATCAGATAAAGACAATATAAACCTTATGTTAGGATGGTATGTAGTAAATACAAACATTTACACTTTACAATCACAATTTTGACTTATCTGCTGGGAAGGAAAAAAACCCGACATTCATGAACCCCAAGACAGATCAACATACACGTAGCTAAACGTGCCACAGAAATGAAAATTACACACACTTCACATTTGATGTAAACAAGCAGAAACTTCTTTGTTTCCAACATTAAGAATTTAAATGCAGAAAGTCCCAAATGTACACTAACTCACAATCTATACAAACAAAATCAAATATTTTATCTTGCAATAGATAAATTGCAAGATAAATCGTAGTTACCGTACTAAAAATAGAAGAATATACAGAATGTATTTAGGTATTGTATAATGTATGGAAAGCCATCTTAATAGTTATCTGGCATATTTCCCTCAATATTTTGTGCAGAAACGGCAATGTTTTTAGCCATGATCTTTACCAGATTCTAGAGCATAAACTGGTTCATATGACGACCAAACCACACACCAGAAGATGAAGACTAGACAACATTTCGGTCCGTTCTGGACCATCATCACAGTGGTCCAGGACGAACCAAACGTTGTCGCCTTTCCATATTCTGGTGTGTGGTTTGGTCATCCTATCTTCAGCTACGTTATTGTGATTCATCGTCTGCAACTGGTTCATAGCTTCAGGTTGACGGTTTTAAGTTTTACATGGAAACTACCATCTACAGCCTACAATGTGTCGACCAGCTACAAACGAGTCCTGTAGCACAGTTGTCTACATCTTTGACGCGCAATCAAGGGGACAAAGCAACCATAATTTTATCCTGTTACGAAGTGCATGTGGCCAGAAAATCTGTTGCAGCTACAATTTTGATTTATTAAATTTTGCCACTTAGGCCTACATGGCCTAACAACAAGAGAGTTGTTGAGCCATGTAAAGATAGTTGTTACCTTTACACTATGGTAAATGTATCTAAAGCTTCTAGCCAACGTTCATTAAGTTTAAGTAAAGAGAAATCCTAATTCTGTGAGAACCGTAACTTATCCTTGCCAGGTATATATATATTATACAGGACTGTAATTTATAAAAATATTGGCATATACAGGTACAGTACTGTACTTCATATCATGCCAGATCATGGAATCAAACAATTTTCCACCCATGATCCTTGACATAATATTACACACTTTTAAGTCACCAAAGGTCTGCAGAAAAGTAGCCTCATGGCCATGAGAGTTTACTGCACTGAGTTGTCCCAGGTCTATAAGAGCCCACATATGTCCTCATGAACATGTGGAGCTTAGCTACATTAAGCTTCACAATATGTATAGAATCATTATAATGGATATGTAAGGGGTTTACTACACTCCAGTGTGTGTAATTCACAGATCAGTTGCATGACTCCAGGCCGTGGGAACGTTCATTCTCGGAAACCGACAACAGGAAGATAGTAGTACAGTATTCAAAATGTAAATTCAATAGGTGAATAATATTGAAAGCTAATATTGAAAGTGGATAAAAACAATGAACATCAGACCAGGAAATAAATTTGAGAATACAGTATAAAAAATATATATAATATATACCTTTATTCTTAATGGACATATGGATCCATTTCTTTTAATCTACAATTTTAATTGAAGTTTACAAGCAAGTATACTGTACCATGAGATTGAAAAAATGCTTCCCCCCCCCAAAAAAAAAAATATATAAACATGTATACACACAAACATGAACACAAGATAGAGGGAACTAGACTTTGGAGAACAAAAGGAACAAGGATGACATGATAATGACAAGATACTTAGGAGAATTGGCAAAGTAGATAAAGAAATATTCAAAGCTAGAAATAACAGAATAAAACGGTATGGATAATCATTATAAACAAGTCACAGACATCCTGAAGAACTATTTCACTGCAAGTTCTTAATAAATGCAATGTGTTAAATGAATTGGCTAAAGGTAACTCAAAACAATAATTTAAATATGGTAAGAAAACTGAGAGTATAGTCAGGAAAACTTAAGATTATTTGAAAGGTTACGATTATTCCTTGTGCTCGTATTGCCAAATGTGATTTTGTTAAGAGTATTATTTATATACAGTACTGTACTCGTATATTTTTCCCATTTAAACCACGATGAAGAACTTTAATTAGCCGAGCCATTTAAATCTTAACATTCTACTACTATGCACCCAGCTTTATTCTGAATTTGACTCAACTTTGTACTATTCACTCATCTATCCATACTGCATTCATCAAATTGGCAGAATATCACTAAAATAATCATTACCTAATTTCACAATTTATCAGGTGGGAAAGGCATCAGGCCAAAGAAACAAGATTAGCAGAACTAGGAAGATAATAGGTACTAAACACAAAGCATTCATATATTCACTATACCACAATAAGTAACAGAGAAAAGCATCACATATTCCAGCACATTTATACACTCAACAATAAAGCTTTCTTTAAATTTATGCTTATACCACATTTTATATTAATTCTAACAAATCCATGCTTTCTTCATACAAAATGCACCATCTTCCACAATCCATATGATAAACTAGCAGAAAAAACTAATTTTTCTTGTTTCATAAATTTTAGTTCCTAATGAAGTGAATGGTCTACCATGTTCCTAAATATCAATGGAAAATTTTAGGTATATTGTTGCACCTAATAATGTATTCTACTAATTCCTACAAAGCATCTGTTACATATAAATGTAATTCACTATTATCTATAATTCACTATTATCTATCACCCAAATAATCTATATTCACTAGTTTTTAGTCAAGAAATATTGACTACAATAAATTGTTTATTCTTACAGTAATCAATTTTCAACACACCAAGAGAAAAACTCACCAGAGGCGATGGATCTGATTTTTGACTAGTCGTGTCATCTCCCTGACTCACTGTATCCGAGCGTTCACTCCGTGACGATGATTCACTACTTCCCCGCTCGCGGCTTCCCATTTCTGTTCCAGTTGAGGCTCTCTTCCGAGGAGCCTCTCCGGACTGCTGTTACAAAAGAAAAATAAGTATGGCTATAGGAATAAAAAACTTTTTTAAAGGAATCTATTATTTATTATTTTTAAAGCTAGAATTTAGAGAATTGAATCTAGTCATATTTAAAAATTCATGGGTTCTTTAACCTGCAAAGGCTGGTGCAGCCTACTTGCTAAGAGGTCTTGGTACATTGTGACTTTTCTCTTATGCAATTTTCTTGCTTCACATAAGTGCACCACATGCAGTTTTAGGCATCCTTGCAATTTTAAGACTTATCCCAATCTCCACTGGATTGGTGTTTTACAATGTTGGGAGAAAAACCTCTAGTGGCAACTCTCTACTATATTCACCTAATTGTGCTTGAAGGGGTTGAGCTCTGGCTCTTTCAGCCCACCTCTCAAATGTCAATCAACTAAATTCCCCCACCCCACCTTTGTTTACATTGTGGAAGGGTATTAAGGTAGTTGCACAGCTGGTACTACTACCTCCTCAGCCCTGCCTCACCCAACCTTAGTAGCCAACAGTTGCTGCATGTTCCATAATGCTATTTTTTATGTGTTGGAAAAGTTATAATATTTGACAGACACTAAAGCCTATAAGGAGCTATCTTGGTTGATTCACCTATACTGTAACCTCCATGTGTACTGGCCTAATTCTTCTGCATCAAGGCAAGAGGGTTTTTAATGTAGATACAATAGATGTGGTACCCGGCAGTGCCTGGGACCGACCCCAAACGATTGTGCCATTTGTGTGGGAGCTCCCAGAATGCAAATTTGCCATCAAAATGTGCATTTTGGTTACCATCTTAATTCTGAATATTATGAACAGATGACTATACCACAAACTTAGTGGGCACCAAATCATCTCAAACTTCATAGAAAGGCAGGGCAATGGGGTTGAATCTAACCCACCAATGACTTGTGGACAGTCCCTCTGCTCACTTTTCTAGTCACCTTGCCAATTTGGGTCAGGGTAGACCCAAGCCAGGTAGACTGTCAACCTCATACATTTTTTTTATATAGACATATACTTTTAGGTTTACTTTGCATTTCTGTAGTCTGGCAGAGATGGCATGCTTATTGCAATATTCTCAGACAAGGAAAACATTTTTCTTTCACAAATCTGAGTGTTTTGACTACTATGCTATTCAGAGCATAACTAATTTGGTAATTAACCAAGTGTAATTACCGAAGTGCAGTTACAGGATGAGAGCTACGATTGTGGTGTCCCGTCTTCCCAGTACTCTTTGGTGTCTAATGCTTTAAAACTACTGACGGTTTTGGCCACCACCACCACCTCACTTATCTTGTTCCAACGGTCTACCAGTCTGAGGAAAAAAAAAATTGGCACCTTTGTTTTCTTAGCTTGAATCTGTGTCATTTTGTTCATGAAGTTGCTGGTTTCACGATTTCCTCTGTCAATTTGGTTGATTCCTGTTAGTATTTTGTTTTGTAATGGTCTTATCACCTTTTTCTTCTCCCTTCTAGTTTTGGCATGTTTAATTAATGCTTCTAGTATCTCCTCGTAACGCTTATTTTTCAGTTCCGGAAGCCATTTTGTAACGTGCCTTTGCACCTTTTCCAAATTATTTGTGCGCTTCTTGAGATATGGCCACCGTACAACTGTTGCTTGGTAAAGGACCAATTGAGTTTAGACTGCTGGTGGTTCTCAACATAGAGTACTCATTACCGTCTTAAACCTAACCAGTCCTAACCTTTTCGAGTAAGCGGCAAGGCTAGATATACGCTGCTATGTGAACGAAGTTAAGTACATAGGAGTTAGGCAACTGTTGTGGATGGCAACCTGGGAGATGTCAACAGTTGGCCTAGACTGACCTCAGTCAACCCAACAAGCTTCCTGCGCTCAACAGTGGGAAACAAAACTATGTACATTGTGCAATTTTATTAAAAAATTCATAACTAGTTTAGGTTGGTGGAAATGCCAGAAATGTCAGGAAAATGGCTATGAAACCATATATTTTCAAAATATTTACTAGAACAGGTTCCTAAGACAATCGTTAGGCATGGGGGTAAAAAGTGAATGTTCCTGGTCTGAAAAAAGCTTATTTGGCTAGATTTCATTGAGTGAAAAGTTCTGAATACTGACCTTGGTCTCTATCTCAATCCTGCTTTAAATGAGGTTAATAAATAATAGGTTTATTAGAAATTAAAAAAAAAAATGCTTAGAATGGGGGGAAGTCAATGGGCCCATTCATGAAAAAAAATGAATGGCTGATTTTAATTTAGGAAGTGGCATGTTTCAAACATTAAAAGTTTGAGCTTAGCACACTAGGAAAGCCAGATTTTATTCTGAATATAGTAATGAGATCATATCTAAATTTTGGATGTGGCAACGTAGAAGACCCTGGATCATTTAGGATTTGAGAGAGTACATCATTTGGTGGCTGTGGCCCTACTTTTGGAAAATATGCTTAGGGGCTGAATCCTATGATATACTGGAGGTGACCGTGAATTCTCTAGACACATTTTCATGGAACCTGTCTATCATGTGATTGGTTGAAATTAATATTTTGGCAAATAAAATTTGCCCACAAAACACAGGAAGAAGTAGAGTACGACTGTATGGGTCTCGAACCGTGGACCCCACGCATGTATGAGGCCGTAGTTCTATCAACTCGGCTATGAGCATATAGCTGTAGCTTTATCAACTCGGCTATGAGCATACTCTGATTTAGATTTAGATTTAGCTTCATCAACTCTGCTATGAGCATATAGCTATAGCTTTATCAACTCGGCTATGAGCATACAGCTATAGCTTTATCAACTCAGCTATAGCTCTATCAACTCGGCTACAGCCCAGTTGATAGAGCTATGGCTTCATACGCGTGGGGTCCATGGTTCGAGACCCATTCAGTCCAGGTGAATGGATTGTTTATTTCCACAGAAGTGTGGATGACAATTTATAATTAGAATATGAATTTAATTATCCAGTCAGAGGAGTCAACTGGTCTAGATCACTGAGGTTTACCTCGTATTTTAATTATAATTCACAATACTAGTACAGTACTGCACTGTAGTGTGCACCTTAGTTTTAGGATGATTGACATTATTGCATAGCAAACATGCTATGTTTCACAGTAATGCAACCTAGCAAGGTGTTAGTGATTTTTTTTAGTTTTACTCTTTCCTCTATGCATATTATTTAAGATGATAAAAATAATTTATTTCTCTCATTTTAATACTAGTAGCATTAGTTAACTTCTTCTGAATATTTGCGTGGAATAACTATCACACTGCTACTCATCACCAAAGAAAGCTGGACTGTGGTGTTTTAGGTTTAAGTCTCATAGTGCTTTGTTGAGCATACCCTACACACACACGCACACACATCATGACTACCTTATTCTCTCATGTTGACGTCAAGCTCAAGAAGAAAAATGTACCATCAAGGCAATTTATAGTAATAATTTCCTGCTCCAAGAGAAAAATGCTTCATCCTAGTGATTACAGCTCATAGCTCTATATAGAACCATGAGATTAGTACTGAATAGACATCAAGAGATATTTAATTCATCGAGTGTGGAACTCCTGGTTACTCAATCTCACCTTGCTACCCACTGCAACAGCATATAGCTCAAGTTACCAAAACTGTGGGGGTGGACATACTTTACTCACCAAATTAACCAGGAATGCATTCTAACTTCTTTCCAATGGAAGTAATAACATGAGTTTTTAAGAGTATTCTATCCAAGTCTTTAGCATCTATGCTTAACTGTGTATGCATGCCAATTTATTTCTCAATACCTAGTGTCATAAGGATCCCATATCTTCCCCAACATTTGCCGAGGCATCACTGGAGACGGCATTTTGCCGTGTTACTGTATATCAATTGTTGTTCGGTTGTGAACTAGTTTAGCTCATAGTGAGTTGGTTAAAAGTTTGTCTGTTAAACCTGCTCGATCTTCCATGGAATCAGTTTATTTCTTTTTCTTAACACTTGTGTAACAATGTCTATCACCGTTTTAAGCCAAGTGGTGTTAGCTCTTCTTGGTACAATTTTTCTGCCAGGGGCTATTGCTTTTTTTTTTTTTTTTGCCGTTTCTTTCAAGATTGTGGTTTTATGCCATCCACATTGCAGATGCTTTAGCTTTAAATTTTGCTCCAACTGTGGGCAGGGTTCCTTTTTATTTTGTTTGTTTTGGTAGTTTGCGTGTATTTCCCTTGCCTCATCAGAGATGCCTGCTCTTAGGAGTTCAGGTTCCTGCTCTACAGATTCACTCCTGTCAAGTCTCTTCACTTTCAAACAGCACATGGGAATTTTTCTCCCGACTCTTAAAGATGGGAAGTGTAGTAGTTGGTTATGTGGTTGTATGTGTGTCTAGCCCTGTTCCAGGTGTTGAGACTTTGTATTTTCATCAAGGGCACACACGGGGTCTCATTAGTGACTGCTCTTATCCAAGGCTTCATGTTCCTTCCCCCCCACTATTGTTTATGGTTGGCGTTCCGTGTTTGTTTAGTTGACCGACTCCCTTATCCTGAAACACCCCTCGTCTCGTAGAAAAACAGATTCACATCCTGGCTTCCATTAGATAAGTGTTGGTCTCGGAGGTACAGTTCAATACCCTAAACTTTAAAGTATTTTTTGCATGCCTGCAGTTATAAACTGCAGGTAACCAATAGTGATTCTCCCCTATATGAATGGCAATAGTGAGTGATCTCTGTACTCAACAGTGTTATATTCACATAATTCAACAGATACTTTAAAACTAATTCATGCAGCAGAACTTGATACATGTAAACAGAGTATCGTTTATCAACAATAGAAAAAGATTCCAGCAAAGACTCTTACATTTAGTATAATTCAGTTTATTTATTTATCTCTGGATTACAGCTATGTTAAAATTTAACAAAACTATATCGGTTCCATGAGAGTTAACATTATGGTAATAATGTAGCTTATCCTGAACACTGAGGAAACAGAACATACAACAAACAATAGATAAAAACAATACTTTATTTTAAGTATAAAACCCACATTACACAAATTTATTTGTTTATAACATACTGTATTAGTTGAGGACAGGAAATTACAAACAGTTTAATTAAAAAGACAACATTCATTGTTATAAGGCCAAGTATAATCATCATAGGATACTTACCAAGTTTTTACACGTTTTGGATAAGGATTCAACAACTTCATCAATAACACGGTCTGAAACAGTTGAGGCAATAGCCAAGTTGACTTCGTTGACCTTGTTCAATATAACTGAGCCCGCTTGTTCCACAATGGCAGACTCTACGAGATCATACGAGAGCTGCAGAATGAAGGTCATAATTAATTTTAGGATAAATTTTGTAGTTGTATATAAAGTAAGAATTAATTATCTACACACAAATTCTTTCACTTGTACACACTAGTACACATACCAGATTACAGAGTACTGTATATCAATATTGCAAAACATTGAGATTTAATAAACCCGGTTGACACTCATTATCATCTTTATATCACACACATACTGCACATACAGCACTGGTAAACATCTTTAAAATATGTATGACATTTAATTGATGGAGGGTGCCTGGCAACAGTGTTGTGCTACACTGGGATTAGCATAGCTTAGCACTGCTGTTTTGGCCATTTAATAGTTATATCATACTCCTATCCATTATTGAGATTTTTAATTAATGTACAAATTTGATTTTCACAAAACTGTTTGAGTATCAATCTTTGTAATTTAGGCCAATATGCCTAAGGCTGCTCCAGTATATATATACTGTATACTGTATACATATTGGCAAATCAATAACACACCTTGGGGATGAAGAAAATGTTGTCTGGTTTATTGTGGTGACCATACACATTACTAGTACATTTTTGCTCAGCAATGGTACAGATATGGTGAGAAATAGGATATAAATATTTTCCACAGGTTTATACCACTGCTGTAAATGTGTAAAATATCCTTTTGTCTAAGAGACCACATCCTGGACTTCTGGATGCTTTGAACTCGCTAAAACTTCGCACACCAAAAATATTTTTATATATAGATTACAAATATGATGTAAAAGAAGACAATATGAGAGTGTGCACAGGTGTTTACTGTTTATTCCTGGAACATAACCAGCCAATCTGGAAACAACCAGGACCCCCAATTAGTGCTGGGTGAACATGGGCGACACAAAGAGAATGGTGCCCACTCAATCCTCACTGGTCATGGCTTGAACCCAGCGAACATTGGCTTGCGAGGAGAGTGCACTTCATGTATCATCTTACATAATGTTTTCCTCCTTCAATTCACATTTGCAAAAAATTATACTACTATAATTAATCCAGGAATGACCAATAACTGTCTGACAAGTTTCCAGAGAATGGAGACTTGACTCTACTACATTTACATCATCTGTGAAGTCGTTATAATTCATTGTGTCGGGGGTACAGGCAGCCAGTGCATATATACATGTTAGGCTTATATCAAGGTCCTGCCCTAAAGTCAAATTACTGAGCCCCACCCCCCCTCCCCACAGGATGCAACCCCACAACAAGCTGACTCACTCCTGGGTACCTACTTGCTGCTAGGTGAACAGGAGCACTAGGGGATAATAAATGCACCCAAACATTTGTCCCTTGATCATACCTTGACTTTGTCCCACCCAGGATTTGGGCCTGGAATTCTCAATTGTGAATTGAGACCAACTCGACTGTACTACCGGGACCCTATTAATTTAATATGTACTGCACGTGACACGCTGATATTTTGCCCAATTCCAAATTATACACTATGGTGTGGGCAAGCTTGCCACTTAATGCTATAATCTATAGTAGAAACAATGGGTTAAGAGAATACTTTACCTGAGATTTGGCAAGGCAGGCAGCCCTCACATCATTAACCACCTTCTCCTCACTCAGCACGTTAGGGCACTTGTCTTGAGCCGACCGAACCATACTCTCAACTGTATCCTGCATGTAATGTTTATATTCTTTATACAGTAATAACAATTGTTCTACATAAATAAACATTCAACATCTAATAACCATGATCTCAATAAAAAGTGATTGTAGTCTTAAACATCCTTCAAACATGTGTGTGATTAAGCATTTAGCAAATTACAGTACAGTATTTATCAATTAAATTATTTTGATCTAATGCTCCTCAAAACTTGAGAGCTGGCATTACTAGCCTCTTAATGCATCACATACAGGATTCAAGTACAGTAATTAAAAGTTAACTAATGCAGCAAAAGAAAGCTGCACATGTTCACCTTTACGTAAAACAGTTATGAGCAAGGCCAGACACCCACTGACCCTTATATAGACTACCATAAACTTCTCACACTTTTTAAAATCACACAAAGCAGGATATGATGTTAAGTTAGCTAAATTTGTAAGTGACATCCTCTTCCTGTGGTGAATGTCTTGAGAAAACACTCACCCATATACAGCTCCGTACCACTAACCCATTTTCATACAAATACTAATGTAATGAAATTGAATCAAGCTAAACTAGACTAACTTTAAACAAGAATAAACAACATCAACAGTCTATTCAAAGTAATGTAAATAAACATCAACAGGTTGTTCAAAGTTGGGGTATTATGGCCACAGCTCACCTTGTGCACTACCTTACTATTGTTCTCAAACTACTGTATCCCCCAATCAGTTTACAATCACTGCTGGATGAACAGGAGCAAACAGTTAAGAATCAGTGGGCAAGCGTTGCTGCTCCTCCAGGGACCAAACCCATCAACACCTAATGCCAGATCTTGCTTGGAGGGTAGAAATACCCTAGCTACTCTATCCTTTTGATGTATATCTTATTGTCTCAAACTTATTTGAACCCACGGACCTTGCCACATCTCGGATTGGTGGCGTGGGGTGGGAGGGAGTGATGGGTGTGGGAGGGGTGCTGGGGCATGTTGGGGGTGTGGGGGTGCAGGGGTGTGGAGAGGTGTGGGGGGGTGTATGGGGTGGGGGGGATGTATGGGGTGGGGGGGATGTATGGGGTGGGGGGGATGTATGGGGTGGGGGGGATGTATGGGGTGGGGGGGATGTATGGGGTGGGGGGGTGGGGGGGTGGAGGGGTGTATGGGGTGGAGGGGTGTATGGGGTGGAGGGGTGTATGGGGTGGAGGGGTGTATGGGGTGGAGGGGTGTGTATGGGGGTGGAGGGGTGTGTATGGGGGTGTAGGAGCGGGTAAGAGAAGACAGGAGGCAGGAGCGGGGAGACTCACCTGAAGATAGTTGGTGATGACAGCGTGGAGGTCGGTGGAGAGCTGGTGCAACTTGGTCTCTATGGGGTTACCGGCCTCATCCCGCCGCAGGACAACGTCGTGTAGGTGAGTGATCAGCTGTAATCAAACATATAATGCTTAACACCACATTACCTCCAATACTCCCTCCCTATACTTCTTCACTATACACAACAGTCACAATTATCAAACATACATCAGGCTGCGTAAACTGCCATGTCCCTCCCCCCCCCCCTCCATTCCAATACATCTTCCTCAATGTATTGTTTGTTTATCAATCTGTATACATGGGTGCCCTCGTGAGCGTGCACGCGTGCGTCAGCGAACGCCCTCTAAATCCACCCTCACTCCCTCCCCGAAGAGCAGCAGTTCCACCCCCCGTCACAGAGAGTGACGGAGTAGGAATACATGCTGGATATGGGTGTCTTGAAGCTGTGGCTTTTCCTTTACTGCAGTACAATTACTATGCACCCCATGCCCATCCTATATGCGGATAGAAATACTACATTATATTTCAGTTTGTCAATGGACAACTTTGACCTGACACTGAACACACGCCAGACTGACAAAACTTATAATTATTAACTTAAAACATGGGATCAAGTGGCGCCGCGGGGGAAAAAATTTGCACGCGTCGAGAATCATTAACATGTTTCTTGGTTTTAACATGATTTCTCAAGCTGGTAGTAATGGTTTCAACACAAGACTAACCTATTAACTTGATCAACAATGGTACGGAAGTGTGACAACCTTGCTAACGGCGGCCTGGTCTACTGGGAACCACAGCAGCAGCAGCGGAGGACCAGGAGGAAACAAAAGACCTCAAGAGCAAGGCCTGAACCGGTGCGCTAACAACCAACAACTGCTAACTACACACACTATACCTACTGAAACTTAGGCACGGAAAGTCGGGGTATACAAGTCTGCTTCTATACCCAGACTTCTAAATCGGAAGTATGTGGTGGACGGGGGGACGACCCCCTCAACCGCCACACGCACGTGCGGGGAGGACCACAACCACACAGGTGCAGGGAGAGGGCAGGGACCACAACCACACAGGTGCAGGGAGAGGCCAGGGACCACAACCACACAGGTGCAGGGAGAGGCCAGGGACCACAACCACACAGGTGCAGGGAGAGGGCAGGGACCACAACCACACAGGTGCAGGGAGAGGCCAGGGACCACAACCACACAGGTGCAGGGAGAGGCCAGGGACCACAACCACACAGGTGCAGGGAGAGGCCAGGGACCACAACCACACAGGTGCAGGGAGAGGGCAGGGACCACAACCACACAGGTGCAAGGAGAGGCCAGGGACCACAACCACACAGGTGCAGGGAGAGAGCAGGGACCACAACCACACAGGTGTGAGGGACCTCAACCACACAGGTGCAGGGAGAGGCCAGGGACCACAACCACACAGGTGCAGGGAGAGGGCAGGGACCACAACCACACAGGTGCAGGGAGAGGGCAGGGACCACAACCACACAGGTGCAGGGAGAGGGCAGGGACCACAACCACACAGGTGCAGGGAGAGGGCAGGGACCACAACCACACAGGTGCAGGGAGAGGGCAGGGACCACAACCACACAGGCGTGAGACACCACATACTTACAATGCTACTACTAAATAATAATTACAATCAATATTATGCTGGGACAATCAAACACGTGACAACTGCAAGATTCATAAAGCGGTCTGAATAAAAAGTTGCAACAGGTGTCGGCAACTGGGGAAGGGGGAGGGGGAAGAGACTTAGGTGGTGGTCAGTACTGCAGGAGGCAAGACAGGGGTCACTGGGTCACATGGCACCTGCCTTAACCACCAAACAACGTGGCTTTATCTCACCTATATAGTGGCTTGCCTCCCTGCGGTGATCCACTGCTTCCTAGCACCAGTGGCGGAGGAGGAAAGGTAGGAGGAGTTAAGGGGTGGTGTAGGAGACGTACCGTTGGGGGTATAGCACAGGATCAGAGTAAACACAATAGTGGCACTACCAGCAGTGTGGCACCCTGGCGGCTGGCGGCCCGTGCCTCGCATGCCACCACCAGCTGGCACCCCACCTGACCCGTATTGTGTCCGTGGCCGACACGCCACACACCGCCCCGAGGGCACCCACCACACGGACGGACCAACACCACTGCCACACTAGCACCTACACCACCACCGCTGCCCGTGACAATTACTGCAGGTATCTGGCGTGCCTGGCGCATGTGGCCACTCACATGGCCGCCACCAACAAGAACAAAGACAGTTGTGTGCGCCTCGCCACTCCTACCACCACCATTTTATATCCACTACATAATGCCCACCACCAAATACAGCCGTGCCAGCGCTCAACAAAACAAATAGCACGGAAAGTTATTTGTGGAAATGTTAAGAGAAACACGAGACGGAGCAAGTGTGGGAGGGTAAGGCGGCCACAGGTGGCGGCCACTACTCAACACTGAAGAATATCAAAGTAACAATTGGCAAAGACGCAGGTAAACTTTACCTCGCAGACGACTTGTACTCTACCACAGTCAATACAACGTCAATATTCCGTCATTATTAGTTGAGTTCATGAATAATACGTGAATAACACCTTCACAGCCGCACTAACTCATACACGAGTTGAAGAAATGATGGTCTTAGTAAGACACCTGTTTACAAACATGCCAATTATCTCCCATACAAGTGTGAGTGTGTGTGTAGGAAAGAGAAATACAGTGCCACTTGCTGTTCAAAAACATGGCCGCTGCTCTCGGGGTGTGATAGGCCTAACTGGCTGCTGCATGCAGGGCAGCAACCTCAACAAAACAGTGGTAGTGCTCTATTACTACGGGAGCTGATCGTTCTTCAAGTAACACATTCGTTGGGTCACTATTGCCCCGTTGTACATGTTAATGGCCAGGGGAAGCATCAACCTCCCTCCCCCCCTCCCCCCCCCCCTCTACACACTACAAAATGATCAGTGAAAGATTTTAATCTTCTCGTTGACTGAGACAGTAAGCCTAATAGGCTTCGAGGTCCCGCTAGGCCTGCCCTTCCCCACAACAGTTGGCTAAATCCCAATTTACTGATAGTGAACAGCAGAGGCATCAAATGAATAGAACTTGGTCAAATGAGGTTAATTTAGCCTCTACCGAGGGGAAATTTGTGTCCAGACCGGATTCTTCCAGGTAACCCCCCCCCCCAGCTCCCCCCAGATCTCACCAGTGCTGGGCGGTGAGGTTATCTTGAGATGATTTCGGGGCTTAGTGTCCCCGCGGCCCGGTCCTCAACAAGGCCTCCGCCCCCAGGAAGCAGCCCATAGCAGCTGTCTAACTCCCAGGTACCTATTTACTGCTAGGTAACAGGGGTCGACACCCTTGTAGAGTAAGTACATCAAATACAATTTTTGAAGATCATGACGGGTCTGGTTACTAGATAAAAACTGCTTGATGGGGTTGGTAGTTGTTCTACTCCCCAAGCCCGGCCCCGAGGCCAGGCATGACTTGCGAGAGCTCGGTCCACCAGGCTGTTGCTTGGAGCGGCCCGCAGGCCCAGATATCTACTACAGCCCGGTTGGTCCGCACTTCCTGAAGAAAATTATCTAGTTTTCTCTTGAAGGTGTCCACGGTTGTTCCGGCAATATCTCTGATACTTGCTGGCATGGGGGAAAGACCTATTAGTATAAAGTGCCCAGCCATTACGACTATTAGCGTTTGGTGGACCAATAGCAGCCGCCTCGTTATGGACCAATAGCAGCTGCCTCGTCATGGACCAATAGCAGCTGCCTCGTCATGGACCAATAGCAGCTGCCTCGTCATGGACCAATAGCAGCTGCCTCGTCATGGACCAATAGCAGCTGCATCGTTATGGACCAATAGCAACTGCATCGTCATGGACCAATAGCAGCTGCCTCGTTATGGACCAATAGCAGCTGCATCGTCATGGACCAATAGCAGCTGCATCGTCATGGACCAATAGCAGCTGCCTCGTTATGGACCAATAGCAGCTGCCTCGTCATGGACCAATAGCAGCTGCCTCGTCGTGGACCAATAGCAGCCGCCTCGTCGTGGACCAATAGCAGCCGCCTCGTCATGGACCAATAGCAGCCGCCTCGTCATGGACCAATAGCAGCCGCCTCGTCATGGACCAATAGCAGCCGCCTCGTCATGGACCAATAGCAGCCGCCTCGTCATGGACCAATAGCAGCCGCCTCGTCATGGACCAATAGCAGCCGCCTCGTCATGGACCAATAGCAGCCGCCTCGTCATGGACCAATAGCAGCCGCCTCGTCATGGACCAATAGCAGCTGCCTCGTTATGGACCAATAGCAGCTGCCTCGTTATGGACCAATAGCAGCTGCCTCGTTATGGACCAATAGCAGCTGCCTCGTTATGGACCAATAGCAGCTGCCTCGTTATGGACCAATAGCAGCTGCCTCGTTGTGGACCAATAGCAGCTGCCTCGTTGTGGACCAATAGCAGCTGCCTCGTTGTGGACCAATAGCAGCTGCCTCGTTGTGGACCAATAGCAGCTGCCTCGTTGTGGACCAATAGCAGCTGCCTCGTTGTGGACCAATAGCAGCTGCCTCGTTGTGGACCAATAGCAGCTGCCTCGTTGTGGACCAATAGCAGCTGCCTCGTTGTGGACCAATAGCAGCTGCCTCGTTGTGGACCAATAGCAGCTGCCTCGATGTGGACCAATAGCAGCTGCCTCGTTGTGGACCAATAGCAGCTGCCTCGTTGTGGACCAATAGCAGCTGCCTCGTTGTGGACCAATAGCAGCTGCCTCGTTGTGGACCAATAGCAGCTGCCTCGTTGTGGACCAATAGCAGCTGCCTCGTTGTGGACCAATAGCAGCTGCCTCGTTGTGGACCAATAGCAGCTGCCTCGTTGTGGACCAAAAGGTTTTCATGAATTTCTTATTTTTATAATGGTCTCTTCCCGAAAAAACTTTGCGAGTCGAAAGTCAACTTCGATTCCACAGCTGTGGACGGAACAGGTGTAAAAAAAAAATAAAAAAACAAAAAAAAATGCTACAATACATTAGGTGAACAAGTAAAACAATCAACATGAGGCTACCGTCCATGCCTCGTGTGTTTATTTATACTCTCGACTGCTCACGTAAAC